TTAATTTATTTATTAAATATCTTTCGCAAAACGTATCAATTATTGTAAAATACAAACATATACTTTTGGTCGTTAATTGTTGTATTATTTCTAAATGTAAAATAATGTAATAAGGCGATATTTACACACTGATTTGTATTTACGTTATTCATTGTGCGTTTCCTGGCAGAGCGCAATATTCGTAAAATAAGGACAAAACTATGTTGATCAAAATAAATAAAACTTTTATCAGGTGATTTTGCACTTATCGTTTATTTGGAGTTGAATTCTAAAAATTTCACTGTGATAAACTGATAACAAAATTGTACTCTTCTCATTGTGACGTTATTGAGGCCGTGGTAGGTATTTTCACAAAAGTAGCTATGCAGTAATTCAACCTCCACAACAAAAACGAATTATTCTCGTCCTCACAACATGTTATGTAAAACAGAACCGAAGATATAGAATGCGTGCTTCCGCCCCAATACTTGGAAATTTAGACAACCTAGTTGGAAAACCACGACAGTTTAATTTTGAAGTCGACAAAATTAAATTTGGAGCGTAGTGAAACTGAAGTATCAAGTGTAGCACCTTTTGAAAGGCAACTTTATCTAATCGGTAATACACCGATCATTTTTTGATTTTCAAAATAATTAGAAAAAACATGAAAGAAAATTATAGGTAAAATGGCAAATATTTACGGGAACGTGGCGTTACGGTTTAATTATTTTAATTTTTGCAAACGATGTTATCTACCAAAAATCTTGCACCAATTAAAAAATGACGAGATATTGATTTTGTTCCTTTTAATATATAGACAACAAAAAGAAAGTTGTGTTTTGATATCTAAAGTATTTTTCAAAAAAATTGGGAAAAAAAAAGACGAAAAATATAATATGTTTCTTTAAATTACGGCGCAATGATTTTATTATTTTAAATTTTTACGGCCTATGCTTTTTACAAATAATATTGCTCTGATAAAAAAAACGACAAGGAACCTTTTTTGTTGAATTTTTAATCAAGTTCGTAAATAAGTAATTTGTTTTATAATTTTTTTAAAAATAATTGAGAGAACCTGGAAAATTACAAATAATGAAAACTGATAAATTTACGGCACAAGAATTCCTTTATTTTAAATAATTTAGTTAATGATTTCTACAAAAAATATTTCTCCAATAGAAAAACAACATGAAGCTTTTTTTTTGTATTTTTAATCTAGATTGTAACCAAGAAAATCGTTTTTTGATTTTCTTTGTAGTTTTTTTCATAATTGAGCAAAACCGAAAAATACATAGAAAGAACTGGAAAATTTATGAAAATATTTTTTTTCATTATTTTAAATTTTGTTTTATTAACACAATTCAGTTAAAAATATTCGTAGAGACTTTAAAACCATTCAAAAAATTTCAAAACATTTGAGCTATTTATGGGCATTTTAATTTTGCGAGTTTTTACGTAATTTTTATTTGGTGAGTACTCTGTGTATATAAGTGGTTTGATGAAATAGAAATGCTTGAAAATTTAACAATAGATTCATTGTAATTCGTACTTACAGTGATTAAAAATAACTTGTTGATTATTTATATTATTTTTAGTAGTTATTATTATTTATTAAACAACTTTAAGTATCCCCCTTTCCCCACTACCCATCTACAAGAGTGACCCACCCGTCTCGAGTATCAGCTCTTTTTTTTTATATTTGTACAGTTTTTTATTTTTTTTTTTTTAAATTTATGTACTTACTCTGAGTATTATAACATTGTCAGTTTTAAAATAACATTAATTTTCAATCTAATCAAAAAGAAAAAATTACATACAGCTATAAATATTATATGAAATAAGTAGCTAATAGTTAATAATTAGGGCTAGTATTTATATGCATTGATATTCGTGAAGGTGAACGAGTTAATAAAATTAATTCACTCGATTAATTCAAGTTACATACACAAAAAAAAGTTGATACTGGGGCGGGTGGGTAAGTGTGTAGTTGGGAAGGTATAAATAAAATTATTTGATTTATACCTGTAATCAACGATAAACCATCTAAAACAAAAAACGATTCGGAGCCAAGTTCGGTTATTATATATGTTTTTAAAAGCCGTAATATTTACAATTTTCATCAGAATTTGACTTTAAAATTTATTTAAAAAAATAACTACATTACACAATTTCTTTTTTTTTAACCTCTAAGTACGACTTACAATGAACCTCCTGTCAAATTTTCAAGTATTTCTGTTCAGTCTAACAATTCACAAAAAGTCACAAAGTACCCATACCAAAGAAAAATTACTTAAAAATCTCACAAAATAAAAATGTCTATAAATAGCTTTTGTTTCAACATTTTAAGTCTCTACAAATATTTTCAGCTAAATTGCATTAAAAAAACAAAATTCAAAATAATAATAGAATTATTTCCATACATTTTCCCGTTCTTTTTATGTATTTTTCGGTTTTGATAAATTATTAAAAAAACTACAAAGAAAATCAAAAAACCACTTTGTACAGTCAATTTTCACCACTAGATTAAAAATGCAACAAAAAAGATCTCTTGACTTTTTTCTATTGGAGCTATATTTCTGGTAGAAAACATCGTGTAAACACAATGAAAACGATAACGCCACGTGACGTCGTAAATATTTGCCGTTTTACCGATAATTTTCTTTTGGTTTCTTAATTACTTTGAAAACCTTTAAGAAAATCAAAAAATAACCTCCTCAATGCATCACCTAGAGTATATTACCTTTCAGAAGAAGTGTTATAATCCATACTTCGGACCAAGTTTTCTGGTAGAAAAGTTGTTCAAAGACAAAAAAAAATAAACACATATAGTAGTAAAACTCGCAATAAAGCATAGATCCCTCGCTACTTTAATTGAAATTTGTAAATCTAAAGATTAGAAATTATTATGAATGTTTATAATAGGTACCTGCAATGCCATAAGGTAGTAAATTATTTTTATGAATACCGTGACATTGTGCAATATTATGTAATAATTATAGTAAATTAAACGTTTGCATTTTGAAAATGTTAACTTCATTCTTTTACTCAACAGCTAGATGTACATTTTATTGTGATAGCCTCTACATCAAATTATAGCAGGTGAATTGGACATGGAATAAAAAAAAAAAGGTTTTAGGTCATTTTGATTAAGTAATAATAAATACTCTAACAAGTCGACGGATAACGAGATTACTGCGAAAATCGGTTTATCAAAGTTGAATATAATAATGTATATTATTATTATGATATTATTATTATCTACCTGAGTATATATTATGGTTATAAAGAACATAACTCTCAACAAATGAGATTACAAACCGTTTTTATTAAATAACTAAGCTATCGTAATATTTATACAGTGGGATATTTTAATACAGATTTATAACACCAAACTATCTAATTATAATAATTTATTCATTTGTTTCAAAATTGTTAAGATTTGTTTAGTTTTAATTGTGTTTTACCGTTGCATAGTTCAAAATAAACATTAACCAACTAATTTTTTTTTTTTTTATTTACACCCACCCAAAATAATCAATATTATAGCAACTAACTGTTATACAATTTATCTTAGGTAGTGTATAAAATAACTATTTCATAAGAATTTTTTTCCCATGTTATATCGAAAACTTTTCTGTGCTCTGGTAATTTATATTTTAAGCTTGTGAAATGCCTTATTGTTCATACCGTTATACGGTATAGATCAGGAATGAAAAATGTTTTTAATTTTTTCGTTTTTGTTTATTGATTTAAAAAATATAGTTATTGTTTAACGTTTTTAAAAACGTTATTTTTGCCTATTGTTTTCAAATAACGTTTTTGACAATTTTGTTTTCGTTTTTTTAAGTTTTTTTTTTTAATTTTCTTTTAAGAGATATAGGTTATATAGGCACAGCATAAGTAGGTATTAGGTAATTAAAAGTTAAAATTAATTATTCTTAATATTTAAATTTAAATAATAATAGCTAATTATAATTTGTATGAAAAATTTTAAAATTTGTTTTCTTTTAACAACTTTTTACCAGCAGTTTTGCTACAACTTTTAATGATAGTAATGTTTCTGTAAGAAAATTTCATTGGGGAGGTACTTTAGAATGGTCACTTTTCCATTTTTTTCCCCCATAATTTTCTCAGAAAATGTGAAAAACTAGGAAAATCAGGAAAATCGATACAACATTAAACAATTATTATTAAAATTATTATATAGAGCCTATTTAATTATTTTACTATAATATGGCATATATATTGTTGACAAAGCTTCACTATCTATTGAACTCCACTCGGAATGGTTTTTTCGGAAGCAATGGTTTATATCGTTGCTTAAGTTATACATTAAATTACCTAAACAGTGCTGCACCCGTCCGCATTATCCTAGGACGTCTTTTTTAAAAACGCTTTCAATTCCTGGTATAGATTAATATTTATTATTCTCGTCGATTTCCATTATATAATGACATCATATCCGTACATACGTATATTATGAAGACATTTCTTTTTGAAAAAAATGATTAAGATAAGTACATTTTTTTTTAAGAGAACGTCATACCCGCATCTAATAAAACTAGCTTGATTTTGATTATAGAGTAAAAGTACCTACAGTAAAATGTATATAGAACGATATTTTGGATGGAATTTCATAGGTGTTTTTTGAATTATGAACTATTAAAAAAGTTACAGTTATTTAAAAAACAAAAAAAAAATGGTTTTTATGTCTATTATATCGAGCTGTAGTCTACAATCAAAATTAGCTAGTTTTACTTATTCTACGTAAGCATTGTTTTTGCATATTACCCGGTAGTTGGACCGAGACAGTAGATGTGAGTGTAACGTTCTCTTAATCTTCGATATTAGGTACACACTCTGTATTCGCTATAATCGCCTAATAACATAATTATTATACAGATAAAATAGATGTAATCTATAAGCGATAATAAATAATAATATATTATAACGTTATCGTATTTTAGTCCAAAAGAGTACAATATATAGCTAGGTAGGTAGTATAACTTTCAGTGGGATTGCGGTTATCCTATTTTGACCCGGACTCGAATCTATTACTTATATTGTCTAACGCCACCTTGAAGTCATCCGTATAGATATGCTAAATAATAAAAAAAAAAAAAATCGTGTTCAAAATATTATGCCGGTTCATTTTATACAGTTTCGAAAAATATAAAACACGTGCCAGTATAGTCGAGCAAACGTAATATATAAGCGCGTGCCACTTCGTGTTTAGAATATATTACATAGGTAGTTTTTACTTTTATGGCTAAATACAGATATTCGTCAAATATCTGCCGTATATCAATAGTTTATTATAATTGATTTTTTTTTTTTTATTATTATTTACAAGTGATGTTGTCTCAAGACTTCGGACATAGGTGTTAAGTAATAAAAATTCGACAATATTGTTCGGTTACCGAAATTATTGCAAGACAACAAACAGATAAATAGATTATACCTACCTACGTAAAATGTCTAATAACCAACAGCAGTCCCAAAATTCAACCAAGACCAATGTGTTTACAACCTATACAATATTGTATACGACATTTCAGGTATGTACCTGTGTCAACAAATGTGTATATATTTTTAAAATATAATTTTAATCAAAGCTAGGTTTTAATGAGTTAATAATTTAAAATTAAGTTTATTTAACATTTTAACTTAATATATTTTTTTTTAAACTATAAACTTAATTGTTAATTTGATGAATACAAAATAATTGACTTTTAATTAACTAGAGTTAATTTTATATTTAAACAAGTTAAGTTGGCTTAAATTTGTATTTGTATGCTCATATAAATAAATATATTATTACTATTATTAATATATCATGAACATTTTAAAATACGAATTGTTATGGATGTCTGCTATTTTTTTTACTATTGTCACCAATTAGGGGTTGTAAGTAGGTTATTAGGTCATTATATTAGGTAATAGACAATATGTACATTTTTTTTTTTTTTAATTAACTTAACTTGAGTTAAAAAATTAATTTTAACTTCTAACTTAGTCGAACTGATAGATTATTTTAAATTAACTTTTGGTTATTAAATTTATTTAATTTAAATTTAAATTTAACTTTATTTAACTGGTTTGAAAAAATCATTAACTTGCCCAACCTTAATTTTAATTATATCGGTATTGCGGTAAGTACGTTTTGTTTTGGATGTTGTTTACATTTTAGTTTAAATAGGTGTATAGTATGTGTCTGCCTAGTATCTACTATACTTAACTACCTAAAATAATGTAACACTAGTATTCCTTAATTAACTAATCGCAAATCAAATAATGTCTAAAAACGATTCGCTCTTTGACTTTTCTTCTTAAAAGCCAACGTCTCTGAAGGAACTGCGCACGGCCTATTTATGCTTAAAAACATGGTTAACAGGGTTTAATGCATCGTATAATGGGTCCGATTTCGATCATACTTTTCGATTATTTCGATGTTTTTTTTTTTTGAAAAGATGAAGACTTCTTTGCATTGGATTTGTTCAAAAATTATTATTATTACATTTTAGTTTGAACAAATCTAACTTTTTACTTTTTTAAAATGTATTAATTTTTTAGTCCGATACGTCCTATAGAAAGCTGCCCTCTTTCAAAAAAAAAAAATGAAATACCGTAATTGGACGACCGTATGAGGCAGGAGAGTAAACCATGTTTTGAGCAAAACAACAGAACACGGGTTGTGCGCAGTCTCCTTTCTATGAAAAATTTAAATTTATCAAATTTTTCGTTAAAAATTTTTAAAATATACTTATTGATTGTATATTGTTGTAATTCAAAAATATGGGGGCCAGCCTAATTATATAAAATTGATTCACACGTGTAAGTTAATTATAAATTTGATTACCTTTCTTCTTCAGGCGGTAATATTGATCCGTTGAATTTGATAAATTTGATAAGTTGATTTAATAATTTGCTGTTAGCGATTATTAACAATTTTCACAAATCTACAATTAAGACCCTTAAAATGTGATATTTATTATAATTTATTACACTGCTACAGACAAATGTCCATTTAAGTATAACCAATCTGATTTGTTTAGTTCACGAAAAATACGAGAAAATCATAGTTATCGTCGTTATTGATCTGAAAAAAAAATGCATAAGTTTTTAAACTATTTACCTAAATAATAATACTGTGATAAGCAACTATAATTGAATTTAATGCATTTTAATTATAGATAATTGGATTGGCACTTATTTATAACGTATACTATTGGATTATTAATTATCGAGGTGGATTCAGTTTGAATGAACCGAAATTAATATTCAATTGGCACCCACTGTTAATGACGATTGGTTTCATTTATTTTTTAGCAAACTGTAAGTATTAAAATGATAACCTTAATTTATATTTATTTCTATACTTATATTTAATTTTAATTTACCTGTCTACACGAAACTAAATTACAAAATTAATATCTAATGTTTTTACAACTTAAACATTTTCACATAGACATTTTCTTTCTTATAATTATGATAAAAATATCATAATAATATAGTTATTTATTTGACTTAACATGACTAATGAGACTTATCAGTGACGTATCCAGGATAGGGTAAAGGGCTATGATCCTCACCCCCCCCCCCCTCCGCCCGAAATTGTTCGGTGATTATAGAAGTAGTACTTGAATGTATTATTTAAATTATATGAGTTTATAGAATCACCTACATTACTGTCAAACAAATGAATTACAATGAATAAAATGCATCAATTAAACTGAACAAATTAATTTGTTTACATAATTATATTATCCCTCCCTCTTTATAAAGACTACATGCATAAATTATATCAATTTCAATTTCAATTATTATTGTCATTTGCCTGTAATAAATAATTTTATTTATTTTAGCTATTCTTCATTATCGTACGTTCAGTAATCATCAAAAACAAAGTTTAAAAATACAACATTCAGTTATTCATGGATATGTAATTGTACTTGTATTACTCGCTGCTTGCGCTGCTTTAATTTCACATGTATATGCCAGTCCTCCAATTCCAAATTTCTATTCCTTACATAGTTGGTTAGGAATTTTTACTATTGTAATGTTCCTCTCTCAGGTTAGTAAGATTTAAAATTTAACAAAATAAATTTCTATAATAATTCCTTTTTTTGTGTAAATAATTTATTATAGTTTATAAGTGGATTAGTATCATTTCTGTACCCTGGAGCATCAATCAAATACAAAGAAATCATGATGCCTTATCACATCTACTTTGGCGTTTTCATCTTTGTTTTAGCAGTTATAACCGCAGTAACAGGCTTCAGTGAAAAATTAATATTTGCTCTGTAATATCAATATATAATCATCATAATACTATATTTCGAAGAGAAATATAGTTTCCGATAGTAAATTATTAACCGTTACCTAAATTATATTTGACAGGGATAAAGAATACAAAAAATTCCCACAAGAAGGAATTTTCGGAAATTTTTTGGGCCTGTTGTGTATTTTGTATGGTGGATTGGTCGTCTATATGGTAACTAAACCGGAATTCAAGAGAAATCCAAAACTAGAATATGAACCACTACTTAGCAATGACTCTCCGTGAAACAAAATTTGTGTATAGGTTTTATAAGGTAAGTATAGTTTCAAATGTACAACCGATTTGCATTACATGATAATTGTATTCAATTTTTTAATAATAAAATATTGTTGAAAATAATATATTTATCGTATAAATTATTGTTGTACTTATGTTTTGCTGACAGTGTGTCTCATTTTTGACTAGATATACCTACTGTAGAGATATTGCAGAAGATATATTTTATGTCGTTTGAATAACATCAAACATAATTAAAGATAATATACCTAATACGATTAAATAATTAGGCCCGTTGAAAATCCACCGTGAAAATAAATATGAACAAGTTCGCATAAATCACCAAAAGTATAATATTATACGTATTGATTTTTATATAGGTACCTAAGTAAGTTATATTCGCGACATTAAAACAAAATCACAACATTAAAGCGTCGATTTCCCATAATACTTACCTGATCGAAAAGTCTCTACCGTTGTTTGTACTGAAAAAATATATTGAGTTTTATATTTTATACGAAATACCTAGGTATGAAAAACATAAGTGTAATTTAATTGTGTCTACGTATAGGAATTTTTCAAAACGAATTGTGAACTAGTCAGAGTTAATAAATGGTATTTGAAAAAAAAAACACAATTTAACAGTAGCTAGAACTAAAGTTGTTAAGTCAAATTCTCAACCCTCTCTCTAATTTTGTACTATAGAAATATTCGTCGTAAAACTACAAATAACCGAAAAGTAATCCAGAAATCAACGAAAATTAAATCAATATTATTCAATCAATTGTGGCGGTTTTTTTTTTAAAATCTAATAAGAATCTAGACATTTTTCAAATAAGTATCGATGGATGAAATATCAGCATCCGAAAAGAGTTTTTCTTGGAAAAGAACACGTTAAGATGTACTATGAGGCAACACTTATGAATATTTATATACATATATATATCAGTGTTGGATATGGGGGGAGCAACGATCGCCCTTAGCTTGAATTTCATCCTAAATGTGTATCTTACACGAATTTTAAAAATCACCCCCTCTGTTATCTTGTCTTAGACCCACCCCTGATATATTAAAATACATTATTTTACAGAAGGAAAAACTGTTTATAAAGTTAGTATATGTTACCAATCTACGTACTAACTATAACATACAATTTTAATTTGATTTCCGTTAAAAACGTCTAAGTGCCAATAGAATACATTCAAATATACATAACGAATGTACAATGTATAATGAAAACTCATTAAAAATAATATTCGGATATACTATTTTACAGCTGCTATAATACATATACTATATTTATGAAATATATTATATTATTTATTTATTTATTGGTGCGCCGAAAGCTATTAGGACTTTTATAGTTATAGCTTACACCGGGTGACTCTTTTATCGTTAAGCGCTCATTATTTCAAAAAGTATTGATTATTGACTAAGTTAAAAGACTCCCTAATTTTGATTTTCAAACGGCAACCTATATTAAAAATCCCATAAATAGACGGGGTATTAGTTAAAATAAATTTTGGTGTTGACATTTATGATTTTCGTCAATCCATTGACGAGATATTTCACTCTTAAGTTTTGATCGGAGGAGAGTAGTGGTACATTATTAAAACGCCGCGCGCCGTGCCTCCACACAGATGATGCTCAACTACTCTCCCGCTACCCAAACTTAAAAGTGGAATATTTCATCAATGGATTGACGGAAATCAAAAATTTCAACACCAAAATGTATTTTAACTAATACTCCGTCTATGTATGGGGTTTTAAATATAGGTTGCTATTCGAAAATCAAAAGTAAGTATAGTTGTTTCACTCCCAAAAATTAGGGTGACAAAAAATAATGTAAATATAAAATTGTAGATCTGCTTGTTTCTTACATTATCTGTATTACAGATTCCAAAAAAAGTTAATTCTTTCCGAGATAATGAGTGCTTAAAGAATCACTCGGTAGATAGGTATATTGGTATACAGGTTCAACACGAACTAGTTCAAATTTTAGTTCGTACTTTTCTAAATGAACTAGTTCGAGTTCATCGAATTCATATAATAGTAAAATAACCTAGTTTAACTAGTTTACCAGTTACGTTGAAAAAACTTCAAAATTACCGATTTTTCAAAAAACGTGTTTTCAAATTTAAAATAGGTACTAAAAATGAACATTTTTGAATTTAATGTATTTTTTTTTTTAAATTTGAGTGTTCCGTGTCCAACATTTTGGTAAAATTAGGAATTACCAACTACATAGTAACATAAAGAAATTTTTGGTGAAATAAGAACTGAAAAAAAAACCTATGGAGAGGAGAGTGGGAATATGATGAAATTAAATAACGGGACGTACTAATTTACTTACCAGGATTTTACTGAGCAGACTAAACTGCCCTGATCCGAGCTCCTTGTTCTCCGATCGGGCTAAAATTTAGAACAATCATCCATAGGTTACCTATATAGTCGACCTTATATCAAAAAATTAGCTTTCCAATATCATGGAGGCCCATGCGTTTACATTTTATAATAAGGTTATAGATAATACATTAATAATAATACAATTATCATTTGATGAAACACATATAATGTAGGTAACAATAATTTTTATCTTAATATATTTAATAAAAGTATTTAAATGTATTTTGACATTCACGAATTACATTATTTTATAATATTTAGATAAAAAAAAAAAACTACTACTTCTACGACTGATTGTTACAGTTTTTTATTAATTCTATAACCAGGGCTCAGATTTTATCGCATTTACTAATAAATTATTATAGGATACAAATAAATTAGCAAAGTAAGCTTTACATATATTGTTTTATGTGCCAGCAGTGGTGGCGAGAGGGTTTATTATTGAAGCAGCCACTTAAGTAATTAATTTGTTTACACCAAAATAGGTGGGTGAGTGCATTTTGGGAGATTAATTCATCATATTATATTACTACCATTATCATTTAATGTTATCGATTACCTATATCGTAATATTGTAGGTACCTACTTATAGTCTAAGCCACGAATTAAAATATGCAAAATACCGAACGAAAATGTCTTGTTTTTCTGAGTCCATCCGGTTCTCACTGTTTGACAAGACAACTAGTGCATTTAAGACAAAATTGGTATAAAAATCAATTAAAACCAGTTTAAAGTTTAAGACCTTCTATAATGAATATTGACATAGTTTGTAAAGAGTACACTAGATGGTGTTAGTGGCCTTGCCAAAAGTATGAAGATTAATAATATTACATTTGTAAAAGTATGTACAGAATGACTACAAATTAACACTTCACTTAACCACGATGATTGCACGACTATAAATGCAAAATAAAAGATCACTTGTTTGATTCGAAAATTAATGGAAAATAATGTTCGCAGATCATCCATATCGAGAGCTTAATCGTCTAGTGTGAAAACGAAATGAAATAGCGATTAAAAAACCACTGGGATTTTAAATAGCGTTCGCCGCGCGAACATTCGCTTCGTGTGAAAGTCTTAAGAACAGTAATTTTACGTACATCTTTCGTATTATGCGATAATGCATATCGGTGGAAGTCTACTATTAGTGTATATAATTAATTTAAAACAACCAATGGTATTGTCAAACTGATTTATAGATATGAAGTCGACCTATGAATGATTGTTCCAAATTTCAGCCCGGTCGGAGAACGAAGAGCCCGGGTCGGGGCAGTTTAGTCTGGTCAGTGAAATCCGGGTCAGTAAATTAGTCTTCCCCTTAAATAACGATTATTACGTCAATTTAGTGTTATAAATAACATAATATTTAATAAAATATTAAAATTTACTTTTTTCGGTGTAAATTCATGGAACAATCTCGACTCCACCCACGTCATATCCGTCAATGTAGTTTGATTTACAATTAATTACGTTTTACGCCATCTGTCTTTTCGTAAGACACGTCATAATTTCAATAAACACGTTACTGAAAGACAAATTCCATAAGTACCACTAACGTTATTTTAACCGACGTCACAACTTTCCGATATCAGCTTAAGCTGATAACAGCCGTCACCCGTTAAAAACAAAAAAAGTGTGTACGTATTTTGCTTGTTCAATTATTCATTTCGTTTAATTTTCGCAACGCCTTCAGCTATCGTGCTGGAGTAACTTGCCAGAGCTCCAAGAACTGTGAAAAATACAAATCGCCTATCCGTCAACACATCCGTTCCCGATGCATTCATTACTGGCCCGGGGCAATGCCGTGCTAGCGTACACGCTCAGCGTTCTCGTTACGCTCACGTTCGCTTGTTTTCTGTCCACAATCATGGTCGATTACCGAACGGCCACCGAGATGAAGACTCTGAAGATCGAAGTGTAAGTACATCCAGACATCCCGTGAGGCGGTTCTATCGTTATTGTAACATTTGTATGATAACCGAATGAATATTTTGTTTTCAGAAAAAACTTACCAGAGTACGGAGTCTCCAAGAAGCTCAACGACTTGGGTCACATAACATTCAACCTCGATACAGATATCCTTTTTTTCATCACTATAAAGTAGTATACCCTTATCGGGTTTTTTTTTTTGTCTTATAGCTTGTGTCTGGCCAACTCAGAAATCTTGGGTATTTAAACTAAATAAGAATCGTACTAAACAATTTTTGACGATTAACCCCGATTAAGATATATTTTGTACCTACTTAGCATACAGTTCACCATATCCATATGGACCAATTAAAAAATTAATACAATTTATAAATACCTATAACCGTTTTGAATGACTCATTCAATATGTTCAATGTTTATTTTTTTTCGTTATACAACTTCATAATAGCCAATCAGTTTTTGAATAATTTCACCTAAATTTTAGTTTCTGAGTGGAGCGAAGAAGCTTTTGGTTTTACAAAGATGATTATATTTTTTAAACTATTGTTTCTTTTTCATTTTGTTATTGGAGTGTTTTACTTTTCATTTCTTTATATATAATTATCAATCGATAATAAATTCTTCTCAGGTTCAGTAATTTTAAAGTTATAATATTTAATTTTAATTATTTTTGAGACATTTCTAAAACAAATTATGCAGGTAATAACATATAAAATGTAAACAAAATATTCAAATGTAATGTTATTTTTTCTTAATCATCATTATGCACATCTTACTAGTCTTTTCAATTGGAACGTGAAACAATTGTTTGTGTATATGACTGCAGAGTATGAAACACCAACAAATGAACTTAATCAGGTAAATGTGTATATAATATAACATTATTTGATTGAATGTTGTGTATATTTTTCTTAATTTTTACAGATAATTTTATGGGACAAGATTATTCTGAGAGGTGAAAACTCCAATTTGCATCTAAAAAATATGCGTACGAAATATTACTTCTGGGATGACGGAAACGGTTTAAGGTAAGTAATAAAAGAGTTTAATTTTCATGAATATAATAATATATTTGTTTTTAACATCAAAAAAAGACACTTAGGTTAAATTTAAGACTAAAAAACGTATAACATAATATATATTTTTGGGTATAATATAATGTGCTCTGAATACTTTTTCATTTTTGAGATAGATTCAATCTCAGTTAATAAAACTAAATCACATAACTGTATGAAATAATATCAATAAAATATATAAATAGTGTAGGTATATCATTGACAAAAAAATTATATTCATAGGTCGTTGATTAGGTTGAATTCAATGTTGCTATAAATATTATAAATTATTTCTTATATTAAGACTAGTAAATTTGTATAACTCAGATTTGCTTCTTAATAATAATTTGTATTTTGTTTTTAGAGGAAACAAAAACGTTACATTGACACTTTCGTACAACATTATACCAAATGTAGGTCGACTGCCAATTATAGGTGCTATTGGATCTCACACGTTTAGTTTTCCTTCGCAATACACCCGATGATGACTGCACGTTCCTGATTTGAAAATATTAATATAATATAATTATACAAGTTGATATTAAGATTTTTTTTTTTTCTGTGTTCAAAATACAATTATGATTAATATTACATATTAGTTATTATAATTTAAAGGGTTGAACATCACCATTATCATTTTGACAAACACATATTTAATATAACATTTTCAACATATTTTTGATAATCAATCCGATCGATGCAGTGAAATAATAGTTCTGGATTTTTTTCTTTTTTCTTTTTAAAATCTTAAAATCATATTTTTGAAAATTTGAATAAAATACTTATCTTATCGACACTTTTATGGTGAAAATTCAAATCTACCATTCTAATTAAAATAGTAATTACTTCATTACATTGATCGAAATGATTGCTGAACAAACAATTTAAATTGCTATGCTGTGTACGTATAAGAGTATAAGAAAAAGAATATTGTTATCAAGATAGTTTTTACTATTAAAATTAAGGTCCAAACGTGACAGTGTCCATTAATGTTTGTATTTTCTAAGTTATTTAAATGACACAATTACGTATGGCTTTGAATTTAATATCTTAGTATTATTTTGATTAAGTAATGGTAATGTATTAAGTTTATGTAGATTTCTTGATTCCATCTGGTTCTTTTTCTGTGGACAAATCGGTTGATATATTCAATAGTTTTCTGAGAGTCTGAAAAGAAAAAAATAATACATAACATTAATAAAACATAGTCTAATAAATATGTGCAACAATACAAGTAGATTACTAGTTTGAAATTATTGGAGATAAGCTTTATATGTATATTGAGTGACTCTGCCCATTAATCACTTTGCTCACCCATCCCCCATATCTCGTATTATATGGTTAGATAAACAAAATATATGAAAGATCTAAATATCAAAACTTTTTTAAATATTGAAAGATATGGTAATAGTATTTTACTTTATTTTCTTGTTAAAAATCAATTTTAATTTTTTAGTTAAAATAAAATGTATAAATTTAATTTAATTTTTAATAAGTAATTACTTTTATATTTTCACAAAATAAATAAATACGAGGCTTTTCGACAATAACTTCAAATAAAAATAGCGTGTCTCACCAAGACTGTGCTTTCATATGATTAATTTGTCCTCTCATTTAAAGTACTATCTTTCTCATGCCACTAAAATGACATTTATTTTATTATTTTCAACATGTTCTATTTTTTAATACCTTTAATTATATATTATGAAACAAAACATTTTATTGCAAATGTCATATTGAATATTAAACCAAGAGTTAATTATTTATATTTGGTAAAATTTAAATATAAGTAAAAGGACAAAAAATATACCACAAACTGTTCAACTTCACTTAATTTGAATTACTTTAAAAAATGGTTTAATATAGGTACAAAATGTATAGTACATTAATTTATTTTGCAAAAATTATTTAGATTTGATGCTAATAAAAAAATTTAAATATTATTAACATTTTTCTACATTAAAGGATGATGTTGCTTCAAAAATTCCATTCTTCCAAACTAATATTATTTTGAAAGTGGAAATTAATTTCCGAAAATAAAAATTATTATTATAAACCTTTTAGTTATTCAGTTAAAGGTCAACATTTTTTAGCCTTGTTTCGTCAACTTTGCTACTTTTGAATTCAATATCAAACCTTCAAAGTATTATATACTTTTTTGTATAACTGTTTAAATACCACGTGAAATTCTGGTTTCACTTAAAGGTTTTTCAGGACTCACATTGTTAAATTTTGATACAGTATTATTTTAGTAAAACTCAGTAACAAAAATATGTCGCACCACAATTTAAATGTGACAAATTGTTCTTCTATTTTCCTTGCACTCGCCATGCCAAATTTGTACCACACAAAATTTCCTTTACGTTTTGTACAAACCTCTGAACAGTAAACACAAAAAACTATTTTTTTATATAATTGTACAAATTTCACAAAAATGACATTTTACTGTACTTGCATAAATTATGTATGATAGAAAGAGGAATGTGGGCGGTTTGCGTTTGAGCAATTTTCCATAATGCGCTTGGGCAAGTGATTTTAAAATATTGTAATGTGTTTGGGCGATCCATTTTCCCTCTCATTTTGACAGACTTTGGACTGTTTATAAAATCCACGAGTGTGATTAAATATTTTCAATCAAAATGCATTGTTTGTTTCGTATTGTAGTAAAAGCGTTTTTTTATTTTTATGATCCATATTTAGTTTCTAATGTTCGAGCAAACACAATATTTAAAAAACTATAATTTTTAAGTTTAAATCATTAAATATTATTACTTACAAAGAAATCATAATTTTTACTACCTTATCTGAATGATGATACTTGAAAACCAATAAATTGTGAAATATTATGTGCAAGTATTTTATTACATTTTGTATGTTGTTTATAATTTTATCTATTATATTTTATATTGAACTTATCATACTTGCTCGGACATCTGTTATTAGAAATTCGCTCAAACACATGGTGAGGAACTTGCCAAACACACTTTTTTTATTATGTGGGAAATAAAATATAATTCTCCCAAATGCAAGACACCCGAGGAATGTATAGATTTCACAATTATATTTATTTTATTTTTTATACTATGTACAAAAACCTAGCTCTGATGTGTCAAGATTAGCAACTTTTATGAAAGAAAATTTTTCTAGAATAGTACTGTAGGGAAGTCATTTTTTGATTTTTCAAGTAGTTTTTAAAGTAATTGAAAAAAAAAAATGAGAAAATTTATGAAATTAATGTTTTAATGTTGTAATTTATTTTCAAATGTTCGTAGAAACTTGAAATTTATACAGAAACATTACATTTGCCTTTTTAAAAGTGGCAAAATTTTACAAGCTTATTTACATAGATACTCTGTGTAAAATTACATTGTACTTGGACAACAATAAAATGTTTAGTTTAATGAAATTTTTTTTTTATAAGAACTTTAATATCAAATGTTAATAAAAATCTTAAAAATATTATGACATTTTAAAAACATATATAACCAAACTCGTTCAGAATTGTTTTTCGCTAGCAATGATTAATTATTATATACAAAAATACATTAAATTCCCCTCTATATTCTACCTTCTCAACTTCTCACATACAACAATGGCCTACCCATCGTGCAAAGTTTGTCTGTCTTTTTTCGTATGATCCAGAGTATGAAATATTTCATTTGAAGTTTTTGTTTGTAATAATTAAAAATAAATAATGTAAATAAATATATAAATAAAAAATGTATACATAAAAATTAAATAAATGAACGAATGTGTCGCCTGAAGTATTATGATAAGTGTATTATACAACCGGTTTCGAATTAAAAATTTATCATCGGGTATATTACAGTCAAAATGTAAAACGCGACTCAAAAAATACAGTTTTATTTCTAAGTATTCCTTTATTGGTTCAATTTTATATAATACTTTATAAACTCATAATACTGACTAATATTACAGTATTGAATTCCTATTAATCTTTAATTATTTTTCTTACTAAGTCGTACACAATACTGTACCAATAAATATTGTATTTGATCAGAATTTAACAATGCAACTACTGGGGAAACACTTCCCTGAAATGTGAATAAAAAAAACCTTGTTTTCTTGTGTTTGTATAATTTTACACAATTTCAAAAAAAAAGTACACAAAACTGTCAAGGTTGAGTATTGAAATTTGACAGTGACTGTGTTAGTGAAATAGAGCTACATCTTTAAATTATACATTTTATTTAAATAGAAGTGATATAACTAAATGTGTAAAGCAAAATGGTAAATTGTATTTTCACTGTAGCCTCACATATATTGTTATTAAAAATTGGTAACAATTATTTAAACTAAATACCTTGACTTGTGCAAACTCTATAATATATTGAATTTATAAAAACAATTTTTTGTTTAGAATAATTCTAAAATATATTTTTGTATGAATTATTAATAAAAAAAATGTATATGTTATTCAAATTAGCACTTATCAAACATAATTATCTAACAAAATTAAACATATTAAGAGACCTGGTGCCAGAACCTTTTTTGACTAAAAACATGCTCTACAGGAAAAACTCTCATGCCTTTTAGAATTTTTTTCTTTTTCAATGATAATTATTAGATGAAAAGAAAAAGACTACTTCCTACAATCACATTGAACTATGTTTTATTATATTTTCATCCCAGATTTGTAATGTTTAAGTTAAAAAACCATCAATGTTTAACTTTTACACACCATTAGTTTTTAATACTGAAATTGGTAATATATGTATACACAAAATAATGGCTATATATAATGGTTAATAATGGTATTGGGAGAATAAAGACAAATATTTATTTAATATTTACCTACTATGAAAATTACAATTGGATATTCTTATAATAACCGATATGGATAAATTGACTACAAATGTATTAAATTTATTATTTAAAAACCCCAGAGTCCAAACATACAATGTAACATAAATTTTGTACCTATCCCTATAACATATTAGTTCATACTATTCTATATAGGGATTTTTAATCAATAAATTAGAAAAATAAGATAAATATATATAGATTAATAGATTTCCAACAAAAGTAGGCAATAAACAATAATATACATAAATCATGTTTTTAAATAGCTACCTAATTATTTTTGAAATTTTTTATTTTTTTAAATGTATTATATTAATTTACAATTGGACTTTTTTCCAAGCCTTCTTTTCAATACCTATAAAAATAAAATTTCTTAAGATGCCGCCAATAACTGTATTTTTTCCTTGGGGGTTTATTTTTCCTATGTCACTTTTAATTACTTATGTAACATATTGTATAAATCGTAATTTCTCACAATACAGATAAAAATATATATATATAAACTGTTATAAATTTATTTATAAATTAGGTGAATGTGTATAGTACTTTCTTTTTCAACAAATTTAAAACTTGATATTAACATTTTACTTGTTAGTTTAATAATTATGAAACTATTAAAACTTATAAAATAACAATCAGAAACTTTAAGTTAAATAAAATATTAATACTATATTAAATAATATTATGTACCTGAACTATAGCTTTAAAATTATAAAGGATATTAGCAAAACGATTATACAATAATAAACACTTGAATTAACAATATTTCTATAAAGCATGTTTGGACCTGTTAAACAAAGTGTAAGTACGCTTTGAAATAATTTATCGGTAACCACCTTATAAATTTATAACATTAAGTGAAAAAAGTGACTCAAGTAAAAAATAATTTACTAAAACAGACCTATTATTAATTATACCTATTTATGAATAGGTAATACAACTTGCTTATCTGTTTAATTTTTTTATTCAATTATATAGTGTTGTAATGTTTTTATTATTAGTTTGTTAAATTATATAATTTAAAATATATAAATACATTCACTGTAAAATGGAAAAGTAATTTTGTGTTTATTTTATGTCTTTATGAGATAATTCTATTTACTCATTCAAAAATATAATCAGAAACTAGGTATTTAAAAATCTTGCTACTTTTTTAGTGTGGCCATATATTTTAATATAAATGATTTTATGATCGGTCTAAAAAAATAAAAATGTAAGTTCTATCATAGTTTATTTAAATTTATAATCACATATAAAACGTAATACTTAAGTGGCCCATACACGATATAATCAATTGTACGGCAGGTTGTGCAACTTGGTTTGATACTATCTCACAAAAGATTATAGCAATGTGAATAATATTGTTGTACAGTGAGATGAAGTTCAGTGTACATCAAATCTGCTGTACGATAAGATGACCAATTGTACCACATGTAACATTAATCACACTCCTACCAATATTTACAAAACGATGAGTTGTGGAACTTGTAGTATAAATGTGTGTGATAATTCGCATACTGCAAGTTCGTGCGACTAGTTCATACAATTAGTATACAGTTAATAATATAGTATGGAACGGTTTCGGAATACCTATGTAATATTTTCAAATATTATAAATGAAAATTACTTATTTTTAGAGAAATCTTTTCTTGAATTAAATTTATCCTATTAATTAACCTTCATCTAAAAGAAAAAAAAATCTAAAATAATTCACTGTTATAAATTAGTTTTAACATGCATAATTATTTATAAATGATAATTATTGTAAAAAAATCAGATCAGATGTGAGTTAGATTTCCACACTTAGACTGAGGGTTCCATGTTATCCATAGTTTTAAAAAGTCAATTTTTGATCATGATCAAAAATACCTCAACTTTGCAATTGATAATGAAAAATTTCAATTGTAAATTTTACTCAGAAATTTAATTTACTTATGCTCTACTAACAAGACTGATAATGACAAATGGCCACAGAAGAATTTCCGTACATCAATTTGACCATAGACAAAATTGGACATTACAAAAACAAAATTGTCATTTTAAATATTGTCATCTGACAATTTTACCCTATTTACCTGTTTGCATGAATGACTTCAAATAAAGCTATGTCTAACTTTAAATTTGATTTACACATAATAATTATAAAAAGTGTACACTTTGAATGGTGTATTAAATCAAACATTCTAACGACAATATGTTTAAAACAGTTAAAAACATACTTGATTTTCAGTTTGTAATCTCCCAATAATTTCTTCTTTTTTGCTCGCTTCTTCAGCTTCAAGCCGAGAAGCAATACTCATGACGGTCATCATTTCTTTAATGCGTTCTTCTTGTTGAATGATCAAAGCATTTTTCTCCTCTATTGTCTGGAAGAAGATAAATAGTTGAATTAATACATATTATATTTAGACTACCTAGATTTTAATTAATGTGGTGTTTACCTTGGCCGTGAGATCTGATACAAGTTTATCAGCTTTGGTTTCATTAATGAGATGGGAAACTTGAGACCTGTACTTGGACATGATCATCTCTAGGGCTGTTTGATGCTCAGCCACCATTGCTCTGAGTATTCGGTTCTCGCGTACGATTTCTTGCAGTTGCCGACTTTCGGTACGTATAGAGTTGACCAGCTCTTCATGAGGAAGCCCTCCTTCTTCCATATCGTTCAATTCGGGCAAATCGTCTGTATACTGAACACGTCCAATAGCAAAACGGTTTATTTCTCGTGAAAGATCAGAAAGAAACAAGCTACAAGAGGGGTAAACTAAGGGGTGACATTTAGGTATTTAACAGATCGCTCACTTGTTTCATAGTGTCGATTTTCTTATAAACGAACTGGGCTTGCGACAGCAGCGCGTCGGCCGCGGTGTCGTGTTCCTTGAGTTTCGAAGACAACCGTTTGGCGTCGGACAGTATTTGTTGTATGGAGATGGACATGGCGGACAAGCGATGGATCACGCGCGCGCGCGCCGCACACACAGAAACACACACACGACAAACAATTGACCGACTTAATACGAGCACACGGACTCAAGTTCCGTGCACACAAAGATTCGGGTACGACCAAAAGGTCGTAAATAATTTGATAAATTATAATAAATCGTTACCGCGCGAAGTTTAGGTCCGACGCACGCCTACGTGCCAGCAAATTATAATAGTTGTCGACGGATAAACACGCCATTAATGTCGATGACCGCTACTCGTTCGTCCCACACAAGAACGCCGAACTATATTATTATTATTATATGGAACAGAAACACAACTTTTCCGGAATTTCACCGCGATCCACCTCGACGAAATTATCGCGCACTTTGTTTTGTTTTTATTCTAAGACGTTATCTCGTAAAGTTTGTGTATTTTATACACAGCTATACGGCCTGTTATCACTACCGCAATCGAATACTGTTAAGAGACTTTTTTTGTTATTATTTGCGTGCACAGATATATATAGTATGTAGTATTTATCTGTTTGCGTACGAATGTATGTGAATTTAAAAAAAAAAATGTTGACACTGCTGATGAGATGTCGGAAGAGATGATATATTATAAAGTAGGTAATTTAATTAGATCTATACGCAACGATAAGTCATTGCTAACAAAAAACGATGTTGAGCAGATCAAGTACCCATTAATTTAAACAAATTTTATTCTGTGCTCAATCGCAAAAAATAGTATATATTAGTAAATAAGTACCTAATAGATATCATACTTTAATGTTTTACTCAAATAATAATTGCTCACGTTGGCCTGAATAACAAAATCTTTTTCTAATTTAAGTAAGTACCTACCTACTTCATGAGATTGCATAATTAATTCATCCGTATGTAGTTCAGAAACTAAATAACTAAATAATATACTAAAATATAAATTTCTTCTTAAATATTATCAACACGCCAGGGTATTACTATCAGGGGCGAACTGACTATGTATGAGGCCAGTCAGAAATTTGTTTTGCTTGAAACCATAATTAGCGGCGTTCTTAGAAACATGTTATGAAATGGGACAGCCGGACGGCGTATAATACAGGGATTTGACTAAGATTCCCAAGCCCACAATATATGTTACTTTAAAGGGGAAACGTAACTGAATTAATAAATTGAAATAATTCAACCAAATATTACATAGTCCTACACTTTAAATATTTTAAACTAAGATTAAAAAGAACAATTTAAATTAATACTTATTAAAGAATAATATTGCTTTTGTTGCAACTTTTAAAAATTTTGAAAAAAAAAACTGGTTAGTTGTTCATATTATCTTGTGATAGTTCTTTTATCACAGCGGAAGCCACATTTCAGTTTATTCTTCAGAATATATTTCCAACCTCATTACAATTAGAATTGATAGTATTTTATATGAAACATTTAACAGCATAATTTCCCTATAGTTTTGACATTCTGCTTTATTCCCCTTCTTGAATATAGGGCATAATATGATACCGTTACTCAAATCTTTTTAGTTTTAATTCTTTAATTGAGGCTATTGCTTTTTATTAATTCACCTGTTATCTCGTCCTCACCAGGGACTTTATTATTTTTCGTTTTTTTAAGGGTTGCATCAAATTTGTTTCTTGTTAGCTTCTCACTATTAGGTTGCGGATCGTATAGTAGGTATTTCTTCTTCCACATTCTAAATGTTTTTTTATTGAGTAAATCATTGAAATGTTCTTTCCATCTTTCTATATGTTCTCTTCATCATCAATTATTATTCCATTTTTTCTTTTGCGTGTATTTAATCTAGACTGAAAACCTTTCCAGAACCAATTGACTTTTTTATAAAACTGCCTACTATTAACCATCAGGCTCATTTTTTTAATCTTTTCTACTTGTTTCTTCATCATTTCCCTTTTCTTTTTGTGTTAGATAGCTTTCATTTCTTTCCTTAACTTCCTGCAGTATATATCACAGTTTTTTCTAATCTCTCTTTGTAGAGTTTTCATTCTTACTCGATTCTTTTTATTGAGAGCTTCCATGCACTCCTCATCAAATCATTCTTTATTCTTAGTATACTTGGATACGCCATTAATCTCTAGCTGCATCGATTGTTACACTTTTGAGGTATTCTTTTTCTTTAAATGCTCATCATTACACATGTTCTTATTTATTTAGTTTTGTATCAAGAGCCTTGGTACTTTATTAGGTCAGCTTCATTTTTAAAGCTTTCTGTGTTCCGAATATTTGTTTTAAAGCCTTTATTCTTTTGGATATTAGCCAACCTCTGTCTAATTATCGTTCAGACTAGAATACTAGATAATGATCTGTATCGCAGTTAGGGCCTCTTATTGATCTGACATCTATTATGGCTGAGGCATGCTTAGAGGACACTACAATGTGATCTATTTGGTTGACTACGTCTGAACTAGTTTCCATATGCACTTATGGATATCTTTGTGCGGAAAACAGGTACTTTTAATAACCATTTTATGTAACTCAGTGCTAAAAGTAGGCTATTCTCGTTAGTATTCTCATGTAAAGAATAACGGTACCCCGACAAAATATCGCCAAACCAATATATCGTAAAAAAATAATACCGCCGTACATTATTATCACGTCTGTATATTGCATTTAACTTTATCTTATCTTATCTTATTCCCTTTACCTAGCAATACATTCGAGTATTTACTATAAAAATTTACTGGTTTTTCATTTTATAATTTGTAAATATTAATACTTTATACTATCACTGTGACTGACGCTTTTACAATTTAAAGTTTTTTTTTTTTAAAATTTGTATACATTTTTTTAAATTTTAAATGGATTGAATTTTTTGAAAACTGCAAAAGGTAAAAATTGATTAGTTCATAACGGATATACTTTTAAAATAGAAAAAGATTGTACTGATTTCAAGGTAAGATAAATAATATTACTGTTTATAACATTCTGTTTTTATTTTTAATCCATTTTTATTTGAGCTTTGTTTGTATATATATTTTGTTTTAATTACATATTTTTATTTAATAATTGAATATTATTATATTATATCATATTATTTCCCGGTATTTTTATAAGATACCGTACAAAATACAAATACAACTGCTTCAATCTATAAATTTATAAATGGTTTGAGACGTCAACAAAGCCTAACAGAAATTAAAATAGGTCAAAGTATAGTGGGAAATCCAAATACGCCAAATAAAAAGAACAAGACAGTCGGTTGGGCTGAAGGAGTAAAGAAAGTAGTAGCAGATTATCATAATCGAGAGTTTGAAGATTATCTTAACTGTATTGGCCGAAAGGAAGCGGTAAGTATTGGCTGAAAAGGGAACCGCCCTCTGCTACTGATCTTATTGATTCCTCTTTCCCGATTTTAGTATTACAGTCACTCCATTACAATGGTTATCTTATGTTTGGGCACCATGTCAATGCATTTGTTTAAGCTATCGTTAAACGCTTATTTGTCTTGTTCATTGGACTCTTCTATTGGGACATATACTGAAAATATTGTTGTTTCTAAATTTTTCTTTAAGTCTTATTTTACATACTCTATCTGCATGATATGGGTATATAGTTCAGGACAAACTTACTCATCTTCTTGCCCACGTAAAACCCAGCCCCATAAGACCCCGTTTTCTTTTCAGGGCCACTATAGTATATTTACTATAGTAGTTTGTAGTAGTCACTGTAGTAGTTTTTCTTTTGTATAAATCCCTGTCCGAGTTGTTCATACCATCTAATTTCCTGCAGAGCGACTAGATTGATGTTATAACTTAGATCTCAAATGATAATTTATTCATTCTTCCTACTTGTAGTAAGGTTTTTATATTCCAAGATGCGAATGCCCAATTAATTTTCCTTTGTTTATTCCGTTTATTCCAATTTCGTTGTCCAGTCTTTTTACCCATTCTTTATGTCCAAGTTTTGATTTCTTTGTTTTGGTTGCGTAACAGTGTTTTTTTTTACTAGGAGAGGCTGTTAACCTCTCGCTAAATCCCCTTACTAGGAAGACCAGATCCATTTTATCGCCTTGTACAATAGGTATGTTTTAAATGGAGGTAAAAAAGTCATTTTTGTAGAAGTTTACATGTAGCCGTAGTCCATACCTATCGTAAAGGGCGATAAAATGAGCTACATATAAACTCCTAAAAAAAAGACCTTTTATTATATTATATATAATAACCCGTATTTAAAACATAGTGTAAACTCCTACATAGTGTCTTTTTACCTGCCAAAAATATATGTTGTAATCTCCTACACAGATATTTTTACATTTTAAATTCTGAGTGTATTGGTTTTACTATGTGGTTGGTTTAAGATAATTGCACTTAAGTGGGAAAAAACGTAAATTAAATTAAATAAACCCGCATGACTTTTTATACCAGAAACAGTGCTCTAATGGAAAAATGATAAGAAACCTTTTTTATTGCATTTTCGATATTAAATATTCATATAAAAAAATTTAGTAAATATATTAATATAAAGCATAGTATGGGAAATTCTTGAACATTTCGATAACGTCTACGTTATTTCCGTAAATTGGAAATGCAACAATACTATAACAAATATACTGTACAACTTACTATCTAGGTAGTACCATTGTCCATGTTCCATTGATTAGTATCACCATTGATTATAGAATAGCCTATTAGTCTATTCTATAATCAATAGTAGTACTTAATAAAACCATTATTTTCGTAATTTTTTCCGTTCTATCTACATTTTTTTCGGTTTTGCTCAATTATTAAAAAAACTAAACGGAAGTCAAAAAACGACTTTCTTACTGACTACTTTAGAAATGTAACGAAAAGGTTCAGTTACTTAAAATATGGCAAGTATTTCTTTCGATGTTTTCCTGTTTTTCGTAATTATTGGGAAAATTAAATAATGACTTTTTTACTTTCCTTACTCACATACAAGACAAAATTTTCTTTCAGAAAATATACTATTCTTGAAATTTGGACAAATATTTCTGGGAGATAAATATTGTATTAAAAATTTTAAATTATGAAACCGTAGCGCGCCGTCATTTAAAAAATCGTATTTTTTTTTTGGTTTTTCCCAATTATTATGAAAATAACTCGTTTTCAAAAAATGACTTTCTCTATCAGTGGCTAAATATTAAATGGAACAAATTACAAAATCAATCTCTTGTAGTCTTGTCAGTTTTCAATAATTACGATTTGTGGTAAAAATTATCTAGACCAATGAAATGACGAGAACAGCAGTAGGTGTGGTGCGCTGTATCAAACGAGATCAATGTGATATTGTGATCAATGATCATACCTATATATTTTTTTTTATAGACAATAGAGTTAATAATCGTTCGTAACTTCAAGTTCTGTAGCTCTATTGATTCAAACATTATTTAAATGATTTTATTCATAGTTAATATATTTTGTTATTGTTGATGTTGGCTTATTTTATTGTTCTTATTCCAAACAAACTACCTATTTTTGTTTTATTGTAATGCTCGATTTTCATTCATCAACTTTGTAAAACTATATTAAATTTCGCTAAAATGTCGTCTTTTAAGTATAAAAACTATGATGTTTGCTCTGATTGCAGTGCTCCAGGTATTTTAAAAATATTTATTAATCAAATTATTACATTGAATATATTTATTTTATTATGAATATTCGAATAATTCTTATTAAATGCAAAAATAGTGTGTAGGTATTGTTGTATTGTCGCTTAATAAATAAGTGATGTCAATTTTGAATTCATTAGTTCCTATATTCATTGTAGAGTTGGGAAACATCTAACATACTCCAATATTTTTAACTAAAATTGATTGTACCAATTTTAATACAGTGTGTCCCACAGAGATCTGCATTAACTTTTGATCTGTACATTAATTTTTAAGTTTTTCTTTTTTTATTGATTACTAAACTAATGTTTATTAATGATGTTAATATTCTACAATTTTTTGAAGTTTACGATAATAAGAATTGTTTTTATCACCACTGTTAAATAATATCAATCAATTCACCAATTTTTGCATGAAAATTATAATTTTATAAATAATTTTTTAAACTTGAAAAACATTTTTATGCACCAAAATACTGTTTCAAAATAAATTTATAAAATGGCTATTTTGGATTTTTTAAGAAAAAAATGTATTTTTAATTTTAAAAAAAATTATAAAATATCAGAATTACAGCATAAGGCCCTAGTAATTATTAAAAAGAAGAAACCCTTTAAATTAATGAACAGAAATAAATTTATTGCATTTATCAGATCTTTGTGGGATACTCCATAAAGTCCTGATTTCATTATTGTTACTCTTATTATATTTAATATAAAATTATTTGCAAGTTTTTTTGTAATTTTTTTTTTTATTTAGATCCAGATTGGGTAATTATTAATCGTGGATTATATATTTGTGATGAATGTTGTAGTATTCATCGTAGTTTAGGTCGCCATGTATCACAAATTAAAAGTTTAACTGCTGACTGGTGTGTGGTAACATTGAATGTAAGTATTTTCCAAAGAATTTTTTTCATATTGACCATTATAATACTTAAATGTAAAATATTAAGTATTTTTTATAGATGGTGAAAACTTTACATCAAGCTAATGTTAATACACTTTGGGAACATGCACTAAATGACAATAAGAATCATAAGAAAAAACCTACTCCTAAAGATCCACTGTGAATTAGAATATTTAATATTTTAATATTTAATATATTTCTAATCACTTATTTAAACTTTTTAGTCCTATTAAAGAAGAATTTATACGTGCCAAACATAGACAACAATTATTCATATTAAAAAGTAGTGATACTAGAGAAGATTTAAATCAACAATTACATTCTAGTGTTAGAACATCAAATTTAGAAACCAGCCTTAGAATTTTAGTTCAGGGAGCTGATTCAAATTATTATCATCCTGTAAGTAAAAATTGTAAGTTAATATTATGATTATTTTACATTGTTTTTAACTTAGGAAAAGGGAAATTATCCATTACATGTAGCAGCTAAAGCAGGTCAAATATTACAGGCTGAACTTTTACTTACTTATGGTGCCGATCCACTTGTAGAAGATAGCCAAGGAAATACCCCAGCAATATGTGCCAAGTAACTGCCAAATAAATTAAATGTTTCATGAGTTAAAATATTTTATTTTAAATTTTCTAGATTATCTGGTCATAAAGATATAAACGAAAGACTGAATGATTGTATGTATGAAGTATTAGATGTTCTTTCTATGTATGTGTTTGGTCGAAAACCAAACCATAAAAATGAAGAGCATATGATTAATTTAGATCCTAATGATGAAAATGTTAAAGATAACGATCAACCAGAAGCAGTTAAAAAAATGCAACAAGTAAATTTGATTTTATAAGCTGCATTTTTTTTTTTTAAATTTTAAATTATAAAATTATGGTTTATAGTTACCCAACTACTTATTTGAAGATTTAATATTAGATGTTTTTGATGAAATTGATAGAAGAGCAACAGAAAAAAGTATTTTATACATTTGAATTATTCCTTTTATACGTTAATCTTTATCTTAAATGTAAACTAATAATGATTTTATGTGAAGTTTGGCAAAATAAAAATTCTCAAAGTCATATGTCAGTACCGTTTTTACCAGTAAATCCGGATTTATCTTCAATGAAAAATCAAGGAAGGCAAAAATTAGCATGTTATGCAGATAATGAATTTAAAAATCTTGTTACAAAAATTTTAATTGAAATAAATAGAAGAACACTACCAAGTATGTTTTCTTAAGACAATACTTCTTATTCAAATTTAAAATATCTTACATTTTAGTTAATAAAATAATTTCAAAATTAAAATATGATGATGATGAACCACTATATGATCATGTGGCTTCTGATGAAGATTATGCTACACCCGAACAAATTTCTGCTATGGTAAGTTTTTTCTAGTTAATTTTTTATGTTTTAAAAGTTAATCTAATTTAATAATTTATTTTAAAGATGGCGAATCATAGTAAAACATCTATACATTTTAATGACAAAGAAAATTTATTAGAAATTGAAACTAATAAAATGGAAGAAACGGTTTCCTCAAATATGTTGAATATTAATAGTGCATCTAATTTACCATTTTACAATGATAATGCCCTTGAAACAAAGTTATCAAAGTCCGAGGCTGAAATTTCAAAATTAATTTCTGAAATTGATTTGCTGAAAAAAAAAGTTAGTATATTTAACATATCTTGTTATTAAATTAGTAAATTATATTTAAAAATGTACTAGTAAAAAAAATAAGTGTTTTTTTTAAATTAAAAACTTATTTTTTTATAATTTTTAATTTTTAACAATCTGCAAATTGTATGTTTGTATGAATTTGTATACCTAACTTTTGTAATTATCCGTAGTCCTTCATAGAACTGGGATACTTTAAGAAATACAAATTATATATTATTGTTTTTTTTTTTTTGTAAGAAAATATAAATGTAGATGATAACAGTGTAAATGCTGTACCTCCCAGTTACACGGATAACCAAGAGTTTACTGCATTTATTACAATGGAAAAATGTCAGTGTTTAAAATACAGTGTGTTCATGCTAAGGTACCGCTAAATATTTCAGTAGTATGATCTATTATTGAAATGGAATTTTCGGGAATGATAGGGAGTACCCAGATACACATTTTCAGACAAATTTCAAATTTCTACTTTTTTCGATAAACACATATGCAATACAGTTTACTTTTTTTTTATGGAAACACCAAACTTCTCTACAGATTTGGATAGAGTATTTTTTTTTTTCAAACAATTTTTGTATAAAAAGTTTTTTTCTAATTAAAAAATTAGCAAAATTATGGTATGTTAAAATTTAATATTTATAATTAAACTGTTTTTTGACAAAATTTTAACCATGTTCAAATTGTTCTTGAAAATACAAATACATCAATATAAATTAATAATTACAATCCTATTGAACATTGTTATATTTTTGTTATTATTATCTTTATATGGATTATTTTATTATTTTATTATTATTTTTATTTCATGTTACAATTTTTTACATATATTATGTGTCAAAATATGTCGTACTATAAATAAATACTCAAAAATCAAAATAATATCCAATATTTTGAAATACTTGTTTGTTGATAAATAAGACACAAATAAACACGTTGTTTTTGTAATTTTCTTTTATTTTTGTCTTTCCAAATAAATTGGATAAATAAGTGAAATTAATGAAAATTTTAAAAATACACACACTATGCATTTGAAATTAAGATTTATTTATTTGAAACTATAGCGTTATTTAATAAATTGTTCAAATATTCCACCTTGGTGTTCCATAAGATTTTTAATCAGCGTTTATTTGGTCTTCTCTCAAATTATTACATGCTTGGTACTCGTAATTTTTTTTTTAAAAACAATTATAACTTATAATTTTAACATTATTAAGAGGATTTACTTACATAATAGTTATTAAATTCCTCCATAAAAATAAATGAAGTTTTAATTGTATCTTATCTGTCTACAGATATGTATTTCACAATATCAGATATATGATTTTGTTATTCTTATATATGTTAACTATAGTTCTTATTTCGTCAAAACCAGATTATTCGTACCTAAATATAAAATTTCAACATATTTTAACTGTTCTTTTGTAATTAGAAAAAACTTTATACAAAAATTGTTGTTAAAAAACCACTATCTGAATCTATAGGAAAAATATAGTGTGGTCATTAAAAAAAAAAAGTTGAATTGCACATGCGTGTACTGAAGGATTACAAACTTAAAATTTGTCTGAAAATGTGTATTTAGGTACTGCTAAACATTTTTTGAAAAGTCCATTTCAATATTAGGTCATCCATCTGAAATATTTCGTGATATCTTTTAGCGTGCACTGCATAATATTATACAGACTGTAAAGATAAAAGATAGATATCTGACTTGGCAGATAATTAAATGTTTGCAATTTATTTTTGATTTTGGGCTCTTACCAGTAATCCACTTTTATGTATTAGGTAGAAGAAGTGACTAAAGAAAATGCTGAATTAAAGTGTGAAATGTTACGCCAAAAACAACCAAAAATTATAAATAATGAAAATGAGTGTGGTGATATAAAACAGCCCATTAGACCTGTATCTATGTATGAAACTCGAGAAGGAATAAAATGTGAATCGCGCAATTTACAAGTAAGAATGTATATATATATATTAATTATATATTAATTTTTACAATTATCAATTATTTTCTCTTTGATAACGATTTACACTACCTATCAGGTCTTTAAAGTTAATTATAAAACTATTAAAAATATATAATTATAAAAAACTGTGCTCATTGTCCTTTCTCTAATGTTTATGGTTAAATCTAATAATACTGTAATCATAATATACTCATTGGTAAATATCTTTAGTTTGAGATCCCGAATTTACCTATTAATTTTGATAACACCTAATTTAAAAATTGTTTAGTTAAACCCCGAAAGATTTTTGTACTTTGGATTCATTCGAACAAGATTACCAAATCTTAGAATAAGGTTACTTCAAAAATGAAAATAATTTTCTGCTCTCCCAAGGAAAAATACCCGTGCCATTTTAAGGAAATGCATTTTTATGTTCAGACATTTTTGCAGTTTTATCTTCATAAATATAATATTTATTTAATATTAAAATCATAATTTTTTTATGAAAAATTTAATTGAGCCCTAAAATTTTATTTTCAACAACCTTTCTATCAAGATATTCTGATTTTGTTATTTAAGTATGTGATTAATTATTTACAACTGTTTGCCTGATAAAAATATTGTAATTCTGTTTATCGATTTTTATCTTATATACAAAAATGTTCTGATTGTAACAATTTAAAAAAAAAAACACCATATATTATTTATAATAATTTAGTTAGTTAAAAATTTTTATAATTTATTATTATAAATATAATTAACTAAATATAGTTTACTCAATTTTTTTTTATTTATTTATTTAATTTTTTTTTTTTTTTTTTCTCAAAAACAAAACATTTAATGTACATCAAAATTAAATTTGTTACAAAATTGATTAACTTACCTCCTGTAAGATTATGCAGCTTATGTTGGAGATAAAAAGCTATGATTACTACTAAATATATATAACAAATAAGAACATGGTATAAATATATTTCAATTTAAAAAAAAAAAAATTAAATTGCATTTTTAAATACATTTTGAAACAACTCTGAAAATATATAAACTAGCTTATTTTCTAAATAACAATGTTAAAAGCAAATAAATAAATAAAAACAAATCAAAAATATGTGCTATAGGTCTATACCTAGGTACAATAAATAAAAAATAATGAAATAAAATTGGGTTATATTACCGTAAATCCCTGTCTAGTTCAAAAAATAAATATTTATATGTAAGATCTTCAATATTTACAATTTCACTACTAATTATTTTTTTTAAAAAGTCATAGAGCATAGAGTTGAAAGAAGTTTGACCCTGATAGTCAACAAAACACTGACCATAAGAAGTATTCGCATATTTAACAGTCAAATCATATTTTTTCATTTCCCTTTTGTTGCTTACCTCCTTTTGATCGTTATTTAAATTAAATTTCGTAACCAAATACATAATTTTAATTTTTTTGTATAAAAACCTTATAGGAAATACACCAAATTCTTTATAGTTAGCATTAGTAAATCCTTGCAGAGTAAATTTATTTAAACAAATCCTAACTATATTATTTTGATTAATTATTAATGCATTTAAGATGTTATCTCGAAGGCCTCCCCATACTAATATGCCATATTGAAAGTTTGATTGATATAGTGCAAAGTAAACTATTTTCATTATTTGTTTTGGTACTAAGTTTTTAATTTAATATCAAATATAACACCTAAATATCAAATTTTTTCAACTATTTCAATTATCATGCAGTTTTGTGGATTAAAAACTGTATTCTTTATGCAGTCATGAATTTGTAGTTAAAAGATGTTTTATTAATTGAGAACGATAAAAAAAGTTTTATCAACATGTAAAGATAGATTTCTAACATTTAAACTTTTTATTATCAGACTGAAACCTCTGCAGGCTTTCTCATGTACACCATCAATGTTCAATAAATGAAATTTAAAATGTAAAAATATAATTATTATATTTGTTTTTAACATTTAAATTTTTTATACAACTATTTATTACAATTAAAAACAAAAAAAAGGTTGATTCTGGGATCGGGTATGCCACTGTTGTAGAATACATAAAATTATTTAATTTATATCTGTAAAAAATGATAAACCATTACTAACAAAAAACGATTCGGAGCAAAAATATGAAACATTGCACGTAACTTTTAATTTTGATTACTATGTACAACTTATAATGAACCTAATAATAATAGTCTAATAAACTTAATAGTCAAACAATTTAATTTAAGTGTTATTCAATATTTTTTTTTTTCCACATAATTATAGTATCAAATTTTGAATAAAATTGTAAATATTAGGGTCCTTCAAAAGATGTATAACCTCATAAACATGTATGTGACTATTAATTGTGTAAACAGTCAAAATTAAAATTCTGGAACGAAGTAAAGTTAATGTCCACAATATATTTGTTAAGATGTTACAAGTTGTGGATGAAGAATTTTATCACTAGTACAAAAACAGAAACTTCTCAAGTTTTCACTCTATGCGAAAGCAATCTTTTATAATTGACAATAATTCAAATTCATCTAGTATTATCAATTATATTTATCTTATTGACAAGGAGTTGTGACTATGCACAAAAATATGTGACAAATAAATGTAAATGTTAGTAAAACCCAGAATTTACTGTTGTTTGTACTTTTCCTGTAACATATATATAAATATAAACCTGAAAGTAGATTATGGTAGAGAATAGAGATATTACAATTTGTACAGTTAATAGTCTATTTTTAATAATTTTGAATTTGAAATATTTTGTTAAAATTAAATTATACACTACTATGTTAAATTGATAATGATGTACAGTTTACAATCTAAATATTTACTTGTATTTAATTTTTTTGAAATTGTTATTTTAAAGTGTATTAATTTGGTTTTGGGTAATTTTATTGTTTTGAAAGGTCATTTTTTGAATAATGGAAAAACAAAAATATTTGTGCAATAAGAAATTTTGTTAATTTCAAATTTGTTTTTTTATTATAATTCAGTGAAAAATTACAGTAGACTTAAAATGTTGACTGAATACTTTTATTTACACTCTTAACATGGTACAGTTTTCAGAATATTATATTTTTGAGGTTTTTAGTTTTATATAAATAAAAACGTAATTTATTGTTATCGTCATTTCCATTTAAATGTATAAAAATGTTTTATCAAACTTAAACTCAGAATCGTTTTTCATTTGCAATCATTTATTTGTGTATAGGTCCTATTTATAAACTAAATTATCCCATATTATATTCCATCTTCTTAACACTATTCTATATTAGGTATATAATGATGATAATATATAAGACATCCACAATAGATTGGCTTTTTTTTAATTTAACAATCCAAAGAATAATTTATAGTATTACATTTTAATATAAATTTAAAATTAAACTATGTATTACATGAATATTTTCAAACACTTCCATTAAATATTTTTCAAAACTATTACAAGATTTTTTAAAATTCATATTGTTTTTTTTGTTAAATATTGTGTAATTTATAATTAATTCCCATGTGTTGGTTATAATATAAAAATGTATTTTTATAATTTATCAGGCAGGTATTAATTTACCATTATCTGAAGATATTGTTCGTCATACTAACCATGTAACTAAGTGTATACAAGAACTTTGGACCAACATTAGGTCATCAGAAGCTTGTAAAGCATTTGTTCCTGGTGCTGAAAAAATTAGAACTGCTGTGGTTGAACTTACTGCCATATTCCCAAATGTAAGTAAATATTTGGTTTTCTTATAAAATTAAAAATATTAATACTGTGATTAAGTTTTTTCATAACCATAAAATATTCTGAGCCAATTACGGGACACTAATTTGCTGATTTACTAATAAAAAACAGTCTTAAAAGAAATTAAACTTGTCTAATTGTGATGAAACTCTTAAAAGACTTTCTGAAAAAAACCTACATATACTATCAAATTGCTATTAAAACCATGAAAATGTACGTACCATTGATGTATATTGGTTTCAGAATTGACAGAGTATTATTTAAAATAGATGACAAACAGTTCAAAATAATTTGATTTAATTATTAGTTTTTAAATATTCAGTCTAAATTACTGTTTCAATAATAAAATATACTGAACAAACAATTTTATTTAGAGTATTAGTGACGATATTGTGAAATCATCATTATGGTCTTTGAATACACACACAACACAACTACAACTGGAATGTGCATGTTTGGAAGCAGGTGTGGAGAGAGTGCGAAATTGTTCATTAAATATGGCAAAAGCCACTAAACAACTTTTAACAAGGTTCGACTGTAATAATTAATTAATAAACTATAAATATTTATTAAATACATACATTTTACTAAGTTCCTTATGAATAACTATTTAAAATAAAGTACATATACAGGGTAATATTAGTATTATAAGAATAAATTGTGATTTAATTTTGCAATGTTGTTTAAAAAAAAGAAAACAGTTTGTAAATATTCTTTACAATATTCATTCATAATTTATTGTTTATTATATTGTATTTGTTTAATATTATAATATATATAAATTATTTATTTATTTTAAGTATAAGTTAAATTTCAGTACATTCTATTTTTTGTATTTAAAATTATTTATTGTTAACAACAAATATTGCTAGATTTATATTATAATATATAAATAATTCTAATACTATTGAATAATAATTTAACTGTGTTAATGTGTTGACAATTTTAAGTGCAGTCAACAATTGTAAAATTGTGGTTGGTATGTTAATATAATATATGAGTTGTTTTGAATTTATTTAATAAAAATAAAAATTAATGAATAATTAATCTAATTGTATCATTGATTTAATAATTGACTATTATAATAGAATATATTACTAATATATAAATAAACTTGCTATCTCAGTCACTTGCTGCGGCTCTGATTTTTAAAAATAAAGATATGAAAATATTATATTGTAGGTATCTACCTAAATTTAATGAAACAGTATTTTCTACTGTGCTTATTATTTTTGCCCTGCTAATTTGTATTATTATTTTTTTTTTACCCTTATTCATTTTTAGTTTTAACCGTGTCAGAATTAAATGAAAAGAAATAGATAGAAAGTGGGTAACCTTCGGCAGACTAAAAGTGTTCTATTGTGATAAATTTTCATAATTTTCATATCAAAAATATCTAAACACCAAATTTTGTTTGGGGATGGGATTTCAAAGGGGAGAGAAGTCTAACCTATCAGAAAGTGTATAAGTTTAACGGTGGGAGAGCGCGTGTACTGTATTATAGTCGTCACTCGCAGATGGCACATCATTTTACCTTCTAAATGTATTTACCAACATTTTATATTATTAGAAAATTAATAACTCAATTGTTAATCTATATGAATATAAAAACAGACATACTTTTCACGATGGGAGGGTTATTGTTGTAGGTGAAAAGATGGGAAGGTAAGATATAGAGGGGAATTTAATGTATATCTGTATGCAATGATTAATTTTTGCTATCAAATAACTATTCTGAGCGGAATTCAGTTATACATATTTTAAAAGGTCGTAATATTTATGATTTGAAAATAATACATTTCGTAGGTACATTTTCCTGTTTTTGTCATTTGTTGAAAAATTGTCCACAGAAAAAATAAATGAACATTATTGTAAATTTTCCAAACATTTTCTGTGGTTAACTTTTCTACCAACAATTTTTCTCCAATTTACAATGATAGACATTTTTTTGAAGGGAAATCTGACTGGGATGGTAATTGAGTATATTTGGGTGCTATTTAAGTACTTTAGCAATGGTCAATTGTTGGTACAGATATATATTAAATTTCCCCTCTACCTTCCCAACTTATTAGCTACAACAGTGGCCCACCCACCCTGTCCGTCTTATAGATTCTAAATGGAGCAAAGAAGCTTATGGTTTTACAAAGATGTTTATTTATTTTATTTTTTTCTGTTGACAACTTTAAAAATATTCAAACTAGCACTAATAATTTACAAAATTTACTTAGCAATTTTTGGAATTTGCATATCTGTGGTTGTGTGGACAAGTTTTTTTTGTAATTCTTATTTTTTAGGGGTGCTTCTACTATTTTTGAATTTTGAATAGCACCATTATTAAAAATTCCATAAACAGATGAAGTTTTAGTTGAAATATACTAAACTCAAATGCATGTATGTGCACTACGGAAAATCTGCAAAGGAAGAAGAAAAAGATATGCTGCTAGTTATGATTGACTTGCCAGTCCGGAATCTGTGTTGTTCGAGGATAAGTATATGATTGAGATTTGAGGCTACGTTTAATAAAGATGTAGTCATTGAATTCAAATAATTTTCCCCAAATGTGGTAAAATGGAGAACACGATTCCGTGCTTGTTCGATATTACATTTTTCTCGACCTCTTTTTCTATCCAACTCCGTATTATATTCGAACGCTACTATTTCTATATTTATTTACCTCTTACCACGACATTTCAAGTTCAATTAATTAATTAAAAACAAGATAAGTTGGATCTTTTGATAAAGATAACAATACATATTAAATTACTTGAGTCTATATGATTTGATTAATATTTGTTATGATGATAGTACATAACGAAGTAGTCTGACAAAAATGTAACGGCTTTTGATTGGTCAGCAGAACTAGAACCCAGGTAATTAACTTAATGTGGGGGTATAAAGGCCCGTGTATACGAGTTGCCTCCCAAAATGTACTAGTTACCTCCAACGATTTGGTAGTTCATAATTATCGATGAATCCGAAAACCACACACTTTTTAAAATCCAAAAATGACACATTTTATAATAATGTTTAATCTATCATTTATTAATAATTAATCTAAAAATATATAAAATCAAATAAAAAAATGTTTATATAATTATTTGTAGGAATCGATAGCCGATGTATTTTAGAAATTTTAAACGATCCCCGTCCTTCGAAAATTCTTGCCAACATTTAAACAAGTGTTCCTAAAATTAAACACAATTTATTAAAAAAATGATGTAAAATTATTATTGAAATGTGTCCATTATCTAACTTGACTTTGTTTTTCAATTGGATGGACAATATGTTCAATGTTCATATAACAATATATTATATTTTATTTTATAACTGGCGTACACTTTTACCCTAATATAAGTGTATGGGTTTTGTCTACAGACCTATTTGGGATGAAAATCGTATGTGTGCGGTTCCGGATGAAACCATAATTATATACGAATTGCCTCCCATATTGAATAAAGCAGTGGTTCATAAACTAAACTAAATTTAATATAATATTTATAATTTTATTAAAAATAATAATACAATTGGTCAATAAAAAACATGTACATGAATAGTACCTGTTCAGATGTCTATTATGGTTCAACTAATTTCGTTTAATATTACCTAGTCACTTTCGTCTATTTTTGAAACAGCTTTGCCTATTTTTGTCGTACAATTCCCCCGTTCTGTTGTAGGCTAACTTTTTTTGAAAACTAAATTTAAAACGATTAATTATTTTTCAACACGTTTGCTCTATTCACTGATCATTTCCCGTATTTCAGTTTGATCCATTCTAAAAACTTATTAAAAAATTTAAAATCAGTTAACAACTTTTTGTAAAAATAAAATTGTATGACGAATGTTGGATCTTAGCTAACGACAGTAATCATTACGCAATAGATATAATGTTTAATATTAGTCGTACAATCTTATCAATGTACAAAAGTCATAGATTATGACTTTGAATATATAAATCCAAAATCTAATGATAGGTTATTAATAAGTAACAACCAACATAATATTACTTCATGATAAAAGATGAAAAATCTTTATGTTTATGCATATTGTTTGAAAATTTTTGAATCATTTGTGGACACTTATACCTACATTCATTACCTGCCTATCGGGAGACGACTGGTAGTAGACCATTTTCGTTTAAGATAAAGTTTAGGGTACGCCGGGAAGCAACTCGCATATACCTGGGAAGAAATTCGTATTAAACTGATCGACCTTTTTGACCTCGAGAGGCAGCTAGTATGCGTCCAAAAAGGCATTCCCAAAGTTACCTACATATTTCCAAAAGTGCTTGAATGAACTGGAAAGTGTTTTTCAATCATAGTAATATACGTTTTGTAATTCAGCTTGAATAAGTGTTTTCACTTGATTCTGAGTTCAGAGAATTTACATGGTGTAATTTTTAAGTAATGATCACATTAAATTAAATAAATTTAGTACCTAACCTAACTATTAATAAATAATAAATGGTAACATTGCCCAGAAAATCGTACGTAATTATGCTTTACCGAGTTTATTACATTACATGATGTATATCATTTATTTTCTTTTTAAATTAAAATTTTTATTTTTTTAATTTCATACAAATATTTTATTATTGTACCTATACATGATGTCATGTACTATCATTTCATATGACTTATTATATAATTTACCTATAATAATATAATGCACCTATTGATTTTTAAAAATAAATAGTTATGAATTATAAACCCAAATTTATTATTTCCATTATATGCTATAGCCATTGGTGTATTTTCAGTTGATTTTTATACATTTTGTACTTATACTACAATTGTCATTTTTGTTACATTTGATTATGGACTGCATATTTCGATAACTTGATCTGATAATTATTTTTGTGAAAACGTTTAAAATATTATTATTGAATACATAATATCATCAATAGTATTAAAATATGATGTAGGTACCTATTAAATGGTACTATATAATATATAGTACTAACCAATAATATTGATTTTTATATTGTAATATGTAAAATATATTGCTTTTTTTACCATATGCATTTTTTTACTTTCTTTTTTTCTTAACCCCGGCCATCAGGTAGATGGATCACAGATACAAATCTTAACCAATGTTTTGTTTCTCGGGATAGTGCGCATCTTCCATTACCATACACTAGACAAATCTTACCAACTTTGGCCCATCTACATCAATAACCTCGACCTTGCAGTAGTAACACTTGGAATATACCCCTTATAAAATCAATCGTAAAGTAAACTGAACTAATTATGCAAAAGAAGTTAACACTCACCTACAATAGATTTCCCCAACAGCTAAATAAATACCGGAAACAATATGTGCTAGGATGGACACTACGTATCAAAGAACTACAAAAACAATACATAATTGCAGAAAATCCAGATCTAGGTAATCAAATATTGACGCTACTTAATGAGGAAAAACATGAAAAATAGAAAAAGGCAACTGAAGGAATGAATTTTAACCATTTTACCCGTAAGAGCTGGGCTCTCCTTCGCAATTTGGAGGCAGCTACTCCTCTAGTTCATAAAAATCCAGCAGTAACTCCGTCACAAATAGCACTACAGTAGATTCCGCTTAATGTGGGCACGTTGGGACCAGTTACATTTGTCTACAATAAGCGGTTGTCCATTTTAACCGAAATGTTATACGTTTGAATCGGGACCGGACCATTTCATAGACAAGTCCATATTATATGGTTGCTCACATTAACCGGAGGCCACATTAAGCGGAATCTATTGTATATATTAAAAAACCGAGCTGAGAATATAACCCTCGACCCAGATACCAGGAATTAGGTAAAACAGAACTAAGAGAAATCGATACAAATCTTACTCTACTTTCTCATCCCATTTTACTGATGACAAAATAACAGGGCTATAAGATCAATTAAACCAGAAAAAGCTGGTGCTGGTAAAATATTCCCAGAATTTATAAAAAATCTTAATATTACAACTATAAACGCTAGCTTAAAGTTTTCTATTCAGACATATTACTCAAAAAATGTATTCCCCAAGATTTTTAAGTAACTCATACCTTAGCTATCCTTAAATACAAAAAAACCTGACAATGATCCATCCAGTTACCTACCTTATCGCCTTCCTTAATGTCTGCTACAAACTTTTGGAAAACATTTTATAAAACAGGTTACGCAAAACTATAGAAGAAATACTTCCCCCAGATCATGCTGGTTTTAGAACTAACCGTAGCTGCTTCGATGAAGTGTTGACTTTCTCATCCCACATTAAGCCCGGCTTTCAACTAGACCTAAAAACTGGCGTCGCCTTCGTCGACCTGAGTGCAACAATTGACATAGTATAGTTTGATGGATTAATACTAAAATTAAAACAAGTCACACCCAGTGAGAAAGTTACTAACCTCATGAAAAAGATGCTACAAATACGATATTTTAAAATTCTCCTAGGTCAAGACAAGTAAATTCTTCTCTATAAAAAACGGCTTTCTACAAGGATTGGTTCCAACACCCATCGTATTTAACCTATACAGAGAAAGAAATGCTGTATATATGTTAAAGAATGGTTGATTTCCCAAATTGTGACTGCGGTGATCCAATACAGTCAATATCACATATAATCAATGTATGTCCCAAAAGGATGTTTGATGGAAATTGAAACATCATATACAAATTTATATTTGCGAGTGCTAAAGATCTTCTTTGCATCGTGATTGGGATGGTTGGATTTTGTGAAAGTTATAATTTAACAGTGTAAACAATAATAAAAATCTTTTTTCATAAAATGTTGGATAAATTTAGATTGCACAACATGTTTGACGTTACTATTTGTCGTGCCCGCTTCTTATCATTAGTGGACAACTGACTATGACCCCGATTGTTGATCATGGTTACCACGTTTCTATCTACAACCATGATCCACACCAACAAATATAATTTTTCTTAAAAAGATTTTGGCTACTCTGTTTGACTTAACCACATTATCACAGTAGGTAGTGTAAATTTTCAATTTTATTTTGATTTTTTTTATTACAATTTTGAATTTATTTAAGTTTTTCTTAGTTGTATTTTTCTTTCTCAATGATTGGATTTACCCGTGAGTGAAGTCTAATATTGATTCGATATAAATGTTTTGAAATAATCAAGTAGATTAATTGCGATCAATTCTCCGTGAACAAAATGAAAAAACTTAATATTTGTGCACACTTACAGCACCATTTTTATATACAACTTCTTTTAATGGGTTTGTTTGAAACAAAAAATGCCGCTTAAAATTTTTACACCAGTGCAGTTGTATTCAAGTAACTAGAAGAAAACTGCATAATGCCAAAATGCGGATTGCACACCAAATATTTTCCAGCGACATTTGCATGGATACTGCTACTTGGAACAACTGGATCTTTTTTCTATTATCCGTAAGTGATATTATTATTGAAATTTGTTGTTTTCTTATATTCCTTATTGTATTTTAAACGTTTTTTTTAGATGTCGATTTTTTGCTCAATTTTATCCTTGGGTACCAATTGTTCATGGCGTTGTGACATTTTTTGTTATAGCAAATTTCACATTAGCTACATTTATGGACCCAGGGGTGATACCTAAAGGTATATTCATTTTGTCTCATTATTTTAAATTATATTTTTATATCAAAATTATAATTACATTTTAGCACCAGAAGATGAAGATACTGGTGATGATTTCCAGTCACCACTGTATAAGTCTACAGAAGTAAACACTATACAAGTACGAATGAAATGGTGTTCCACATGTAGATTTTATAGGCCACCAAGATGTTCTCACTGTAGTGTATGCAACTGTTGCATAGAAGTAAGATTAATACAGTTATTTGTGTATTAAAGTTTTACTATTTCTTTTATTTATAGACGTTTGATCATCATTGCCCATGGGTAAACAATTGTATTGGCCGCCGCAATTATCGCTATTTCTTTTTTTTTCTTATATCACTAAGTATACACATGGCGTCTATTTTTGGTGTTTGCTGTTGGTATATTTTATATCACAAGGATAAAATTGGAGACATTGATACTTTAGTATCGTATCCTTTTTTTTTTATTATAAATTATAATATTTAAGATATGATAGTTATAATTTAAATATATTTAACAGTTTTTAAATTTTAAAACAGATATAATTTAAAAAATACATTATTTGTGATCTTGTTTAGTAATCTCAAATAACTAAAAGTAAATTTGACTAAATATCAAGTATTATTTCTCTAAGTTAATTTTTCCTTTTCCTATTTCACCAAAATTGATAAAAGAGGTACTATTTTAAAAATTAAGCTGTTTGTTTCTGATAAATTGTTAATTCACAATTTTATAAATTATTATTTTCACTTTTTATTTTTATTATTTGTGGTTGAGAATTTACTTTTATTTATTAGATTATATGTACAATATATTACAAGGCTTTGAACAAAACAAAACTTATATCCATTTAACCTAAATTGACTGTTATATAAATCAATACTAACTTGAATAAAAATCTTAGGATAAAAAAATAATTATTCAAAATTCATACTATTTATATTGGTTTAACCAAAGCAAAAAATGTGACAAATTTGTATTGATTTACTGCGGGGATGTCAAATTTTTCTTTGTGGAGACTCACAAAACAGTTGTATCTTGTTGATCATAATAAAAACTGGATAGTATAATTCATGATCATCAATATAAACACGTTTTTTTAGATGTATTAATGTTAATTTATTATATAATCAAGAACCCTAACTAACACCAACATTTGAAACCAATATTAACCGTATAAATGAATAATTAATTTAGGTTCATAGCCTTGATTTATACGTTACCATGTTAGAATTTTTTGGGAGTTTATAATGAATCATAATTTTATAATCATTTATCTCCAATTGATATTTGGTTATTAGTTTTTAATTATACATCTGTAAAGACGGTTTTTTTTTTCTACAAACTTAATTGTTTTATTTGAAGTTTATTTTAACGCTTATTTCAATTATGTAATTTTTTAATATGAAAAATATTATTTATATGATTTTATAGCTCAGATCTTGTATTATTTGTATTTTTTATATCATTTTTCTTAATTTAATTAATTTATTAGATTAACTTTATGTGGATTGGTAATTATTTTATTTATACCAATATTTGGTTTGACTGGTTTTCATGCTGTATTAGTAGCACGTGGTCGTACAACTAATGAACAGGTTACTGGAAAGTTCAAAGGTGGATACAATCCATTTTCACATGGTTGCCGTTTGAACTGTATAATTATTTTATTTGGGCCTCAGTTTCCAAGGTAAGAATTTTGAATTTAGTTTAATATAATAATAATTGTATTTATTAGTTTGTTAAAAGTGAAAACGTCCAAGTATCAAAAACATAAAAAACAAATTCAGAACAGTTTCAATATTCCTCCACCATTATTGACTAAAGAAGATAATTGTGGGCCACCTGTTGCCAAAACCTATTTGGACAATAGTAATGGATTACATCATTCTTCAAATACTTACAATAAGGTTAGAAAGACTAATAATGCTTAATTTTGCTCTATTTGATTAAGAATTTTCTAAATTTAACATAATTGTATTACTATTATTATTTTTCCCTGTATATTGACTCCGTATTTAATTTTATAATCCTTATTTCATCCTTCAATTTATTAATAGTAAATAGGATATTCAATAATAAACCACCCACCAGAATTTTATATACTATATAAGTTGATACTAAGGACAATATTTTAAATTATAATATACATGTTTAAATTTTTCAATAGGAATTCTTATAAATAATACCAATTAGATTATTATAATATATTTTACTAATTACCTGGTATTTCTCAGGCTTCATCCCTTTAACAGTAATCAATATAAAAATTAATTTGATAAAAGCAAAAATTAAAGGGTCTTCTGCATCTTAATATAAATTTTAATGGGGACTATTTTTTCTTAATTCCATCTCTAAAAACCTCCCTTGACTGAAAAATTAACTACTTTTGTAACCCTATTTAGGAGAAATGATTTTTTATAACATGTATAAATAATGTTAAAGCTGATAAAACCCATCACATCATCAGTCTTACATTTTAACTATTTATCTTTTATATATCCTATAGAGTTGGCATTTAAAAGTTCATGTGGTTAAAGAAATGTGTAATACAGCAACTTGTATTGGGTATAATAATTAACATTAATTATATATATGTTAGAAATCAGAAAACAAAGTTTTTGAAAAATCAGTCTGCTGTACTGAAAATCAAGCTCAAACTATTCACTTGCTGGGTGATCAGTTACCACTGATCTTTAACACTTACAACTTGTTTACATTTAAATTTTTAACCAAATCAATTCTGTACTATCAGAATAATATTTTTTAGTATCTCAATTAATAAATTTAAAACAAAGTATTGTCCTTTTGTATGTCGTGATTGTATATTTAAGTTTTTAAAAACCAGATGAGTTGGCTTCAGTGATGTAGCCTGGGAGGTAATGAGGAGTTTTAATTTGCCATTGCTTTTTTTTAGTTATAAGTAAAGTTAAACAGATTTTAGGCACCTTATCGCATTCCATTAATTTATTCAGCCACGCCACTAGTTGGCTTAATACATATTTTATTAAAATATTATTAAATATAAAATAATTTAAAATTTTATAAATATTTAGTATACTATATCAACTAACTATAGAATTTTGTACTGCTAGTATTTATATAGATTTGTTTTATTTTAAAATGTTTAAAATTACTTTATGTGTTTTCTAGATGTCTCCTGGAAGAGATTGTTCAGAGTTGGACATTGAATTAACTGCTTCACAATCACAAGACTGTGAACCAACACCACCGCTACAACGACAAGGATCTAAAAACAATTTCTATTTGCCATCTTATGACACAACAGATAGTACTAGGATGACTTATATGACACGCACAGCTCCACATCCATCTAGACCTAGGTAATTAATTTATCCCAGTGTAATTAAGTATAAATATTAGGCTGTTTTTGATTTTTAACTTTTATTTTTTTCGAATTAAGCTTAAGAAATTGCCTACTTGTGATCTCAAACTTACCCAAAACAAATGTTTAGAATTTGCTCATCTCATAATTAGTTTTTCCATTTAAATAACATAGGAAAATAACGATAATTTGAATTAAATCATTTATTCATTAAGTTCGAAAGTTAAGAGGTTGTACATAGTTTTTTCTTAAAGATCACAAAAAATACAAATGTGATTTGATTGAAAGTATCATTACTTTCATATGTTATTTAAATTGAAAAACTAAATATGCAAATATAATGAGCAAGTTATAAAATTTTGTTTTGAGTAAGTTTGATACAAGTTAGTAATATCCAGTCTTAATTAAAAAAAGAAAAAAACATTAAAAATCAAAACAACCTAATAAATTTAATTTGTTAAATGTATGGTTTTTTAATTATTATATCACTCAAGAATGGGAGAAATGGGTAATAGTTTATCAAGAGAAACTATTATGGATTCAAATCGTCAACCCAATATTATGATGCAAAGTCCAACTATGCAACAAAGAATGAAAGCTATTGGTGTACCTACGCCATTGGCCTTGTCTAGTCCATTAAGACGGTAAGTACCATAGTAGAAATTAGTTAATTTAAAGTTATTTTTGTGTTATTTGTATAACACAAATTTTCTTTTATGTACATTATATATATATATATATATATTAAACAGTTGTATTTTATTTACAATTTTTTAAATTTTATGAAGTTTTTAAACACTTTAACTAATAATTTATCATTAATTATAACTGAATGTAAATACAGTACAGTGGATTCCGCTTAATGCGGGCATGTTAGGACACATTAAGCGGTTGCACATTTTAATTGAAATGCATATCATTATACATTCGAAATCGGAACTAGAGCAATATTCCCATTTTAGGCGGGCATCTGCATTAACCAGTGGACATATTGAGTAGAATCCACTGTATTAAGTATTTTTTATTATTTTTTAGATCAAATCCAGGTACTCCAACTCAAGTAAAACGACCAGATTTTATTAGTGTTGCTTCTTCTGTTAAACATTATGAATATCAAGAGCGCAGTCCCCAAAGAAGGTTTTTGTCTGAAGGGGACATTCTACGAGACCACGAAAGGCCACCTTCTTACCCTCGTATAAATAATACAGTAGACAATATTCAAGAGTTGGCTGGATCTCCACAACGAGGTGTATATACTTGGAAAGACACTCCTGGTACAGCTGGATCTTACTACGTATCCAGACAAGCGCCTACTTTTAACTATTGTGCAGCACATAATGATTATAGATCTAATCCTACTAGTCCAACTACAAAAAGTTATTATCCAGTTCGTGGAGGGGTTCCAGTATATCCACCTCAACCTTCACCTGTCGGTAAGAAAAAACCTCCACCTGTACAGACTAGAAGACCGATGTCTTTTGCCAGGGCATTGGACCATGATGCTATGGAAATGTCAATTAATAGGGGAAATAGCACTGATGGTGGAAGTCCTGATCGAAAAAGTTCTTATGATAAAAATTATGAAATATCTGTTTAAAGATGTAGCTTTCTTTTTAACTTTCCATTTTTTAAATGTATATTATGGTAAATTATTATCATGTGCATTCTGTATATTAAACTGAAATTAACTGATGTAAATAATTATATATATATACATAAATTCTTTTTAAGAGTTATCAAAAGCATTTATGTTACTTACAAATGTGTGTGTTACAGGGTGTTGTAGGATATTATGTTTAATATAGTAAATAATTAAATTTGTTAGAAGTTTAGCCATTTTGACTTTTAAAAACCTTAAATATTATTCTCTATGTATGTTTTAACAATGGATCAATTAATTGTAAAATCTAGTCATAATTTGTGAAAAATTGCATAATATATCTTTAATATATGTATTATTTTTTTTATATATAAAACTAAAGCATTTAAAGAAATATATGTATAGTGATAATAGTTATAAATTATAATAAAGAGATACCTTGTTACTTTTAATTTATATATATATATTAAAAAAAAAAAAAACAAATTATTATGCATATTTGGATACTTTATTGATATACCAATATTATTTAATAAGTGTATTTCTTTTTTTACATCATACATATTTCTATAAGCACCCTGTACTGTTTTCATAGTTATTACTAATGTTGTGAAATTTGTTTATACTTAATTGATTTCCTCAAAATTTGTATTTAAAAAAAAAAAAAAAGTAATATTAGAAAGTTTATACACAATCTGATTTTTGAATAAAGAAGTATAAACAAACATGCATATAAATAAATAATTACCTATAAAAATAATTGGTTAATTAAATTTAATGTTAATATTTACAAATCTCAATTAACAGTTAACATGACATATTTGTATACATTATATACATTGACTCAATTGTCATGTTGAACTTCAGGCGGTGGAGCATCAGGTTCATTTCCCCAATTAAAACCTCCAGGGCGATATTCCGGTGGTGGAACATGTTCCTCTTCTGGTACTGGATCGAGGAGATGTTTTCTAGTTGGAAAAAAAAACATTAATACATTATGCCAAAAAAATCTAAATTGCTGAAATAAGTTTAAACATATAGTTATAAGAATTGGTTGTGTATTTTTGATCAGTTTTTCTTTAGTACTGGAAAAATGTATTTAAAAAAAATTGATGTAAAATCTAGGTTCTTTTGTATTCAATTCTGAAATTATTTTGCAGCTACTCCACTCTTTCTTATTACATGTCTTCCTTTTATTTCCTTATGAAAATTGCATTTCTGGTCTTTCAATATCTGTTGGCTGTACCCTTAAGCGAGGTCTACCTCTACAGTTTTTTCCTTTACTACCCTTTAATAATTAGTCCAAGGAACCCACCACATTTTAATTCATGGTCAACCCATTAATTCTCCTTTTCTTAATGCTATTCTAACTTTTCACCATTATTCTCTCCCATAATTTTTCATTTGTTATTCTATCCATCCAACTTATCTTGAACATTCTTTTCAGACACCGCATCTTGCAATCTTCTATTCCATTCTGTTCTGCTTTCTCAATTGTCATGTTTTACTAACATCTAGGTATAAATTACAAATATCTTTAAATACAGATATTTTCAATAGAAATCAATGTTGGTGGTTTCAATTTACAATAACAGATTATAATATTAAGTATTATGTTACCAAAATTATTAGAATTATATTTATTAATTTTGTATTTTGTTTTTATTGTGATAGCATACAATTTCATGCATAAAGAAAAAATATAACTAATTATATTAAAAACTGTTCCACTACTTTTGTTATTTTTAGAGTATAAGGGAAAAATTTTTATTACACTTATAAAGTTATCCAATTAAATATTTACAATTTTTGTTTTTGAATGTTGTAAATGCAATTTAACCAATAAATATATTTTAAAAACAAAATCCTTACAAAAATTGTGGTGTTTTAAGAACTTTAACATTGTCTCCATAAAGAGGAAGCACATCTTCTAGATAATAATAACAATGGCCGACGATAATTCCCATCAGATCTATCCACGGTGTATTGCCCAAAAGAATTGAAAAACCAAGCAATACCCATGGTAAATATGGAGCCTAATAACAAAATAGCATAAAATTAATATACATAAGAACATTATTAAATTTTTAATTAAAAAAAAACAAAGGAAATATTTCCTATGATGAGAAATTTAATGTACCTATGTATGTACAGATCAACCATTGCTAACAAAAACACAATTCTGAATAGAATTCGGTTGTACATATTTTAAAAGGCCGTAGTATTTACTATTTGAAAATAATAAATTTTGTTAATTTTCCCTTTTATTTCCATTTATGATAAAAAACTCATGGGAAAATCAAAAATTGAATTCCTTAAAATACAACCCCAATCAAATTTGCTTTCAAAAAAAGTACTACACTTGAAAATTGGAGCAAAATTTCTGATTGTAAAGTTGATAGATAGAAAAATAAAATAACAAATACCATTGTAAAATCAATACATTCCAAGAATTGAAAATAACAATATTAATATAAAAAGTTTGAATATTTTACTTTTCTACAGTTATTATTGTTTGTATTAATTGAAGTATAATGGGCAACATCATAGACAAGCATGATGGGAATTCACTAATTAAAGAATTGTCTGTATGTTCATAAAACTAACATAGAGGTCTGATGCTTATTTTATTTTTCCATTCAATACCGTGGATAAGCAAAGCATTGCAGAATAACTAATAATTTTACAATAGATTCAAATTATTATTTAATAAGTAAAACATGTCACACAAAATATAAGGGCTTAATGAATTTGAATTGTTAGTGCTAAATAAAATCATTAAATATTGAATAAATTTAATAGTACTATACCTATTACATTTAATAACAATTTTAAATTTTAAAAACCATAGTGCTAAACATAAAATGTGTAGAATTGTTTTAGACTATCTTAAAAGATTATTATAAAAAATACAAAAAAAAAAAAATAAGGTGTTCGGTATAATATATTATATATTATTTTACATATTCACTTTATATTTATGAGTATTTAAAATATATACATATCTATTGTATGTTATACAGCAAATATCAAATTAAATATTCACCTGGAAGTTTAATACGCCAAAGAAATTCATTCTGACATAAGGATTTCTTCGAGACCAAATATATACCAACATAATTGTCAATGCTTGTCCTAAGAATAACAAGTTTATGAAAAATGCCCATATCTAATTAAAATAGTAAAGAAATATTTGCGATTGAATAAACTGATACTATAGAAAGAATACCCTAAAACACAAAAACAATGGTAAACATTTTATTTAAAAAAATTATGAGTTAAGATTTTATGTAATTTATATTAACAGTAGTTTTTATAATTCACCTAATATTAAATAGCAGAATATGATATTTATTTACTAATTTTAATAATATAAACCTGATGATAAAGAAAATAATAAAATAGTTTTCTGTATTTTCAATGAAGAAATTAGGCAGTATAAAATATTAAATTTGCACTACATTTTCCTTTATTTAATTCACATTTAAGATGCCCTCCTAATTTTTTTTTTTTAAGGATTTTTCAACTTTGATTCTAAAGTTATTTGATTAGTTTATGGTAACCGTTATTATAAAGAAGTTATAGCTATTTGACGTTTGTTGTTTTTATGGTTTAGCAAGAGACCAACCTCATAAATTGAGATTTCTGAAGGTCTGGATCTCACATAATGAGATTTAGGTGCAAATTTAGAACACACCCTCCTTGGAACTATTTAAGTTGCGATTATGGGTTATGTCAATAAGCCCCTTAAAAGGGGGGTCAAAGAAAGCTGCACTCGAGTTGATGATCGAAGCTGGCAGACATAATCTGTATTTGTTTATTTAGCGGTTCTTGAAAACATTATTATTTCTAAACATACAAATTTTTGTTTTAACTTTTTTAATAATGGTTTTTACAGAAAAATTCAAACTTTTTCAGTATTGAAAAAATGTGTTTTTTCAAAAAAAATTTTTTTAAAAAATGGCATGGTAAAGAAGAGTTGTTCCTTTTTTTAAACAAATTATTATTTTATTGGTAAGACAATTATTTTTTATTAATTTTAATATCTATTGAATTATTCTAAAAAATAACATCAGGGTTAATTACTTAGTATAGCCCAGATTTAAATTCTTTTAAAACACTTAAAATGCTCTTAAATTATCTAAAAAATTTAAAAATATACAAAAATTATGGCTGTAAAATGATACAAATTATATTTTTTTTCGGGTACATTAATATTAAAATAAATAATAATTTAAAATTACAAAAAAATAATATTATTCTTTTGCAATTCACAAAATATTTTAAGTATACTAAATGTTCTCTAATACCTAAAATATTTTCAAATATACAAAAATTGTTTTCTTGTGAACTCTGTGTTGAACAAAATGTCCACATTCTATATAAAACTACATCAATCACAGTATGTAAAAATCCAGACTTTACTTATTAGTAATAATATTAATTATATTTATTGATGTATTACATAAAGGTTCAATATTATTATAAATATTACTTGAGTACTTTTGGAAAACTGAATCTTTTAAATATTAAACTAATTCATTTGATTCTATGCAAGATGATAAACATTTGAGACGCTCATTACTACACACATTATAACAAAATATATCACTTTTAAGTTTGGGTAGGAGAAATGAAGTGGAGCATCATTTATGTAGCAGCATAACACTACTCTCTCACACTACCTAAATTTGAAAGTAGAATATCTCATCATTAAATTGACAAAAATTAAATGTATCAACACCAACAATAAAACTTTATCTCTTTAAGTAATTTTTAGTATAGATTGATATTTAAAAATAAAAAGTGAGTAGTGGTTTAACTGTCAAAAGAGTAACAAAATATAATAGTAGTGCAACATTTTAGATCTGCTTGTTTCTTAAATTGTCCAATAACAAAATAATTTAGAAAAAGTATCTGAATACTTTCTGAAATAATGAGTGTATTATAGATAATTGATCAATGTATTAAATAACAATACACTGGAAAACACTTAAATTTCATAGGAATATATTTTGAAAATTGTTCATTATTTTATTATTTCACATTTTAACAATTTCAAATAAAAATCCTTCTAGACTTATTGCACTTACCTTATGTCATGTAAAAAAAATTTAATATAATTAATCTTAAAAAAGGATACAATCATTGAAGTAGCACCAAATAAAAACATCATAACAAAATCAGCAGTTCTAGAGCGAAACGATCCTTCTTCAAGCATACGGCAATAACGATATGTGAAAATCATGTTAAATAGAAAATTAAAACCAATATTTCCAAAGAATAAAAAAGTTGTTAGCACTCTCCATATCTGAAAAACATAAGATTGCAACAATCTAAATGACTCTATACTGAAAGTCTCTATGTATTAAAAGTTTCAATTATTTCAATACAAGGCAATTTAAAGAAAATAATTTTCAATTATGTGCACTAACTTCAGTTTTATTAATTATAATTGGTAAAATCATAACTCATAATTTATTCTCTATTTATTATACTATAATAAATATTTTCCTAAGGTTTTGATTACTAAAACCTATTAATATTGAGATGTTAACCAGTTGCTGTTTTAAATAAGTTTGAATTTACTTCAACTTTCATTGTATTAATATTTTCTTATCTTTCCCCTTCATCCCAAATATTTGGAGTCAGCCACCCTTGTCTTAAACTTCCACTTGGCCCAATTCCCCACATCATCCTCTCATACACCTGCTGTTCTCATATCATTCTGAATCACATCTAATTACTTATTTGGTCTTTCTCTTCTTTTCTTTCCTCCTATCCATATATCCATTATAATTTTTACTATTTCAGATTCTTTTCTTCCAGTGACATGCCCACGAACCATCTCTATTTTCTCTCATTTTGTGTACTATCAAAGCTACCTCTTATGTAATCATTCCACCTCTTGTCCCTCTTCTCATCCCCTTAAACATTCTCATATCTGTAACACTCATTCTGTTATATTTTTTCTGTCTACCATACACGGGCGTAGACTTTTGGATTTTAGCACAGGAACACATAAGAAACTTAAACTATTTTACATAGTATTCTTTTATACACAAAAGCAAAATTTTTACGTTTTACCTACTTTATAATTGAAGTACAGGGGCTATGCCCCCGTGAAGTCGGTGCCTATGATTCCGGACCATACAATATTACTTGTCCCACCATACTTTTGAAGAACTTACCTTTAAGTCTCATTGGAATTTTCTTCACACAAAATACCTAACGCTTCTCTCCACTTTCTCCAACCACACTTAATAGTACATAGTCAATTTCCGTGACATAAAATCAAACTGTTTCTTAGATATTGATGTTTCACTTCTAATTCTCTTTTTTTAATTTTTTTTTCATATCTTCATATTATGATTCACCAATTTTATTCTTTTACATTTTCCTTCCCTTTAAAAATAAGTATTACAAAACTCTTCCTCTACTCATCTAGCATTTTCCCTTTCACTTTATTAAACAAAATCATTTAACCAGTCTATAACTTCCATACCTTTTGTTATACTTTAATTGGTATACCATCTGGACCTACAGGTTTTTTCTTTTTCATTGCTCTTAAAATCAGCTGTACAGTGTACATTACACGATCCACTGCGTATCTTCCTGCCTAACTTAACCTACCAGATTTTTATTTCACGAAACATTCTCTAATATCTCGAATATTGCTGATTCAGTATTCATTTTTCCAAATTGTTTATATCCTCATCATTCTTTAATTTCATTTATGTAATTTTTAAATTATGGATTATAAACTAATTGTTTTGAGTTTAATTACTGATAGTTATTTATATAACTCTGGGTAACAAGTTACTGAGAAATCTGAGGCTTTTTAAAAGATTATCAATAAAAACTTTTCAAAGATAGATAAATAAAAATTATTATTTGGTAATGGTATCATAAGTGATCTACCATAATTTTAATGATCTATTATAAAATAATATTGATAATACAATTCTATAATAAGAATTTCATACACTGTTAAAATAATAATACAATTTTATCGGCAACTCGCATTATCAATCATCAAATTGAGCCCCATAAAAATACTGCAAAATGATATTCTTAATTCTACCACCAGTTATCTGTTGATTATTAATATGTATTACATTGAGTTTAATATTTCATTATTTTGATTAAACTCCACTAAACTATCAACAGATCAATTAAAGCATTATGACACCATGTGAGCTACATGTATAGATCTTGAAAATTACAGTAGATTGATAACAAAACTGTTTTCAATTATTCATACAATGATCTAACTATGGCTAAGATTTTAGCTTTATAAATTCAAATTTAATTAAAAAATTTGAAAAATATTAGCAATTCATTGGGACTATATTATAGTACAGTGACTCTTTTTATTAGGACCTTTGTTGTACAATCAATGCAACATATTATACTATTATATTTTAGTTTTAAATGTAATATTATTACATACTTGAAATTGTTTTAGTATTAGTAATGGATTGAAATACAATTGAAATGGAGAAACCACGTCCAACTGCTAGAAGTAAAATTAATAGTATTATTATTTTCATCTAATTGTAACCAAACTATATGAAAATGGTTGACTTACGACCGCTATTGTAGTAAGTACACAAGCTGTTGTATAAGCTCTTGTGACAGGTGGCATTTGCATATATTCCTGTCGTAATGTATGGTAAGCCATGGTAACAGTTCAAATATATTTATCTCTAGATTCATACAGTAACTGTAAGGTATACCATTGAAGGCGGTATGAATCAAAGCAATTAAGTCAGCACCATTACCATTATTGAATAGTTATTTATTAGAATATGTAACAAAAATATTCAAAATTAGTTTACATAAGACTTACGTGACATTCTCAGATAAAACGAATGCAAATCATCCACATACACACAATTTTACCAAGCAAATTAAGTTAATATCATGCAATAGACCACAATATTATACTAGGACCATAAATACTAGATTGTGGATATAAACAAATAGATAGCGAACTCCTTATCAACACGAATATTATCCTTAAACCACGGTAATCATAAAAAAACATTTTCCATCTGACTCGTTCATGACTCACGATTAAAGATATACAGCAGGTTGGGAATCGAGCTGTGATAAAGTGAAGCACAAACCTTCTGAAAAAATCAGCTGTTCCAACTAATCACTAGCGCTCTATCATTCCTAGTGTCAACATACTTGTTATTATCATTTATCACTTTTGTTATGAACCACGATTTAAGATGTACCCACCCTAGAAAAGTATAGAGTGCCTTGATAGAGGCATATCAAGGCACTCTAGACAAATATTAGTATTCATATTTATGATTATCTTATGGGATACATATTTTGTGACTCAACTTTTTGCTATGTGTAGGAGTCCGTGCAAGTAGTAAATGATTTAACTAAGTATTATTTTCATTTATTACTAAGTGACGCCTAGCTAAAATCTTAAACCCAACAGACCCAATTATAGAAGAAAAATAAAAAACAAAAAAAATGTATATTTATTAACTTACTTCGCAAGAAAAAAAAAACTATTGAGTAATCGATATATTTAAAAATAAATGATTAACAATTACGAAAAATTATTTATAAAAATGGCTCTCAATAACTCAATTTTCACAAATTTTAGCGGATAGTGTCTCTAAATTAGAACAAAACCAGATAAAAACAGAACTAGTGAAAAGAGGGTTGATTACTATGGAAACCTTACCCGAATTAAAAACTAGATTATTCTAATATCTTAATAGCGAATTGTACCTTCTGACTTAAATAATAAAAATATGAAGTATCCACTTCCAACCGAATGAACAATCATGAAGATATAAGGATGACTAGTAAAAAGCCGGAACTTTTCTGGACTTATTTTAGAGAACTTTGATTTTCATTAAAAAAAAATGTCCGCATCAATCAATAACTGGTCTGACTAAGACAAAACTCGATACTTCCTGAGTTTTCTAAAAGGGCTCCGCATTAAAAACGTACGTAAATATACAAACCGACAATATCATAAAAACGAGTTGGTCAAATTTAGAGAATTATTTTAGAATGCAATTCGAATTCACCGCCCAAATTGGCATTCTTCGCTCCCTATTAGAAACACGGAAACAACTCGAGGACGAATAACCGATAATACATACAAATATATTATATATATATATATATATTATATATATATATATATATATATATATATATTATAAGGGTAACTGAAATAGAATCTTAATGTATCCTAATTAGACCTGATGTCGATCCCTTAATGGCCAAACAGAAAATAATATGTAATATTACGAAGGATCTTAAACCAAGCATTATTAGGTACATAGGTCTTATAGATAACAATACTGTCGAAAAGCTTAAAGGCAATATTTGAAAATACGAACAAGTTGAATTTATGACTAGTAGTACAACTAACCAATCACCATTAGACAGGACTGAGTCAATATTTAAAGAACAAATTTACAAAATGAACGAAACAATAAAAACATAAAAAGAAAATAATTAAAAACTAATAAAAGACTTACAAAATTCAACACTAACTGAAAACATGAACAAAATTAAACAACAAATTTAACGATAAATGTAATACTCTTAGCAAACAATTAAAATCATAGGGCATTCCACGACCAAAAAACACTCAACATTTTAAAAATAATAACTCTAGGCGATACAATTCCTTTCCACCACAAAATCCGACTAACTATGTTCACTATAAATATCAGTGAAGTGCGTTTGTCGTTGTATTTAATTTAAATTTATCTCGTTTTTTTCTTATTATTGTTTCAATTTGAACTCAACAAATAACCTGGTTATAACATCAAAATTATGTTATATGTGTTTTTTTTTCACCTTATCAATCACATGACGATCTTACTCAGAACACATATCTGCACGTCGGACAAGTAAGAAATATCACTGTACTCTAATTAAACTCACCCCCTGCTCTCCCGTATCGCATTAAGGAATGGATAGATTCTATATCCTGTTATAAAATAGTAAATGATTTATGTACCTGTATATCTTTTCATTTATTATAAAACGATAAACCATGCTAACAAAAATAACGATTCTGAGCGCAGTAAAGTTGATAGTGATGCTTTTTCAACAATATATGTGTTATATTATAGTAAAATAACTGCATAGGCATTATATATTTTCTTTAATAATATTTGTTAAATATTGTATCTATTTTCCGTTTTCCATATTTTTGCCAGTTTATCACATTTACTGGGAAAATCGAAAATAATCTCGCTGAAGTACCTTCCCAATCAGATTTTATTTCAGAAAAGTGCTATCATTGTAAATTATAGTAAAATTGCTGGTAGAAAAATTGTATACAGAAAAAAAAACCGTCATATTTTTATACTAATACCTACCCACATTTCGTACATTTTCCGTTTTTCCAACAATTTATCTCGGTTTTTCCCAGATATTATGAAAAACTAAAAAATGACTCCTAAATTATCATGGAGATAAAATTTCTTTTCAGAAAATAAGCTACACTTGACACATTGGAGCAAGATTTCTGGTAGAAAAGTTTGCACAACAAATCGAGAGGTATTTTGCAATCAAAATAGTCCGAGGGAGCAATGGCTTAGGTCTCTAGGTACATCCAAAAATAATTTATTCTTTCTTTGTTTAGGTAAAAGGGAAAAAAAATGCCCACAATATTTTTTTGACACACTGGTTTGTTCTCGGAACCCCTTAGATAATAATAGGCAAAAATAACCATTAGATCACCACAAATACGTTTTAACAAGGACAATATAGAGTTATTTAACATAACATATAATATCTGCACAATTTTAAAACTTCAACAAAATACTATAATTTCGAAACTTAGTCGGTAAGCTTAATTCTGATTTCACCATCATTCTTAAATTGGCAATATATATTGACATTAAAATTCCCTTATAAAATAAAAATACTACATTAAACTCAATTTTTTTTTGTCACAAAATTAGACTCTTAATGAACCTCCTGTTAAATTTTGAAACATTTCTGTTCAAGTCTAACAATTTTATCACCGAGTTCCTATCGAATATAAATTACGTACAAAACTAAAAAAATTAAAATGTCTATAAATACCTCAAAATTGATTTAAACTTTTTGAAAATTTTACCACGTCTAGTTTTTCAGTCCATAGAGTCGATACAAATATTTTTAACTGAATTACAACAACTAACAAAATTAAAAAATAATAAAAACATTATTTTTGTAAATTTCCTGTTTTTCTTACTTTTATCCTGGTTTTCTCAGATATAAAGAAAACCGATTGGAGAATTCAAAAATGATCACCCAAAAGTACCATATGGGCAATATTTCCTTTCAGAAATGGTGCCACATGTATCTGAGTAAGATTTATGGTACAATTTTTGTACACAGTATAAAAAAATAACATCTTAGTAAAACCAATATATTCTCTGCTACTCAGAATCTAAAAATAATTATATTTTGCTTCCTACCTACCTATTATTTATGTCTCAAATAATATTAGCAATTAGTCTTGAAATCACTAATTTGAACGAGAATAATAACAATAATATGATGTATTTTCTTTTATCTATGCCTATGTCAATTACAATAGTAACATTTTTCACTCAATGCATTGGTGTGATTTTTGTATACAACATGATAATATAGTTTTAGGTAATGACACTAAATTTGTTGAGTGGACAAGAGACAACCTAGGGACTGCTTCCAAAGTTTGGTGGTGATCAGTTAAATTTTAGGCTAGTTTCATGGAAACAATTTTATAATATCAATATGAAATGGCTCTAATAGATCTATTTATAATAGGAAAGATCATATCTCCATATGTTGAAAAATAATTTGTTAACGGCGCCAGGTTTTAAATGAAAACATTTTTTCCCAGTGAAATGAAGATGTTTGATTCTAAGTAGGTACAATTTTGATAATTCAAAGCAATTTTATCAACATAAAACTAAAGAAACTTGACGATTTCAAATAGCCATAAGAATTTCCAAAATATTATGAAAATTATGCCCCTTCGAAAAAATAAGTTAATGACATTATCGTATTCGTGTGCACATATTAAAATACAAATTTAAAACTATATCTAATAATAATATAAAGTTTTAGATGATATTCTTAAATTATAGATTTAGTGGCCTTAAAATTGGATTATTACTAAAATTATTTACTGTGGCTTGAGGCTAAAACATAGGTTTATTACCATCACTATTTAAGGTAGTATGTTACTATCTTAAATCATGATCACCATAGACCATGAATTAAGATGTTATAAAAGATAATATGTCTATGACTTTATGAGTACTGATATTTTATAACATATAAGCATTAAACATATTATATATTATAAACATTAAATAATAATTAATATCTTATGATCATAAATAATACAAATATTTTCTAATATTTTAATTTTTGTAAATTTTAATTAATTATTTATTATTGGTCTACAATTTACAACATATGAAAAATAGGTGTGCTCTTGTCCCCTTAAGCATAGTTTTTTAAATTATGTCTTTATTATGGTATGAGTGTATGTAATTTAATGTAAATTATCTTAAATTTATAGCTGGTGTTTGGTGCTGGTATTTGTATTTGTATTTCTCTTATGTTTCTATTTTCCTGATAAAGTGTGAAAATAGAAGGGTATATAATAATAAAATTGTATAACGAATCATTGTTGATTAACAACCTTGGATAAAATTATAAAATAGTGTAACAAAAACATTAGACGAATAAACAAAAAGGTAGCTGATTTTATGTAATCATTTTGTTTTAGTTAAAAAATAAAATATATATTTATATTTAAACTAAAATACATACAATATATTAGTATACTACATTATTAGGTATATTTAGAAATAAAATGATTTATTATATGTTATTTTATAAAATATTATGAGGGTTTATTTAATATAATATATTGTTTATCAGTGTTAAAAATCCAGGAGCTGGAACATGTTGAGCTGATTTATACTTTTATGGGTACACAAAAATGTATTATCAATAAAATAAAATAATATTATTAACAAAGACAAAAATAAATATTTATTACTCATAAATACAAATAAAATATCTGTTTAAGTATTAATTTTATAAAATCAATAGTCTAGGATACAATTGCATGCATTTACAAGTTGAGGAAAAAGAATAATCTTGTAAAATGTATTCCACATATATGTATATTGCTTCTCCTGTCAAATGAGTCTTTATCAAAACTACACTAAATAGGTTTAGAAACTGACAGGATGTTTGTCTTGCTATAATCGACTTAAACTTACACACAATAAAGTATAGTTAAAAAAAGAAAATCACATTAAAATTTAGGAACAAAATTAGATAATTTTATTTTATTTTTAAGTTTCCCTGATTTACTAACTGTGAAGGAATGATCATCCGGGTAGAGCTTTGCTAAATCATTAATAGGTATAAATGCACACAAATCATAACTGTAATGTTTAAAAAACTTGCCAATGTTCTTGAAATTGTAATCATATGATTCTAGTTGTCTTTTAAGTTTTTCTGTAATAAAATTTTTATGATTATTCAGATATCAATTTAAAGCAACATTGCTAATATTTCTAAAAAGTATAATATATAATTAAATACCACTATAGAGAAACAAAAATAGGTTTAGCATACCATGTTTGTTTTCCATTAGAGATTTTATAACAGGGTTTTGATATTTGCCTGCCCTAAAACAACTGTCAGGTCTGATGAGCACATGGTAGAGGTAAACAGTTTTTTTTGATGATGTATTGGTACTGAGCACTTTTGTCCAACCCACAATAATACCACGTTTATTTTTTATACTAGAACAAGAACCACTACCCACAGCTATAGTATCAATCATCATGCCAATTGAATATTTTGGATCATCATTTGTACCACGAGTTTGGGGTACCAAAGGGAAAATTTCTTCCCACTAAGAGAAATAAAATGTTAAATATTTTAATTTATATAATAAATTTGTTCACTTACATTAGTGTACATAGTGTCTTTCACATCTGCATGATTTGGTGCCTGAAATAAATAAACTAATTTTATAATATAAATATACAAGATATCATAAAAATCATAAGTAGACTAAGGAACCAATTAAATCAATTAGGGGACATGCAGTACCAGGTGGTACATATTATTGAAAATTCCTCCAAATTTTATATTAATCAATTTAACCATGATAAATAATATATAAATCTTTTTAAAAATTACCTATCAAAATGATTAACTTGAAAGTGGATAATCTCATCAACCGATAGATAAAAATTAAAAATTGAATACCAAAACTGATTTAAACTAAAACTATATCTAATATAGAATTTTTAATATAGATTATATAGAAACAAAATGTAGTTGTGATTTCACTATCAAACATAATGGAGAAAAATACAACGGCAATGTAGGTAACATTTTAGAATATACAGTGTTTCAAGATGATCACCACTTAAAGTAACTTTTGTTCTGTTCAATATTTTTTTTTTAAATAATTTGTTTGCTTCTTTACTACAGTTTGTATAATAAAAAACATATTTTTTTAAAAGGGCATTTAAAATTAAAATTTGACTATATTTTTAAAAAATTTCAAAATAGCAATTTTGGAATAGATTTTTAAACAATTTTTGGTGGTTGAACTTTTGTATAGGAGTGGTTTTATATTTTCTAAAAATTGTTGAAGTTTTGGCAAATGTGAATATTATTTTACTTCCTTTATATTTTTTATTACTAAGATTATTTTATTTGTATTATCCATTTTTTTAGCCCACGGCAATTATTACATTATTAAAATTATTATAAATATATTAAATACATCACATTTAATTAGGTTATTACTACTAATAAAATTAATTTTGTGTTATATGTTGATTCTTGTCTATTGTCACAAGGTTTACCTTAGTGATAGGCAAAGCAGTATTAAAAAAAAAAAATATTAACTCTATTACTGCTAAATAAATAAATAAATAATAATTATTATTGTGGTTTATAATCTTTATAATATTTAATCAGTAGTCAGAGCACATAAAATGGTGATTTTTTTTCCATAAGGTAATATTATACAGCAATAGTCAGACTTATATATCTGGATGAAATATTCACCCTGAGGACAGGGAGGTGTGGTCAATCCAAATGGACCATGAGAGATATATAGTCTAATGTGATAGAGAGCAAATTTGCACTCAAAGGATAGCCAATTAAAACACATTGTTTATTATCTTAAGTGTTTCTGTTCTCTAAATAAAACTCCACTCAGTGGAACGTGTTTTCATAATGAATGTTCCGTCTATAGTAATACTACTAACTCACCATTGATTCAATATGATGATAAATTATAAACCACAATATTCACATATGAAAAACTTAAAAAAAAAAAAGTAGAAAATAAAAAACCTAAACAGAAGATACAAGCACCAACAGTTTTCTAAAAATCTATTTTATAAAATGACTAATTCAATTTTTTTTTTAAATTTTAGAGTAAAATTTCAAATTTTCTTTTAACCAGTTTATTGAAATAAATTGATAATTCTAAAACATATTTTATTTCTGTGTGAATTGTATAAAAATTTAATTTAATTAATCAGTTTTATACAATTTAATAATTTTTAAATTCAAAGAAGTGGTCAGGATCAACCTCATATACATTTCAAGCTAAGTTTAAATCAGTTTTCAGAATTCTAATCACTTCAATGAATCTATTAATTGAAGGAAACTGGTCTAAATTGCTATACTATGTATATGTTTTAGACAAAATAAAATTAATATCTACTTAACTTTAATAAAATAAAAAGAGTATAATAAGTTTATTAAGTTTATACATTATGAGGGTATATATTATAAAGTATTATTATACAATACTTACATGAGGATTTAATGAATCTCTCAGCAACGGGCAAATACAATAGTCATAACAATCATGAAATTTCTGATACCTAAATTTAACCTCACTATCATTGGGTTTAAGGATTTTTTGAAAATCCAATACAAATTTATATGTAATCATATTGATCATAGTGATTTGTTCCATAGTTCTACTAAATAACCAAAACAACTAAAAACATCAAACAATAATAATAATAATACATTTTATATATTATTATACCTGAATAAGTAAAAAAAAATTAATAAACAATGTAAATTTAATATATATATACAGTTGAAATTTAAAATAATCTATTACTATCTATTAATATTACAATAGATCACTAAAAATTATGAGTATTATTAATTTTCCTATTATTATTGATATCACTCATTTAATTCTATGTATTAAGAAATATACGATAATTATAAATATAAGGGTAACAATGACGAGACAACAAACAATATTGTAGCTTTATTTATTTATAGTATCAAGGTTTGTCACTGGAAACTGTAATAATTTATAATTTGTGTATAACCACACACAACTTCCACAAGTGATTTGATAAAACATATATATATATATATATATATATATATATATGTGTTAATAATATATATATATCAAGCAAAAAGCTTGGTATACAACCAGCAAATAACATTATTTTATTTGTACATATAATTTACTAACAAAAAAATTGGATCATCATTAATTAGGTATCATATATTTGTATTCATTATGAAATTTAGTTATTAATTTTTAGATATACAAAATCAAAACTATTAGTCAAATTAAATTATAATATTTGTTTGGAATATGAGTAAAATACTTACATCAGGTATTGAATTTAAATCAAAACAATCGGGTAATTTTTTTGTAACTGGACAAATTGTAGCCTCTCGCATGACACCACCTGCATTAATATCAATCAAATAGCATGTAGGATTTCTATGTGTATGTCCAGGCCAAGAGGATGACCAAGATACAAAATGATGAACAGATGTTGCAGTTAATTTGACTTTCACTCCTAATCTTCTAGCAACCGATTCAAATATTACACATAATATAAACACAGAACCTCTTTGACGTTCAAGAACCTAAGGAAAAATATTAAAAAATTATAAATTATACATTTATTGAGGTGAATGATTATGTACCTTTTGCATTAAAAAGCAATTTATGTCACGAGTACAATAACATACTATATCTCTATTAGCAAACATAACTTGTCGAAGACAGTCAAGTATACAAATTGTACTAGTTTCATTAAATAAATCATGATCTAAAATATTCTGTCCACGTTTATATATTTGATCCAAACCACTTTCTTTGCCAACAATTGGATGCAGCGGGTTGATGTCCTGGATGGTTTTGCACACTTTTACAGCTATGTCATTAAATTTGTTGTCTGTATATAATAAATAAAATACGATTATAATTCAACGGGTATTCAATATACATTGATTTTATGATGTACACCTACTCATATCCCAGTATGATGTATCATCTGAAGGGCACCACCAACGTCCGAGTAAGTAAAATCCTTGTTCTGTTATTTGTCCTGTAATTGGTGAACATAAAAAATCCTTTAATTTGTACCCAAAATACACTTGAGATGAGTAAATAAGAAATATATGAGCCATATATAAGAGATCATAGTTTGCATTACAACTGAAAGTCATTAAAATTGATGTCAATAAATGAAAAATTACTGTACATAAAACAAATTTATATAAAAAAAATTACCAATCATTATTCAATAGGCGCTTATAAAAGGTTAAAACAGCAGATAAAACATAAAACCTATGGCTTTGATGTTTTGAGTGCAAATGTTCAGCGAATGGAAGCAAATGATATGGGACACTTTTGTACCTCAAATACTTTCCAGGCATTTGTTCAATTTCATATGACACAAATTTATCCAAACTTACACGTAAACTAATTTCATTCTTCCAAGTATTTTGTTCATCAATATTAACTTCAAATTCATTTTTATACAATGGACCATATCTAATATTATATGAAAAAGAAAAAACAAATTAGTAGTAAATTATTATCTGGCTAATTACAAATAGCTAATAATAAACAGGTAATTCAAAAGTATGTATCTACTTTTGTATATATTTTGATTTCCAAAGAACAGAGTTTTGTTCGTGAAATAAGGAGTTATTTAGTTTTGAATGGCAAATGGCCAAATTGAAAATATCAGTCAATTTTATTACATCACAACTGCAAATATTCACAATCAACTCTGTTGGCAAGTCCAATATAGTAGCAATACTATGTTCTTTTATTCGTGTCGGCGGGTTCATCACAGTTGTTGGTTTCAATTTTAAGATGTAGAAAAAAATCGATGAATGACTGTTTTAATTACAATTTTTGGATGGCGTTTGAATTTTGTAAGTTTTGTGAAAATCAATTAGCACTGTCTGTGAACTGCCATCTGCAATGAAATACTTTATTCAACTACCCCAAGCAGTGGATATTTAAATATCATATAGATTGCGTATTGTTAGTACGCCATGGCGTACATCATTCGTTGTTAAACACAGAAGACTAAGATTTAATATAAAAACACTAGTATTGACTAACTTTATAGAAATGAAACACCTTACGTTTACACTAGTGGCGATTTTATAGTTTTAAGCATAGACAAATAAAAATTAAAAACAATAAATGAAAAAATACAAACAAATATAAAGCTGAAATAGATTAGTAGACTTGGATTATATTATTTTTATAAAAATGTATTGGAAAAAAAAAACAATGATAAGGTAGAACAATTCTGTGGTCACCACGATTAAAGATATACAGGTTGGGAATCGCTCGACATAAACAATTCCAAATCTTGAAACCAAAATCTTCTGAAAAAATCAGATGTTCCGATTAATCGCTAGCGCTACCAGCGGAATTATCTTGTATAATATTAGTCGACATTGACATTGCCGCGCTTTTTATGATTAATAATATTTACATGTTATTAATATCATTAGATAATAATTAATATTAATCACGATCTTTATTGATATATTATAGCACATAAGTATAATATATAAATATATATATATATATCTTGAATTGTTTTCAAGATACATTATACACATGATGATGTTATTGAAATTTCCTATTTCGTCTACTATATATTGCTTTTATTTAAGCATTTTTTTTATTTTTTAAATGAACAAGGATTATGTTTCGCATTGTACCATAACGGATAATTTCAGTACTTTTGGTGTATCCAAAAAGTTGTTGCAATTATGGGAAACGTCATTGGGTATAAACTTAAAAATTACTTTCAAGATTTGTGAAAAGCATTTTAAACCTGAAGATATTATTACCAAGTGGATCTCGGGCTGATGGTGGTCAATAATATTAACATAGTAGTGATTTGTGATAAACAGTTGTCCACAAATGATAAGAACCAATTCATGGACAAAAAATGTATTATCCACGGTACCGTGATCTTAATACCGTGGTATTATCAATGATCTTTGAAAATAAAGTCGGACAACTTCTCTTCCGCTAGTCCATTGGCAATGTTCCGCTTATTTGGCAAAAACGTTTAAAATTTTAACCACATTTATTTAGAGCGCTACTGGTTAGACATTTTTGATGTTAAGAATTGTAGTAATGTTTTATCAAACCAAATGTTATAGGGATTTTAATTTGAATAGCGATAATATATATTTTGATTAATGTAATATTATTTTTATGATTTTAAAACTTTTATATTTTATACACTATTTATAACTATAATATTATACATAATCATACGTTTTTAAAATAAACATAAATTGTGAAATATCAAATTGCGTTTTTATTTTCATATAATTTGATTTGATGAAAGTTACACTAAGTTTTCCATGCGCAATACATAGTGAACAAATAATAGCGTATACTATTATGTATTATGTTAAAATGCGTATGAGACAATTTACCTTCCAAGAAAACAAGGCAAATAGAAATTTTAAAAAATTGCCAAGTTTTGTAAAACGAAGCGGCAATTAAATTATAAAACTGACTAAAACATTAAACCGAATAATAATTTTTATCTTGTTCTTCAGTAAAGCCGTAAAGGACCTTTAAGGTGTATATCTCATCTATCAGTTATCAGTTATTTGGACTTAAAAAATATATTAGATCTTTAATTATTCAAATTTAGCTCAACTGTTCAGGTGTAATAAATAATGATTACAAATTATGAAAAGCTAATCTGATCCTAAAATAAATACATTTCAACGTATTAGTAAGTTTATGACAATCGTGTAGTTTTTGTATCATTGTATTGCAGAATACTAAGTACAACTTGTGATTTATGTTGAGTTTGAAAATTTATTTTTTCAAATAATGTTACCTATTTTATAATAACAGTAATAATTTTTTGTCTTTTATTCTTATTTTTATTTGATAATTATTATTATTTTCATAACCAGTAAGGCAATAACCAAATAATTGTAAAAATTTGATTTGAAATCTACCAAGGTGAATAAATTCCTTACTTTAGACTCTACTTACTGGTATCTGCAATATAATATGGTATTTAGTGTTTACTTATAAACATTGTGGTTAATCGCTCAGTAACCACAATATTCAGCTAATCACAGCGCTGAAATTTTTTTTTGAAAACCTTAGTTCACGGAGCAGTGTCAAGTCGCTTATAATCGCGTGCTATGAATGAAGTATGTATTATTGGTTTTACTATGATCTGTGTTTTAGATTTTGAGTGGAGCAAAGAAGTTTATGGTTTTACAAAGATGTTTATTTTTAATTTTTTTTTTTTTTTTATCTATACAAAACTTTTCTACCAGTAATATTGTTTTGATTTTTAATGATAGCAATTTACCTAAAAGGAAATAATCTTACTGGGGTGGTATTTAGAAGAGGTCACTTTTTGATTTTCTTAGAAATTTTCTCAACATATTGGAAAATCAGAAAGAAAAACAGAGAAAAAAAGGGAAAATGTACGAATGTATAGTAAAATGTATATTCCCTCCTTTTTTAAATTTAATCTAAAATTTTGTTCCATGGCGTATAATTAAATAAAACAAAAATATATTTTTTGAATTGTTTTTTACAAAAGTTAAAATTTGTAAAAAATACGTAATATTATATTTTCATCAATCCATTATATGCAATTATAATAAGTGATATTAGTTTTAAAACGAATGATTTGAAAATCAAATTGTCTGAAGAATTTTTTGTCAGTAAAAATGGTTTTTCGAATATTATAGTTCAAAAATTTCTTATTAGAAAAAGTAACTGTATTTATTAAATTGAAAAATTCAAATATATGAAAATAACTATGCTATGTCTTATTATTACATGGTAAATATTTTATTAGATGTGTTAGTTCGTTCACTTAATTTTGATTATGGAAATACTGATGATTTACTAAGATGAAGTACTTCTATTTAGGGAAGAAATTGAAAGAAAAGAATATATTAAAATTTATTATTAGAAATTATTTAATAATAATTAAAAATGAGATAGATTTTAGGAGCTATTTAGAGTATTAAATTAAAATAGACGTGATAACTGACAATGTTAATAATTAACGTGGTAATAAATTAAATAAGGGGAACATCAAGTTTTTGGTAGGGATGAATCGTGATCGGTATTTAATATTTATCGACCACCACGTTATCATAATCGAAAAAAGTAAACTTGTGTGCCTTATTTTTAAATCTGTTTAATACAGCGAATTTCTCAAAACCTCACAGGTTTACTTTTTAAAAGGAAATCTACACTGGTTCGCGCTGTCGAGTTCGAACGATTTCAAACGTACCTTTTCCCGTAATACGGTTGTGAACAATTTTATTTGCCTTAATCGTGCGGCATTGTCAAATTTGGTGTTTATATTAATATTACTATACTATCTTAACTGTAAGTTGACCTGCTTCCACGCATGTATACTGAGCCGCCGAGGTCTCTGATTGGTCGGCGGTGTTTGGCGATTTTTGCGAGTTATAAATACTAGTAGTAAGACTTAAATTTGTTAGTAAGTGAATTGAACATTATTGTTAGCCGGATAGTAGGTTCACTGCCAAATCTACCTTGATATACCTAAGTATAACGTTTTATCGCCATAAGCACAATTTATGCTGAACTTTGTATTAAATTTGAATACATTTCTGATTGGCTAAACCAAAAAAAAAATTAAATTTCAAAGTATTTTCTAAAAATTTGAAATTTTTTTATGACTATTTAAATAAAAACTAGAAGACAAAATCGAAAAAAAAATAAACTTCTGTAAATGTTCACAATTATTAAGAAAACTACAACCTTTTTTATCCGTGCACACTTATCCACGATAATCCAACACTGTGCCGCCCTACCTACAAAATATGCATAATGCATTGAAATGCTAAGTTTTAAACAATTTAAACTGTAGATTTTAGAAAGAAAATTATAATTTAATTTTTTTTTTTTAAATATAGTACGCAGAAAAATTATTTCACTTCTTTTCCTCGAGGATTTTATGTCACCTCTACATTGGGTCTATTTCACTCTAATTAAGAATCACTGCACTAGATAAACAAACAGAATAAAAGCTTATCATAGTAAAATCGAGTAGTCTCATTACAATTTGAATCTATAACAAATAAATATGATTGGTTGCCTAGGTGAATAACAAAATTATATTTTTCTATTATGTAAAGATAATCGTAATAAGTTGAAAACAGACATTTGGTGACTAAGGGAATATAATAGTTATAATTTTATAAGTATTGATCAAACTTTTAGAAGGCTTGTAATTTGTTAAAGTAATTTTCATTAGGTACCTATAATAAAATAAAATATGGATATTATATCACAAAGTGAAATTGATTTTTTTATTGAACACATTCAAGAATCAAAACTTAATGAATTAGGATCAAAAAAGTAAGTCAAGTTTAAAATAAAGTACCTATCTATCTATAATAGTTGAATTAAATAATCTGCTTGTTGTAGATGGTATGAAAGTCATGATCGTTTGCAAAAGCTTAATCAGCAAGCTACATTGGAAGCTACTGAAAATCGAGAGGAGTATATCAAGGATCAGATTATCAGTTTTGGAAAAGTAATATCTGTTTGTTACCTTAAAATTGTATTTTTTATGAAATAATTAATTATATTTTCATTAAATAACATTTCTTTTTAAGATTCCTATTATAGTACACGAAGCTATTTGTGTGACAATATGGAGAGAAAAAGTGCTTCCAGAATTATTGAATATATCACCAAATCCAAAACAATCATTCACGTTATATTTTATTGTAAGTTAATTGTATAGTTAATATAATTAATATAATAACTATTGTTTAGTAGGTATTTTACATGAATATACAACCTTAGATTCCTCAATCTAATTTTTTTCTAAAAGTATCTATCTATAGGTAAATTAATATTCTCATGTAATTGGGCCATACATATTACCCACTCAGTCATGAATGTCAATTTTTGTGATTGTCACTCCTATGAATCAAAATCAAACATGTTTGAAATTCATCAGTCACAAAAAATGTATTATTTATCTATTATCATTATTATTAATTATTTTAAAATTATACGTCAAGTTTCTTTTCGGTTGAAATATTTCGAGATTAAATTATTGTTTTACATTTCTATGATATTTTGTAGGTACTTACATGAATTCCGAAAAAAAAATTGTTAATGTTAGGGACGGGCGTGGCCACTCTTTTAGGGGGTAGTGGGGAAGATGGAATACATTAAGTTATTTAATTTATATCTGTAACAAGTGCTGAACTAATGATTAGAAAAAACAATTCGGAGCGAAGTTCGGTTACACATATTTTGAAAAGCTGTAATATTTACGGTGCAACACTCTATACTTCGGAGCAAAATTTATGGTAGAAAAGTTGTTTACAGACAGAAAAAAAATACACACACATCATAGCAGCGTTGTTAATACACGCGTATAAAACGTTTTATACGTTATACGCATGATATCCCACGTATATAACTTTATGACTTAGACATTTTTTTTTTTTATAGTTTATTATAATAATGATAATACTGTACATTTTAAATTTAAATACGTATTAAAACTTATAGATTAATTGACAAATCAACAAATCACATCAACTTAGTGAGTTTTCTTAAATTTATAATAAAATAAAAACAAAACAAATTATTTTTTGGTATTATAAATATTAATGTAGTTATTAATAAAAATGAACTTAGTAATTAATATAACAAATTATTACATGTATCTTAGGTAATTAAAATAAGATGTATAAAATGATAATTAAATTCAATTGACAATTATTTTACCTGATAATTTCTGTTAAATTGCACCCGAAAAAAAAAAAAAAAATTGTATAGAGTATAAAATGTATACAACTAATAGTTTTATACCTACTGTACGTTTTATACATACTTAGGTATAATACTGTTCCAAACCTGTATCATAGTAAAACCAATAGAATCCTCTCTACGTTACGAATCTAAAACAAAGTCGAAATCACAGACACCGTTTTTACATACATTTTCCTGTCTTTTTAAAGTTTTCGTCTGATTTTTTCCAAATTCTCAAGCAAACTACAAGACTCCCCAAAACACCATCTGTACAAAATTATATATCAGAAACCACCCTTAAAGTTGATGAACAGAGGAAGGTTTCTGACAAGAAAATTTTTTACAAAAAAAAAACACTAGGTACATTACTAACTATACCTTCAGAATTTAAAAATTGATCTTATAAGTAATAATTTATTAGGTGATTAATATGTATAATTTATGTATATATTTATGTATGTATTATCAAAATGTGATCAACGTTTTTTGTTAAGATTAATTTAAATAATATTAATATACCAATAAATATCAAATTATTTTAGTTATTTCACGAAACTGTAGCAGTTGGATTGTTACAAAAAATATTATTTCACGAGGAAGGTGTTCAGGCTCTGGGGAATTATGCTTTAGATCTATTTGACCATATCATATTTTCTATCACACATCTAGCCATCGGGTATGGTTAAATGATTAAATATTACACAAAGTTACAGTTTTATTTATTTTTATTAAGTGAATTAATTGGTTTTAGAATTAAAAACAATTTTGCATTCAATACAAAAATAACAGATACACAAGTATCAGAAGAAATAATTGAACATAGTCATAAAATACAATTTGAAGTGGGAATTTGTTGTATTGGAATAATGTTCAACATGATACTACATATAAAAAAGTAAGAAAATAACAGATTATATTATACAAAACTATAAGTATTAAATTATTTATATTATTAGTAGAATTATTAATAAGCAGAATTTGGGACTTACAGCATTTGTTTATTTATGTTATGAGTTCAAATATGAAATTTAAAAGTGCTTTTTTAAGTACCTACTTATTTCAGGCTTATAAAAAGGTTTTTAAATGCAAAATAAAAAATCTGTAAATAATTTTGATAAAAGAAATAATAAAGAATTTAAGAATTAAATTAATACTGTTTAATGAGCGCTGTAAAGAGATTGAAGAATTAGATATTAAAAAATAACAAAATGAATGAAGCATTCATTATTATAACAAACATTAATAATTTAATCGATTTAATTATTTTGATCCTGTTAAAACTTATCAGTACCATACGAGTCCTGGAGGATGTCAGTGAAAATTGTTTTGTTCTAAAATTCTCTCCGCCATAAATTGTAGTGTTCCTATTGCATCTCGAGTGCCTACAATTTGGTGGAAACCAAACTGGGTATCCCAAAAATATTCTCTTCTATTTGTACATCTATTCATTTTTTGATTATATTTAGTATAATTTTTGATATATGTGATATCAGGTTAATTTACTTACTGAATTGAGTGCACTCTACTGCATTTGTCTTTTTTGGTATTAGAATCACTACTAAGTAATTTGCATTCAAACAATAATATAGTCAAAGTCACAACATTACATACTGATCATACGCTGTAAAGTTCCGTATCTCCAGTTTTCTCTCTATTAGTTACCATCACATGTTTATAATCAATACCTAACTTTACTAAATTTCGTCTATGAGAATTGTCACCAATAATATAATTCTTATAGCAGGCCACTTTTTGATAATATTGTCAATAATAATTGAACGTATTTTAGCATGTCTATTTTCGCTACCATGTAAACAATACGATTACAATAATAACAATACAATACGGCAGCAAAAATTGCCATTACCAATAATATCTAGGAATCGCTTCAAAATTAGTTGTATTTGAAGGACTACACATCATCAAAAAATGTCCATTCTTGGTGGCCGAGGGACCACATGTCTTTTGACATAAACTTTCATAAATAAATACATTTTTACAATTATTTATTTAATATAAAGGTTAAAATAAAGGCAAATGGTTATAAAGGTAAATTAGTTCAAATTTAAAAATTATTTTTTACGACAAATTGAGCTCCACGCCGAAGCGGTTATTCCAAAATACCCAAAATAACTATATCAAATGCAACTCTAGGTGTCGACAACAATGGAAGTATAGATATTATATATGCAAGCTGAAACCATTCTAAAAGATGAAAACAACAAGTGAAAACGGAAAAAAAAAGTTTTGGCGCTAGAAAAACTAAGTGTATAGATTAGTGAATAAAATATATGAATCTGAAGAGCATTATCGTCCCAATATTTAAAAAAGAGCTAATACTGAGGACAGGTGAGGGCACTGTTGTAGGTGGGTAGTGGGAAAGGTGGTATACATAGTTATTAAATTTATACATGTAACCAACAATAAACCATTGATAAAGAAAAACGATTCGGAAAAAAAGTTCGGTTATACGTTTTTAAAATAATATTTACGATTTTAGTCAATATTTGATATTAAAACTATTATACATTTTTTTTTTGAACGACTAAGTACGATTTATAATGAACCTCCAATACATTTTTAAACACTTCTGTTCAGTACAATTTACCTACAGAGTACGTACCTACCAAATAAAAATAACGTAAAAAAAAAACTCGCAAAATTAAAATGTCTATCAATTACCATAAAATAGCTCAACAATTGTTCAAATGTTCTGAAAGTTTTACCACGTCTAAAAAAATTAAATATAAGTTTTCTATCAACAATTTAAGTCTCTACGAATATTTTAACCTAAATTACATTAAAAAAACAAAATTTAAAATAATAATAGATTTATTTTTGTAAAATTTCTTGTTCTTTCTACGTATTTTTCGGTTTTGCTCAATTAATAAAGAAACTACTCAAGAAATCAAAAATAGGTTCTCTAAATCACCAACTAGATTGAAAATTCAACAAAAAAAGATTACTTGATGTTTTTCTATTGGAGCAATATTTCTGGTAGAAAACGTAGGCCGTACAAATTTAAAATAATGAAATAGTTTTATAGTATATTTCGTTTTTCCCAATTATTCTGAAAAAAATAAATACATCTGTCAATGGTTATGGGTTTAAAAAATCAAAATCGATCTCTTATCATTTTCCGATTGGAGTAATATTTCTTATAGAAAACATAAGTTGAACATATTAAAATAATTAAACCGGGACATTAAATTGCCGTAAATATTAAATCAATTTTAGTTTTTTGGTTTTTCTCAATTATTAGAAAAACTCCTTATCGGAAAACGAATTTCTCTGTCAGGGACGAAATACTATAAAGAAAAAAATCGATCCCTTGTCATTTTTGAGTTGGAGCAATATTTCTGGTAGAAAACGCGCCTTAAATATTTACCGTTTTACTTATAATTTTTTTTCGGTTCTTCCCGATTATTTCAAAAATCCTATAGAAATTCAAAAATGACCTTCTCAATGTGCCAACCAGAGAAAATTATCTTTCAGAAAAGATGATACAGTTTATACATCACAGCAAGTGTTCTGGTAGAAAAGTTGTGCAAACAAAAAAAAAAACACATAACAAAACCAATAGATCCCTCGCTGGCTCCGAATCTAAAAAAGAGGCGGTTTACTTACTAGTCACGGATGTAACATTATTGTAGGCAAGAAATTGGATAGGTAGAATGCATAAAGTTATTTAACTAATTTGTATGCAAACATTTTATTTATCTCATATGACCATTGGTAATGGTTAACTTTTATTGAAATTAAAACTAAAACTTATGCAAAAATAAATCATTGCTAATGAAAACAGAAGTTTGATTACACATGTTTTGAAAGGACGTAATTTTTTATGATTCTAGTAAAATTTGATTTTAAAACGGTTAAAATAAATAAATACATTAGATTCGACTTTTTCTTGATAACTAAGTTAAACTTGTACCTAATGAATCACGAATTAAATGTTAAAGCATTTGTATTTAATCAAACCTTTTTATTCACCGAATAGGTACCCTATAAAATAAAAACTTTTAAATAACTATATAATAATTTATTTTAGCTATTGTGGACTAAAATTATATGAATTATTTCGTTTATGTTATAATTTTACTAATACAATTTCATATTCATAAATATAAAAGATATTTGTTATACATTATGCTGACGAGTGATACCTACATGCTGGCCAGTCCCGGATCTACCCACCGAGTTTTAGTATTTTCACCAGCCCTAAATTATACGAATAGACCTAATTGACATAAATTCGTTTTTAAACAAGTATAATTTGCCAATTGTTTTGATAGCTCGCAGGTTTCATCCCGGCCTATACCTGGCAGGTATGTTACTGTTATAGGCGAAAAGTTATGAAGGTATGATGCATTGAGTTATTGTTTGAAATTTATGTTTGTATGCAACTATTATCACTATTAACTAGATTATTGTTAACGATATAAGATGCTGAGCGTTTAACATATTTTGAAACAACGTCGTTTTTTTGATGTTTGTCAATATTTGAACTTAAAATGCTTATTAAAAATATTACTATACATTACACTATTAACACTATTTTTTAATTTTTATCACCAAGTACTACTTAAGGTTAACCCCGTTTCAAATTTGACTAAGATTTCTGATAGAACCAGATATCCTGATTTAGGCGGGACACTACCGCTTTTCAAGCAGACGTTCGGTGTTCCGCTAAATATTATGATTAAGTCAAGACAGCAAAAGAAAACATAATTCGTAAAAATTTAAATCAATGAAATGATACAAGTTAAATTTGTCAGTTTTTATTTTACGTAATTTTCCAATAATCCTAATCATTATGAAAACCCTATAGAAAATCGAAAAATGACCTCTGTAATGCACCAACTAGATAAAAAATGTGACAAAAAAGGTACCTTGTTATTTTTTGATTGGAGTAAGATTTCTGGTAGAAAAATTGTGTACAGACAGAAAAAAACAGTAAAATCAATAGATCCCTTTCTGTGTTTAAAATCTAAAAAATCTAATAGAGACAAATAAAGTGATTTCATTTAGCTTTTTAGTGGACACAGCACAAATTACAGTAAAAGTAATAGCCAAAAAACTTTTTTCGTGGATTTTAAAAGTTATAAGTCTCAAACCATGTTAATTACAGGGTCGCCACTATTTTTGAATTTTTTAGAGAAATAATTTTTTTTAATACCTATGTATTTATTTTATTAAATATTTTATAATCAATGCTCTTGAAAATTAGCTGTAACTAAATCCTCATTTTTAGTTCCTTAATTTTTCAAGCTTATGTTACACAAACCAAAACAAAAAAAAATTTTAATTAATCTTAACACTTTAACAAATTTAAACAAAAATATTTTTTTAATTAAATTTATTAGTCTCAATAGAATTTAATTATTTAAATATTATAATTCTGACTGAAACATGATATAGCACGATTTTGGGTCGCTACAGGATAAATAGCTAAAATTTGTTCTCCCTTGCAGAAGTAGTTATATTTAAATCTTTATGATATGTATTATGCATTTGTAACATATTTGTATTTGACAGTATGTGAAAATAAATGAAAGTAACTAGAAAAACGAATTCAATTTCTTATTTAATAAATATTTAACCAAACTATAATTGCAAGTTTTTTTCATAACTACCACCAATAGAATTTAACATTCATATATAATTTTTTTTAAAACAATTATTTATACTATGGAAAAAAACCTCAACCTGCTATAAAATTGGAAATTTCCAGGGTTATTGTAAAATCGGTACTTTTGATTTTCCTGGTTCTTAAACAAAATTAAAATTTTAGGTTTCCAGAAAGTGGCAACCCTGAATTAAAATATAGGATTAAGTGTGGTTGAAAAAGTGGAGAGAAGCGTTAGATGTATTTTACATGACAAAAGTATTCCAATGGCACTTTAAGGCAAGTTCTACAAAGGTTAATGGTAGACAAAAATATAGACTAAAGAATGAATTTTGCAGAGATGTAGATTCTTGGGAGGATCAGAGGAGTGATGAGTGAAAATAGAATAAAGAATGAGTACATGAGAGATAGCTTAGGTGTGGCTTTGATAGCAGACAATATGAAAAGGAAATAGACTGAGATGGTTTGACAATATTACACGGAGAGATGAATCTGAAGCAGTAAGAATTGTAATGAAAATAAACATAACAAGAAAGAGAAGGAGAAAGAGACCAAAAGAGGTGGTAGGGTGTAATTGAAAATGATATGAAGACAACCAGTGTATGTGAGGTGGGGAGATAAGGTCAAGAGGAAGTTTAGTACGGGGGTGACAACACCAAACAGTTGGGATGAAGGTAAAGAAAATTAATGTTTTTAATGCAGTGTAAGTTACTCAATTTATGTATAACTTATAAAAATCAATTAAAAATTAAATTTATTTCAGTCTATCCATTTCTGTGACTACACGAATGACAACTAATAATGACGTGCCAATGCTTATTTGTCATCTATTGAATACTAAACCCTGGATAAAGATGGAAAATAATGCTAAATATATATTTCAAGGTATTTTGATAATTAATTATTATTAGAATAGTTACAAATTAATGAAATTTTTTAATTTTTTAAATAGACAATGTATGGAAAACAATGAATGCTAATAACAATATAATACCGAAACAAGAAGCACATTTATGGTTAAGTCTACATGCATTTTTCACATCTGGAGAGTTATGTAATAACTACGAAATAACCCAATTTCGGAAAAAAAATCTTATGCAGGTTTAATAAATTGAAAAAATTAAATACTTAATATTTCATATACACAATTTAAAAATAGTTTTAACTTAACTCGTAATCTCTAAAATAACCAATATTCACAATTATTTGTTTAAATATTTAAAAAATATAAATGCAAATTAATGACATTTATTATACCGATTAATTTAATCTTAATAAAATCTAAGGTGATGAATAGTAGTATACAGTGGCGGTTTTTAACTTAATATATTTAACATACAAAAAAATATTTACCCAATATTTATTTATTTTAATTAACTAACATATTATGTTTCTACTTTTATCTGTATGAATTTATCTATGTTTTAATCAACAATAAAGTTTAAGTTTAATTTAGAAATTATGACACAAAATCTAGTTTTCATAATCTAAACTCAGAATCAGGAGAATGACCAGACCCCTCCCCTGTAAAAATGCCACTGGCAATATAGTATATTCAATTTAATAGTCAGGAAATTTAGATACCAAACAATTGTATATTTTACAATCATAAATCGAAAAAAAATGTATAAAAAATAAAATAGTTTACTTTTTCTATGTTTACTCTTATTCAGTTTTAGTTTGTTTTACACAGATTTAAAAAATTAAAAAAAAAACAAAAGTACATGCTTAGTTCGACTAGGAAAATCAGGACAAGTAAAACTTTAAATCTTCTATTAAGTATTTATCAGAAAAAAAATTAAATTAATATTTTAAGACAAACCAAACTTATAAGTCAATATTGTCTATATTGATAGAGGGCTTCTTACAATAATTAATGTCTTTCACATCTGAATATTACATATTACAATATTCAAATGTTATTAATTATTGATTCAAAAAATAATTGTCCTCTTCCAATTATTTATTTTGTATACACAATATTTTATGATATATTTTTTTTTAAGTTATAACTTACAAAGAATAATTTATTGTGATATTTATATTAAATAGTTACAACATTTACTCAACGATTGTCTTTTGGATCATATTCCAGTGTTGATACACTTGAAACAGAGTTTATATCAGATGAGTTTATCTGAAGTTTCAACAATATCAAAACGACCAATACTGATAGAAATCAATGCTGAAGTATGATTTTCTGATGTTTATATATTAATATAATTGTTTTGCTAAACTATAAATTGTTTTTATTAGATTAAATCTAATATCTTAAATACTTATGCAAATAAATGGAAAAAAATTGCTAGAGTACAAGCCCTTTATTTATTTGGCAATGAATCATATAACATAGCTAAATCGTAAGTATAATTAAATAAATCTAGTTTGGTAATACTACTTAAGTTATTATTAAATTAATAAAAACTACAAAATATTGGTTTTTTATGTTTTAGATTAAGTGGTACATATGAACATATAGATCATTTTGAAATCAATGAAAATATATGTGCTACTTGTAAATTACCTGCAAAAAATAGGTGTTCCAAGTGTAAAAATCAATGGTATTGTAGCAGGTAATTAACAAATGTTAATAATTTGAGAAATATCCCATTTTTTTTAAAAATAAATAAATTATATTTTCAGACAGTGCCAAGTTAAAAATTGGGATAAACACAAAATCAACTGTCATTAGCTAAATATTGAGATTTACATTTTCATGATATAACAGGACTTTGAATAAATGCATCTATCATATTTATCATGGACTCTGGTTTTGGTTTTTCACATACCCCAGTCAAAATATAACCAGCTTCCTTAATGGCAGCAGCTGTGGTAGGACCAATTGCAAAAATCTGTAATATTAAAACAAATTATTAATTTCAAATGATACTTTTTGATAATTATTTAGAAATCTTAAGTTCTGGTTCTGGTGTATAAAATATAATTCTTTATTAAAAAACGTACATGTTATACATGTATTTTTTGTTTACCTTATTCTGTCTTATTATTTAAACGTACTTTAAAACTGTATATTTAATTTTCACAAACTATGTAATCTTGTCTTGATGCCGTTGATTTACTACCAAGTAGTCTTCCTCATCTGAACAAGTTTCATATACAATTTAGCTACTGATTTCTAAAAATCCTCACTCCATTTCTACTTGCAACATTTTCGGTATTGATTGATCTTACAATATTTTGGGTTTTCTTGCCTCTGGCTCTTTATCCTTTTTCTCTACCTTTAACTGTGACTTTTACTACTTACTCTACTAAAATACTACTTCTATAGACACACTTTCATGGACTATTTAGCCTAATTTTCTTAAGCACTAATAATAGAGTAGTTAAACAAGTTTCTGCTTCTTCAGGAGACTTTCACCTTTGTTCATCATAAACCTTTTCTCCCTATTCAACATAAGAACATTAACAATTTAACTTCAAAGGTGCTAACTTAACAGCCAGCAATACATTTTTAATTTTTATAATTTGCATAATATTTCTATCTACAAAATATTATTATACAAGCAAAAAACTACAGGCAAGTGTCTTTCATAAATATAAAAAAAAAATAAAGAAATGTGAGTATTGTGATATGTGTATTGTATAACTGGTGTCAAATTAAAAGTTCGTCAGGTAAAATCACAAAGTAAAAAAGTAAAATGTGACTAAATATTATGAAAAAATAAATGAAGGAATACATAGAGAAAAATGTATACAAATTGGTCTTTTACATAGAAATAACTTATTTTAATAGGAGAGATAATTTAAAATGAATTATTATTAGACATAGATATATTAGAAATATAAATTATTTTTCTTTATTCTATTGTGTATGTATAATTCTTCTAAAACTGAATTAATATAAATGTTATTTTGGGTATTTAATATTTCTGAGTCTGTATTAATATCAAAACTTATATTATAGTTATTTTATAAAAATAGTTTTTAAATCATTTTTAGAAACATTACAATACACATATCATAATACTCCAGGCAAAACATTTAATTATTTATTTATATTTTTATTTACGAGTATTAACCATTTAATAATTTTGATTATACTTTATTATTTTAATCTTTCATAGTTAATCCATCCATCCATCCATCTTTTTTTAAAATAAATATAGCTATTGACACTTTCTCTCTGTAATTTTTGTTATTATGTGAAGGACTTAAACAGCTAAGTATCTACTAACACTATACTTCAAAAACTCTAAATCTTTAATTATAAATAAAACTAAAACTACTATATATAGACATTTTGAAAATATTAGTATATTTCAGAAACAAATATTGTTGGTTCATATAGAATAGCAACATGTTCACTAGTTCTTCTAATATTATACAGTTTCTAGTATAGAAGTTATTGTATGCAAAAGTGTAAATGGTACTATTTGATTGTATCTATAATTTACTTAACCCAGCATTACATGTACACTTGTCTAAATGACTGGGTTATTTTATTGTTTCTTTCATAAGGTATGCATTATATTGTTAATTATTGAAGAAAATGTTTTAGATTGTATTATGTACCCTGTCAATACAATATTGTAATAAAATTTGACTTGACTAAAGTAGGATTAATACTTACATGTATTTGACTAAATAAATGTTTTGGCATCAAATCTAATATTGCACGAAATCCAGAAGGGCTAAAAAATATAGCTCCAATTTGATTTTTAATTTGATTCAACACTATATTTAAATTATTTTTCAAATTACAATGTGGTATAGTTCGATAAACTTCTATATTCTCAAATTTAACAGTTTTTATATTGTCAGCTAATATATTAAGGTTAAGATTTCCACATGGAGTTAACAAAGGATCATTTAATTCATCTAAACAGAAAAACAAATGTATACAATTTTTTTGTATTCACATTAATTTATTCCTAAATATAATAAATTTAACTTACATTTTAAAATAATAGGTATCAAAGCCATAGCATTGCCAGTTTCTGCTCCAATTGGTTTAAGACCTAGTTCATTGGTTATTAGTCGAGATGTTGCTTCCCCAACAACAAATATAGGTTTATTACACCACTTTTCATCTACTTTGAAACCTCCTAAACACTTTATCACTCCTCGTGCACATCTTGGACTAGTTATTACCATACCTATATAAATAAAGTAGAAACAAATCTAATATAACATCTGCACAAATTTTAAAATTTTTTTTTTTTCAAAACCCAGGTATTCCAAGGTAGTATCACCATTTTAAATACAAGAAAAAATTGGAGGAAATCATTAGTTTTTACTATAAATCACTTTGAAATGTGTGTATTCAATGTATACGTTTGTTCAGATTGAGAAATGAAAATATCCATCAATTTTTTTATACAAAACCTTGTTGAGTATGTAACAAGGAAAAAACAAATGCATTTTTAGTATACCTAGAAACTGGGCGAGGTCATTCGTTTGAACAGCTTAAAATGAAAATACCTCTCGATTTGCAATGCAACATCATTTCAAATAGATCACAGGATAAAAAAATGTATTATTAAAGAAAAATGATTTTTAATTATTATTATTGAATGACGTATCAATCAAAACTTCTAAAGCATTGAAAAAAAAGTACAAACAGAATTTATCAAAACACAGGTAAGATTTAGAAACCTCAGGAATGACACCAGGTATACATCACTAGGCTACAATAATCAAGGTTGAAAAGTGCAAGAAAGAAACAACTTTTATTTAAAATGAGCTGCTTACCAAGCAGATTACCAAAAGACAGAGCATACTAATTAATATTTAAATACATAAGCCAATTTTAAATATACAATACAAACAAATATTACTCAAATAACTTCAAAAGTGCCCAAAAATTACGTTTAACAACCCAATTCTAAATGCTTCTATTATACTCAACATAAGCGTTAATTCTTGTGGTAAAAATTTTTTTGGAAAACTGCGTAGGTGTTAACTAGATTTATACTAAAAATATTGAGTTATGTAATCTAAAAGTTAATTAAATTATTAACATTTGATTTTAATCAGCAGAAGACAACATTAAATAGAAACTATAAAAATGGTAAAAATTATATTGAATAAAAAAATATAAAAATACTATGGACGAGAAATTTAAATTTGATATCAGGAACTATAATATATAATATAAATAATACACTCTAATTTAGGGATCCTATACATCCCATATTATACAGGATTGTGCCACCATATTTGAGACAAGCGTCCTGGTGTTCCAACTAAATGTTCTAAACAACACTTGTGTTCTGTATTTTTAATCACCCATTCTGTACTTCCGTATGATTAATAATAATTAGTTATAACAGTTATATCAAATAATTTTATCTGCAAAATATATTTTGATTAAATAAATTTGGAATTACTGTTACTATAATTACTAAGAAGATCAGAACTTAAGTTTTTTTTTTTCGGTTCCTTGTCTAGCAGTAGCAGCGTGATATCATGAGATTGGACAGTAAGTATCATTGTAGATAAATAACATTTTTGAATTATGTTAAGGTACAGTATACTTCAGTTTGATTTCAACATTATATTTCATACAAAAAATGATGTAAAAAGTAAACATTTTTATTTTGATTGGTTAACTTTTTAATTACGGACTAGTTTTGAGAGTTACATCCTTACCATGGTCCCCTCCCACACACGATTGTTTGTTGCAATAAATGTAAATTTTAAGTCCGATTTAAAATGTCCCATATTTATAATAAATAAATCTGGGATCCCTATTCTAATTGAAATTTATTTCATTAACAAACAATAACAAAGTTTATAATGTATCAATATGTTATGATCAAAATTGATAATAAAATGTTGTTAAAAGCCAAAATAATCCAAAGGAAATCAATTGTCATCAATTTTTTTTCAAGATTGGTAGTTAAAAATGATACACAGTACATTGTGTGATCACGATAAGTGGAAACACTCAATAACTATGTGCAGGCTTCGTATATTTCAATTCTGTTTTTTCGGCCAACTAATAAAAATAATTATACACCTTTTCAAATAATTAGACTATTTTTGTGACAATTTTGCGCATGCGCACAGTTATTTTTTTTGTATTTTTTAATGAATTTTAGTGGTCGAAATTCTTTTCAAAGTTAAAAAATAGCTGAGTTTATTTTATTTAACTTGCATGGGTATATCTAGTGAAACAGTTTATAAAAGGATTTGCTCTAATGTAAGCTAGTATTTGCACCTCAATATCTTCTCCAACAGCATTTCCTCGCCTCAGTTGTTTGTTAATGACTCATTTGGAAAAATAACGTCTTTTAAATTTTTTTCCAGTTTATAAAAAAAGTCTAGGTGAAGAATGTTGTTTATCTTAAAAAAGGGCATTCATTTGATGAAAAATTAAGCAAAGAAAATTAAATTTATTGTTAAACCATAGTTAGTTTAGCATTTACAATATGTAAAAAGCATGTCAACTTTTTCTGAATTATTATCCATAACTAATAAATAAATATTTATTAAAAATTTACTATTATTAATATTAATATTAAACATTTAATAAAAAAAAAAAGTTATTGTGCGTAAACGAAAAACTAATTGTCACAAAAATAGTCCAATTATTTTAAAACGTGTATAATTATGTTTATTAGTAAGCCGAAAAAGTAGAATTGAAATATATGAAACCTGCACATAGTTATTGAGTGTTTCCACTTATCGTGATCACACTGTATATTAAGTAATTATTAGTTTAGAATGTTATTTATTTGTACAGTTGTTACTACTATTTACAGTTATCTTTGTATCATATGGGCTGCAAGGCAAACATATTTTTTGGTGTCACAACTTGTATTGTAAACTTAATTCATAGTTTTAAACAACATAATAACCAGAATGATTGTGTTTTTCTATACCTTAAGTTATACATTTTTATATTTTTGAATTAAGCACCAAGTAAAATAATTTTAAAATCTAACTTAATAAAAAATACTATTAATAATCATTACTAACCAGAATAATCTTGAGGTTTTTGTAGTTTTTTTTTAAGCTCATCAAAGTTATAATATTCGAATTCCAAAGTGGGTATTAACTGAGCAGTATATCCGTGATTTTTTAAAATGCTAACATATGGGTCTACTGGTTCATTTTCTTCTGAATCAGCTTTAAAAACAATAAAAGGTATATTAGAATTTGAATTTGACATAACTAAATTAACGAATAATTAAAAATATAAAGAAGACTTTTAGAGAATTATTTTATTAACGTACGTTTTGCTATCAATATTTATAATTTGATAAGAAAGCCCAGTGGTTCTCAAGTTTGTATTACTGATTACTGTCAAGAAATTCATTGACACAAACCCACAGATATATAAAACTTTATATATTTGTGTACAAACCGGTTTACCGATACATTTTGTATCGATTTACTCAAGGTTTTTAGATAATACCGTTAATTGTTACGTTGACTTGCGGTTTACCAACACTTGATACCGATTATTTTCTACCAGTATAGATATTCGACGATGGAAATCGGACTATTCCCACCATTGTCCAAAATTAACAATGATAATACTATCAATTATTTAAATTATTAGTGAATTATCTTAGATCAGTGGTCCTCAATCGGTAGGTCGCGACCCATTTTTGGGTCGCGATAAGTTTATACAATTATAAAAAGGTATACAAATAATTGTTTAATTATTAAACTTATACAATTAATAAATGAAAATACAGTTTAAAAATTATTGTAATATATTATGTATAAACAATATTATATAATTTATATTCAAAAATATAATAGTATGGATTTCAAATCACAGTATATGTTTCATATACTGGTATGATTCAACGTAGTATGACATTAAATATAATAATTTACGAGTAAACCGGGCTAGTAATAAAATAAATAAATAATATTATTATCGTTAAAAAGTCCCATAATTTGCAAATATTGTCGATGTTGTCGCTGTGTTTAAAGACGAATAAATGTTAGTCGCGTTATTATTCTAGTCATATTTACGTGTTCGTTAAAAAGTTTTTATCTTTATTTAGTTATAACAGTACTATTACAAAGTTTTAAGTGATTTTAGATTTTTTTGTTTTGTTTTTCTACAAATGTTTTTCTTTATGTATGCATTATGTGAGTCACGAATAATGTACGTCTAAAAAAGTGGGTCGTGAGTCCAAAACGGTTGAAGACCACTGCCTTAGATCATACACTATGGATAGAGCTACTGCATGATAAACGCGTATTACGAGTTAAAGATCTCATTATTAACGAGTGCTAAGGAGACCGATGTCTGTTGCACATGCGTATTAGTACTAGTCGCATATTTATCGTTTATAGTCATTGTAATACCACCAAGCTGTGATGGTAGATACCTCACTTATGATAACGTGAATTCGACCAATTGCGCGTAATATATATTTTGTGCACGCGCATTTGTCTCAATTGCCCTTAGTTATGTTTTTTTTTAAATATTTAGTCAATAGCTCTATCCCGAACGACAAACACCAGCACATTGCCGCGATCGTTTCGCCGCAAACGATTCGCTGCAAATTTTTTTTTCGTTTGGAACCTAGCGTCATGCCTTGGTTATTTTTCACGTACGCTAGTGTGATCTTCACTATTGCATATAGCACTATTAGGGGCACTTCATATTAAAAGTACCTCCTTCTAATTTTTGGATAAAGTATATTTTGACAGAATATAGTGAAAGGAGAGTGGTTTTAATGTCAAAACATTAGGCTTCGTACTTCACACATGTCCCCTCCATAGTTTGACACTGTAAAATCCCTTCCAAGGGAACTAGCCTGGAATTTGTCCGATCACCGCCAATCTTTGTAAACAGTCCCAAGATCACCTATCAACTACCCTCATAAAATTTAGTGTCAATCGAAATGATCGAAAAAAAGAATTTTGCTCCAAATTAGTTGGTGGGTCATTAATATTTAAGGAAGTTACCCTCTCTCCCAAATTTCAGAAAAATATACAAGAATAAAAAATAAAATTAGGTAGAGTAGTATAAAGCGTCTCGCTGCAAAATAATTTCCGATACCAAAACTAACATTACGCGTACATGGACGGTTGTTAAAATTACTAAAAAAAATCTATAAGGTTAGGTTCTAAATCCTAAATTTACCAAGTCCCATCGAGATATACTTGATCCAAAAATTAGAAGGGGAGAGGGTACTTTTACTATGAAGTGCCCCTGATAGCCCTATGTGTAATAGTGAAGATCACACTAGCGTACGTTGAAAAGTAACCAAGACTTGGCACTAGGTTTCAAACGAAAACACCATTTCGCGGCAAATAGCTTAGCGGCGATCTACACTAGATCCGCTCTAACTATAGCAGGGATTCCCAACCTTTTTTACCTAACGGCGCACTTGATCTTTTTAAAAATTTTCACGACACACAAATAAATAATAATAAATATGCATAATGTCATATTTATATATAATAAATTGTTTTTATTTAATATTTTAATGATACAAATTTAATGTGATATTTGAGACTGGTATTTTTTACATAATTCCTCTATTATGGGTGAAACAGTTGAAACAGCAAGACACAAATCAGGTTTAAAATTTTTAAATGATTTCTACTACTTGTTTTTATATTATTCAAAGCAAAAAATGCCTGTTCACAAAGAAAATAATTTTTGATTTAATAGTATTGTTAATAAGTGATAATAGTATTGTTGGAAAGTGGCACTTTGGATATAACATCTTTAGATTCTTTACCTAACATTGTTTCAACCATAGCTAAACAGGCAGGTCCTATTCATTTTTTGCCAATAACATGAGAGTTCATATTTTTAGCAATCAGTTCTGCGCCTTTAAATGATGCTTCAAGAGCTTTATCAGATATGGTCACACTTTTTATCATAGTAGATGCAGCTCTTTTATTTGAATTCAGGAGGCGTTCAAAATATAGTCGTGTTTTTAATGACTCACCCGGATGTTTTGTTGTTAAATGCCTTTTCAATTTACTGAGTATCATTGCTTCATTGCTTAACTTTTCACAATAAACGATACACACAGGTAAAGGACAGTCAGTATCGCTATTCCACGTAAATTCAAAATATAAATAACCATCAGTATATTTACGTTTAACTTTTAAATTTAAACTCTTATCACTTATTGAAGTGGTAAGTTAATTTTATCCACTTAGTTCAAGACCAAGTGTTCCAATTAACTTTACGCAATTACCCCGATCTGTGAAAGTTATTTGTTTATTGTGTCCACGAAACGGAAGTTCTTGTTTGGCCAAATAACATGTTACATCAATCAACTTAAGTATCTTTTCTAGTGGGAAAATTAATGGTTGGTCGGGGAAACACGTCAGGGAAAACAAAAAAAAATTTAAAACAAGGTTTTTAGTATAAGAATCACTCTATACAAAGTATACACATCACACTAATTATTATACAGGTATTAGACATAAATTAATTGATTTCAAGATGATATGTAGCTTATGCATAATAATTGATGATATTTATTGGTATTCTATTGAGGACAATTTCCTTAAAACCTTTCTTCGGTTAAGATAGAACTGTCATATAATAAACTACATACTTACATACTGGCTTACACTTCTATCTCCAGAGTTAGGATTTGTATTTTTTTCAGTGTCTTAACTAATTGTATATACAATGTAAATAATCAATTCCAATAAAAATAATAATAAATTATGTTTTGAGGGTTATATTAGGTACGTTTTAAATTTACTAGTAAGTTGTATTACGTGGCTTAATTTAATACTTTAATTTGTGTTTTTTTTTTCTGATTATCCAGATATAGGTAGGTACTACAGATAAAAAGAATAGGATTCTCAACGTGTAATGTTCGCTGTACTAATTGTATGACCTTTATTGAATGCAATATAATTACAATATACTATTACTATTTACTACTACTACTTCTAGTTAACAGACAAATTATAATAATCTCAAAAAATAACTTCATAGAATAAATATAAATTATAAAATATAAAGAATGTAATCAAATAAAATAGATGTATAAATGAATACTCTAAGGTAGTAAATATGCAACGTTTTTCTTTGGTACTAAATTTGACTGTAAGCTCTTAATTTGTTGATCTGTTGTTAAGGTGAAACAAGGATACTGCAGTTTTCAAAAGAATTAGTTTTAATCACCACATTTTAAAGTATTCTCTAGTTCATGGAGATCTTATTCTAGGGTTTGCTCTATTGTCTCACTGTTTTTGCATTGCGTTACTATGCATACATCATCAACATGTACAGATTTCTTAGAAATTTTATTTGGTACCTAGATCGTGTGTATAAATGTTAAAAATATCTAATAAGATAAACATTTGTGTATCAGAATAAATCCAATGGTGCAGCCATTGTTATAGATAATTTAATGTATACCTGTAAGCAAAGATAAACCATTGATTACGAAAAAACGATTCTTAGCGGAATTCAGTTGATAGTGAAGCTTTGTCAATAATACATATGTCATTTTATATAGTAAAATAATTAAATAGACTACATATTTTTTTTAATAATATTTGTTTAATGTTGTACCAATTTTCTTAGTTTTCCCATGTTTGATCCCGGTTTTTTACATTAACTGAGAAAAATCCTCAAAAAATCGAAAAATGACTTCTCTAAAGTACCTCCCTAGTAAAATTTCTTTTAGAAACATTGCTATCATAAAAGTTGGAAAATAACTGGTAGAAAAGTTGTGAACAGAAAATAAGAAGGCCGTAATATATTATAACCATACGTCGGCGCAGGGTGTATGTAGGGTATGTGGCTGCATATCCTGAAAACTAGACCCGGATTAAGGGGAGGAATAGGGGGCTAAGTTTCCGAAGTCTTCAAAAAACCATATTATGAGTTAAATCAAATATTTGCAAATTTGTACGTTTTAATTTGTAATTCAATTTGAGTTTTAAGTAAAAATTACATTTTAAATTTTATAAATTTATATTGAAACATCTCAATATCTGTGTAGGTATACTTTTAAACAAAGTTTTACGAGCTTAAATAACATTCAGAGATGCTAATGGCAGCCTCCTTCATACACTGAAAAAGAGGCTTACCCACGCCTATGATTTAAACTAATACCTACATTTCTTATATTTTCCCGTTTTCTTCGGTATTGTAAATTTGTTGAGAACTCCTGAAAAAATCGAAAAATGACCACCTTAAAGTACTTCCTTACACCGACTTATTTTCGGTAAAGGTACTACACATAGAAATCCGAGCAAATCTTCTGATATAACAGATAGAAAACAAAAATAAATATCTTTGTAAAACCATAAATTTCTTTGCTCCACTCAGAATCTAAAATTCAATGTATTAAAATAATAATAAAAACAATTTATTTTTGCAATTTAATATTTGTTACACATTGTTTTTTAATTTTTCTTTGTTCTAATTTTCCTACTACCTGGCTTAACATGTGTCGTTCTTCAAGGAACATAATTCTATCGCTTAATATTTGTTTGATTAGTTAAAATTGCTGTAAATTCTATTTTTTAGACATGGGAGTAAAGCATACAATACCTATTTACAGTTTACAAATTAACTCTGTACTTATTAGGAAGTTGTCTTATAAAATATCTAAAGATACTTCTTATTACTTCTAAGATTTTCTTAGGTGGTGGGTGGCTAAATACAGTTACTTATGACAGTATAATCCCTCAATTCAAAACGAAAACTAATTGTTAATATGTAAGTAACTTGAATGGGGCAGTATATGTTATGTTGGCTACTTTTGTATGTCAAAGTAAAATCGGATTTTCAGCTTGTTACGGTTTGGATTGAAAAATGTTTGTATAAAATGTCTGTAGGTTAGTTTTTTATACACATATAATTTATATAAATATAAATTATGATTTACCACAGGTAGTAAAAGTGTAGTCCACTTTGGCGGACTATTTGTGGGGGTCAAATAGTTTTAACCCGAATTCAGTTATACTTACTCAATTTCGTTTGATATATTATTAGGAAGTAGGAACTTTTCCGATTTATTTCTTTAAATATCAACTTAGCATATAGTGACAAATAAATTCATAATACTGTTATATCAGTTATACGTATTATTTGCATTAATTAATATTATATTAAACTCCCTATCATAAGAGGAACAACTGAAGCAAAACAATATATAAAAAGCTAATTAACAGTTTATTTTAATTTATCTTTTGAATCCCAAAATTATATTGTAAACATATTTCTTATTCAGAAAATAAAATTACATGTATTTTATTCTATTACAAAGTTAGAAATAAAATAAAATATTTTGAAACATTATTTTCATACAACACCAGGAAAAAAGAAATATATACAAAATTGTCATGTACAATTTACACAATAATGTTAAACCAGTTTTTAATCATAGTTACAGATAAGGTTTTTATTTCTGCAATGTTATTTTCATATATTTTTAAAAATTTACCTCTCTAATAACAAGATTATATTTTTAGGTATAGCTTTTTTTTTGTTGCTTAACTATACTAAAAAGGTAATTAATATTGACTAACATATTATTAATTAAATATAACTGAAAATGTAAGTATGCATAATTCATAAAAGTTTTCGTTTAAATAGATTAAGTTTTTATAATGTTATTAATTATGTTGTACTTGGATGAGACTCCTGGGCTCCCCCATGAGTAGTCTCAGTATTTTAATTTTAGAAGTTAAAATAAAATATTAATTTGTTAGCAATACATTATTGCAATTTGGAGCGCTATCATATTTTCACCCTAAATAAGACACCTATACAAATTGAGATAATATGTTTAAATTTAGAGTTTATTATCTAAAATTAAATTTTGTTTTCAAGTTATAGTTTTTTTAGATTTAGATTTTAAAGATATATATAAAGTAAAATTATTTTAGACAATTCTAAGAGGTTGTTATGTTATATTGTAACCTTTGTTTTTATTCCAAGCATTTTTATGTTTATTTAGAAATGATAGTTTGTATAAATTCTTTATAATATTATGTATGTAGAAATAAAAAGTTAAGGTGTTGCATCTAATCAAATGAAATAGGTAATACATTTTGTATGTACCAATATATAACGCAAATTGAATATAATGTTTTTGGTAATTTTCAGAACAATTTTCCTCTTAGTTTTTGTCTATCTTCATCATCTTTTTTCTTAACTGCTTCATTTATTTGACAAAGTAATCTATTAACTGAAACTTGCATACTGGGATCCAAACTTGAAAGTCGTTTTAAATCTTCTCTGGCTTCATTCATTTTCCACACTGATATATTTGCTTTTCCTCGTCTAAACAATGCTTTTACATTATCTAGTAAAAAAAAAGTAATTTAATTTATAATAATTAAAACAAATAATGAGTAAACTCTAATCTTACCAGGATTATCATCTAAAATTGATGTGCAATGTTCAATAACCTGATAATATTCCTTAGAAATAAGCTTGCATTGAGCCAAATTTAATAATAATGGAGTTTTTATGTTATTCAATTCATTCCACTCCTTTTCACGAGGTTTTAGTCTTAAATAATGAAAGTAATGCAATAATAGTGATATATGATAGTAAAATGTACAAAACCAAGTATTTTATTTTGATCAATTACTTACTTAATCATAATTTGTTCCAAGAAACCAAGGGCCAACATGTATTTTTCTTCGGCTTCTTTATACATGCCTTTATGATAAAATTCATTGCCGGCTTCTTTGAGTTCGGGAATTGTATTACGCTTTTCATTCTCATCAAGTAGCCACGTTTCTTTTTCGAATGTACCTGGTTCCTCAATTTTTAACAATTCTTTATAAAAACAAACAATATTTAAAATGGTATTTTTATTTGAAATTAAATTATTAAAAAACCTATGGTAAATTCCAAATCTGTTGGTTCTGCTAGTAAATTGTTGAGGTCATCGTATCCAGTACCATTTTTTTGAAGTTGAGCTGTGCAACAATGACTTGTACTTGGAGTGGACGTACGACCAGCATCACGTAATGTCTTAGAAATGAATGGATAAGATCCTATCAACTGTAAAAAATATTTAGTAACTGAATTTAACTGTAAAAATTAAGTTCTCTAGTACAAAATTTGCTTTGTAAAAAAATGTATTTCTCCATTGATTAAATGAAATTTCTCAATATTTAAAACATAGTTGTTAATTTAATATTTGTTCAAAACCATTTTAACATTTTTCATTATTAATATTGACATTCTAGTTCTTTTTATTTAATTATATAATGAAATAATATGGAAAAATTGATCTTGTACTATTTTGTTGTGTACAAAGTAATCAATCCATGAAAAGAAACAGGTAGCTCTAAAATTTTATATCACCATTATTTTTTGTCACCCTTATTTTTGGGGGTGAAACAACTACCTAATTTTAATTATTAAGTGACAACCTATATTAAAAATTCAATAAATAAGTTAAATTTTTAATTTCTATCAACTTACTGACAAGATAATCCACTTTTTAATTTTGATAGGAGATTAATGTAGTACTATTCAAAAGCCGCACTCTACAGAAATAATGCTCACTATTTTCTCCTTACCTAAACTTCATTGTGGAATATCTAGTCAATGGATTGACGTAAATTAAAAAATTCAACGTCAAAATGTATTTTAAGTAAAGCTTCATCAGATAAGAAAAAAATGCATGTATATTATACATAAATATCTGATCATAAAAAATAATGAGAAATTTAAGAGCAATTTATTTCTAAAATTTTCCAAATATAATTAATACTTTTCGAGATAATAAGTGTATTATCAAGGATTGATCACCCTGTAGATATATTTCACATAAATTAAATTTTAGTATTAATTGAATTGCTGTAAGAATTATTTTAAGGATAAAAACAACAGCATAACAATTTAAAATTAAATTTTTATTTTAACTAATTATTTTGCATTTATAATCAATTTGATTTCAATTTTGATTCAGTATACCCATAATATTAATTATGAGTAATCTATGATAATACCTTAGAAATAATTTAAAATAACTTACTTAATATAATACAATTTAAATAAAATATAAATATTTTCATGACCATAAATAAATTTAAAAAATGAACAAACAGCACCATTTAAATTATAATTTACTAATAATACAATTATTGTCAATAAAAATCCACACCAAATATAATATTAATATACAATAATAATTTTTAAATAATATATGTGTGTATGTGTGTGTAAGTATATAACTAAGTTAATATTTAATAACAAATATAAACTATTGTAACCTTGAAAATAGTATAAACATTATACTTAAAATCTAGTAGCAGTTAAAAAAAATAATAATAATAATAAAAAAAAAAAAATAAATACTTTGACTAATAACTATTTCTATACATAATTCATAATTTACCTATTTATTGACTATAAAAAATAATAAACATTTACTATAATAAATTATTTGAATATTTTCACAATTTATTGTTATTTTATTCTTTTTTTTCGTAATATCTTCTATGTAATTCATCAACATTAGATAAGTACCATGTACCCGGAAACAAATAATCTTTACTGCTAACTGGTACATAAGGAGCTTGGTGCAACGATTTTTGTCTGATTTCTAACACTTCTGTAAATTGTTCGGGTGTAACACGAATTCGTTTTTCTAAATTATCAATACTTTTTTTTAAATTGCTAATCAAAGTAGGTAGCCCATTATCTATAATTTTGATTGAGTACATTGATGATGCCAAACCTGATCCATAGGAAAAAACACCTATTTTTTTTCCTGGTAAATTTTCCGAGGGTAGAGACACTAAATAGGAAGCTAATCCACTGTATACTGATGGAGTATACATATTACCAACACGAGATGCTAGTAATAATGATGGTTTAGTCATTTTTTCAAAAATACTTTTGCTGCGTTCCATAAATACTTTTTCGATTTCTCGATCAAAATAAGTATCCACTAATTGTATGTCCTTATATTGTTCTAGACAAGGATAATCATAATCTTTTATTTTACTGTTTATAAAATCATTTAAATACAATCTTGCTAATGATTTTTGCACTAATTTACAGTATGGCGTATGAAATATAAATGAATCAAATTTGTTCAAATTAAAATTGTCAGGACATTTGCTTAAATATGATTTATAGCATTGATCCAAAGCATTCAAATAACACTGAATGGATAGTTTCCCATCAACCACTGGATATTCTGATGTTAGATCAGGTTTGAAGAAATCATATGCATGATTCATATACGTACCCCGAAGACCTCTTTCAATTACTAATGAAGCATTTGGACCAATTAACATTGCAACAGCACCTGCTCCGCCAGTTGGACGAGCATTACCTTTTGCATAAATAGCAATATCAGCTGCAACTACAATGGCTAGTCTTCCATCCCAAGCACTAGATTCGACCCAAGATAATGCATTGAACAGTGCTGCTGTTCCTCCATAACAAGCATTTGTTGTATCAATACCTTCAACTTGAAAATTTCCACTAGGCTCAAACAGTTTCATTAAAACTGTTTTTACACTTTTTGACTTATCAATAATGGTTTCAGTACCAACTTCTAAGCGACCTATGTCTGAATAATTAATATTATTATTCTCAATTAGTTGACTAACTGCAGTCAGACATAATGAATTAATATCTTCCAAGTCAGTACAAAATCCCATTTGTTTTTGACCCAAACCAATTGTATATTTTCCTTCGGATACTTGATCATAATGTTCCAAATCGGTTTGATCAACATACATTGATGGTATGACAAAATGAATAGCACGTATTCCAACATCTTTTGGCCAATGATCCATGATAAAAATAAATTGTTTGGAATCTTAATTTACCTGTTGTTTAAAACAAAACAAAAAAACAAAAAACTTTAATAATATCACTACTAACACTGGTCACTTATTTAAAAGAAAACAATTTAAAAAAAACTTTAATAGTTAACACATATATTTGACAACTATTAAATAAAATTGAATTTCGATATTAAAAAAAAAATTCTAGGTGTTTTTAATGTTTAAAATAATCAGTACAGAGTATGTACAAACAATACTTGGAATATTTTCTTTTTACGTGTTAAACACAAATTTATATTTTTAGATATGACCTTAGTGTATATTTTATAAAACCAGTATTGATAATTCATTTCAATAACAAAATATGATCACAATACATTAAATATATGTTAATACTATTCACTGGTAAACTAACTTCAATTTTAAACTTATATGATATAGATATATCAAAATTAATGGGGAAATATTGAGTTAAAATATTTATAACAAATATAATTACTATAATTTAATTTAATTTAGATATATTTAGAGAAATTAATTATAACCTAAATAAAATATAGAGATTAAGCATACATAATGCATAGGAATTAATTTTAAAAATTTGAATATAAGCTGCTAATGTAACAAAAATTAATATTTATTTTCAGTTTTATATGATATGTATTACTTATATTTATGAAAAATAGATTTTTTATTTTTTATTTGTATGCTTTACAATTGTAAATTAAATATCAATTTAAAAATCAAATTATACACAATACTATTTATGTTATATTAAAATTAGTATAAAAACAGTAGGTATTTAAAATAATTTGTATTATGCATGGAGAATAATTTAAATCAATTAAGGCGAGATCTAACTAAATAACTTCATTAAATGCATTCAAATTGTATTAATTATAGGTATATAAATGTAGTTATTATTGAAACATACTTGACTTTTTAGTTGATAAGTTCAGATGTTGATTTTACAGTAATAGGAAATTCATTATAGTAATAAGCTGCGCACTGTTTGAACTTCAGTTGGAAAATGCAAGAAAAAATGAATCACAATGAGTAGATGAGAATGATGAGATTATAATAATAAATTCTACAATTAAGCTGCGGCTACACTGAAGTTGATTTATACAAATATTTAAAACAAAATGTAGCAATTATAATACACATTATTTCAAGAATATCAATAACCTATTAAGATGATTAATTTTTATATATAATTGTTTATACTATATATTTTCATAAATTTCACAACTAAACACAGATGCTTCACTATTATTATTACTCTCATTATCTGCAAAATTACCAAAATATAAGTGACATACTTTGACAACGGGTTTAAGGAAATTCAAAATATCAACACCCAAATTAATTTCAACTAAAACTTTATCTAATTATAGAATTTTCAATATTTATAACTATTTGAAAATAAAAACCTTAAAAGCACTCATTCACATAATTCTTAATAGTCCATACATATTATATATGTTACTGTGAATGTCCGCAGTTGATGAATGTTGACAGTCACCAGTTAATGTCGACATACACTAAAGTCATTGGTAAATGTCGGCATATTGATTAAATTTGGTTCTATTTGTAAACATTCAGTAGTGAATATCGATATTTATGTAACGATTTTGGTGAATGTTGGTAATGCCAATATTGTTTTGCAGATAAGCCTATGCAATAGTATAGGTAATTAACAAATTATTAATAATTGTATAAATATTTTATTTAAAACAAGTTTCTTCTGGCTAAAGTTGGGGAAACTGTTCATATTCGAGTTCCAGATGTTGATCACAGTAAAATGGATTCTCAAAATATTTTAGTCATAGTACTAGATATAGTAGATAATGATTTTATAAATTAGCTACCAAAAATAGTGTTGTAAATCAATTACACCAGAAGTCAGTTTTTGGTACCTATGTAAAGATAATTTAATATCAATCACTGATGTATTAAGGGATCAAAAAATTTCCTTAAAGCAAGTTTCTACATTGAATTTGTCAATATTGGTAGGCAAGGAAAAGTGATGTAATTGCAAAACAAAGTGTACCACAAAAAAATGTGGTTGTAAAAATGTTGGAATTTTATGTAACACAAATTGTCATGACAGTTCATGTTGCAATAAGTAATAAAATAATTAATAAGTAATTCAAATGTTTGTATGGTAAATAATCTATATGTTATATTCTATAATAATAGTAAAATATAGTTTATAGTCTCTATATTTTATGTGCAAATACGTATGTCAACACTGACCAAAATCCTGATGTAAATGTTAACATTCACTAGTAAATATTTACATTTTTTTAATTTTTCAACATTCACCAACTGCGGACATTCACAGTAACATATATAGATAATATATATATATATAAATAATTCATAGATACATAACTAATAAAACATATTATAAAATAAATTTCCTGGTTTTCATCAGAATTTAAAGTAAAAGCTATCAATTAAAAAACTATATGACAACATTGTTTTACATAATAGGTTAACAATTTAAAAATAGAAAGATATGCATCATAATATATTACATGAAAAACTTTATTAGTGTATTGTTTCTGTTATATATGTATAGATATTATGGCTAATACTGACAATTGGATAATATCAACTTTTCATTCAGTAAATTGATTATGTGCTGTTAGTTTTAATATTAGAGTGAATGGGCATACTATTAAATTTAAAGGTAAAAACGTTTTATCTAATTATAATCATTAATATAAAAACAAAACATTTTTTTTCTTGATATTCAAATTTTTAAGCAAAGTATGAGTACATGAAATATTTGAATTTAAAATTAATTTTATATCGTTTTAAAATTAAAATAGCGAAAATAAGTCAAATTACAAACACAGATATGAACAGAATGTTACAGAGGAAGAAGGGACACTGGTTACATGTAATATTTATTATTATATTTCTCAGGGTTCACTGTTAATTATCCAATTCTTATTATCGAAAATAATATTAAAAACAAATTTGATAACATTATTTTTTAAAATAGACAAAATTATTAATTTATAACAACAATTTAAAATTGTTTTCAAAATTTAATTAAAAATATATTGTTATCTATACATATGTTAATTTTTTCTAATAATAAACACAAAGTTTTTCTACATAGTTCTACATACTTTTCTAACATTTTATAAATTTTTTTTTTGCTTTAAATTAAATAATAATTTGATATTGCTAGTTATAAAAACTATTGATAATTTTAATAATTTACCAAATTATCTGATGATTACTGATCCAGAATTTATTATTTTTACAGTGTTCAAATTTATTGATCAAAATATTTAAATAAATTTCGAACATTTAAAAATTGAATATAATTTAAATTTAATAATGTAAATAATAATTTAACTGAGTTTCAACAATATGTTTAGATTATTGGTTAAGTATAATTTTTTTTTTTTGTCAAATTATGTACAGCAATATATTTGTAACATAAAAAACCAAACCTAACTATCAATTCTTAATAGAGACTTTCAATATATTAAAGCTTAAACAATAAATCTAAAATATCATAAACATTGCAGAGAATATAACAAGTTGAATAATACATTTAAATATCTATCTAGTATTAGGATTCAATCTAAATATTAACATTGAAAATGTAGATGAAATTATAATAATTAATAGAATATTTTTCTTTATTAATTGCCATTGGTTAATTATTTTTCAACAAATATTCAAAAAAAAAAAAAAAATCATATGTACCATATATATTTTATATTAACTTATTCACAAGATGTGAAAAAAAAGAGTTTAAAACTTGTGATCTATTTTTAGCCTACTCCCAGGGATCTGACCAAATAGAAATTTTGCATGCAATGATATTTTCGATAACAATAAAATAATCAATAATACGATTTTCTATATACACCCCTTATTTCAAAGGTGGTTGAGAAATGATTTTCACTATGTATGGCTGTTAGGATAAAATTGTAAAATTATATAAAATTCATCATAAATATTTTATTTATATATCTTCTATTATAAATAATCTGTGTTCATATTTTCTGCAGATAATGTTAATAAAAATATTTTCTCGTTTATATACAATATCGCAATTGAATAAGAATATAGTAAATAATAACACACATATATTTAAAGCATGTAATGTTTTTGATAAAATATAAAATAAAAACCATGGAAAAAGAATAACAATCGGGCATGGAGTCCTTAGTACAAGTTAATGTATGAAAAGGACTCCTTCAATATGTAAAAAGTGCTCCATTCTTAAATTAATGTATATTATCATTTACTACACTCATATTAAATTTCAATGTTATCATTGTATAAACTTTATAAAATATTTCTATTTAACTTTTTAGTTAGTTAAACAAGCATGGTATTCACATTTTTAAAATTTATTATTATTTGTGTATTATATAATAACATGTAAATAAAATAGTAAGTGTGCAAAGAGTAATTTTAAAAAAAATTATTTATTTACTAACAGTGAACTTGTTAACTATTATCTTATGAAGGTACGAATATAAATATTGATAGTAAACTGATAAAATAAATAAAAGAAAGTATACCAAAAGCAGGTACCTAAATTTATTTTTAAATTAAAAATAATTTAATAAATTTATATTATTGTGTATTAGTATATTACATAACCCAATTATAATAGAATTTGTGCTACTTACTCATCAATGAATATTAATCAAAATCATTACCAAATAACCTCTGACTCTGATAACCTTAGGATAAACTTTGAGATAAATATTTTTCTAAACATACTTATTTTAAGTATTGTCAGTATAATTATTTACTATAAACAATGTTGGATTATAATTGTAATAATGGTTTACCTATTAAATAATACGTTATTAAATTGTTCTAACTGACAAAAACCAGAATTATGAGCTATGTCATAATTTTATAAGTGTTATAGGTTCAAATAAATTAAAAACATGAAAAGTTGAAAATTATTTCAGTCAGAAATGAATAAAATTTAAATTTAGTTAAACATATTTAACCAAGCACTACTCAGTATAATTTTATTTTATGATTTAAATACATTCTACACTTCCATCTTCATAAATATCTATAAAATATCAGTCTTTGACCTCTAGACTATTGAAATAATGCAACACACCTTAAATACTAGTGCTAAGAAAAGGGAGAGAAACTATATACAATATGAAAAGCTTGTCTGAAGAAACTCATTTTCTATTAATTGTAGCATTTCACTGAAATAATTTTAAATATTTTCATTATATGTATTATTCACACATTTTATTTAAAAGGTTTGTTTACATTAACAAGATTAATTCAATTAAAAAGAATTGACTAGATCAAGAAAAAAAATGTTTGATTATTTTGCTAAATTTCAAATATTCAGTGTTGAATAATGGGTACCAAATATAAAAACATTATTTTTAAAAAAAGTTGGAAATTTAAATTGGTGTAATTTATTTCAAGGAAATAATTTAAATTTTAAAGATGATTTATATTTAATAATAAAACAAATTATAAATTGTATAATATGAAAATAATATTTAATAGTTGTAACAGAATTATATATTATAACTCAGTTTATGAAATATGAACTATGGTCACAACCTAGGTTATATAATAAACAATTCGACTGATTTATATGATTTATATGATTATAAATAATATATGTTGTATTTTATGTTACATAATACAGAGTCTACTTTTGATAGAAAAGTAAAGAAAAGAAGCACGGTCTACAAGTAAGATAACTTCCAGAACTGTCAAAACTGTTCAAAATGTAGAAGCAATTATAGCTTGTTTTTAAATTGATTTTTCTAAAAATAGTAAACACATTTAAACAAAGCATATGTAAATTAATTGTTCAAGATTAACTTATTAAAATTATCTGTTGAAGATAACTCGACAAAAGTTTAGACCAAACTTTCATTAATTATATTAAAATTATCAGAGATTTAAAAACCTAAAACCAAATTATTCGCAATACATAACCCTGAATAAACATAATTACATTTTAAAGTTTAGATATTCAAAAATTCAAACTTTTTAATGTGGAAAAAGTATTAATTTGAGTACTCCTATTTAAAAAAAATTGTATTTTGGTGTATTTGTATATTTGGTCATATTTTTACTATCCTAGTTAAATATAGTATTTTCGTATACAAAAAATGTACAGATCCTGGAATAAATAAATTAAAACTTAACAAAACTTGAGTAATTAAATAATTATACATTGAAACTTTTATAATTTTTAAATTTGTACCACATAAGTAATCATTAAATATCAAAATTAGTAAAGCATCAAAATTGTTAATATAAATTTTGAAATTAAGAAGTTGAATTTCTAATTTAGTACTAATTTTTTATTACCCCTTTCGTCAGTCTGAAAAACCGATAGCCTATCACTCAAGTTTGTTATTATATAAGGTATTTATATTTAATTAATAAAAATGATGATAAATCTTAAATCATTAAGATACGTAAATTGTATGATAAAATTAAACAATACCCGTATAGTATGTTTTTTTCTTGTTCTCTATGAACAGATAATAGCTTATTTGAAATTATATTTCAATCTATTAGTATTATAAATTAATAATGGTTGCAAGGTTATAACAGACCTGGGTTATGAAGCAATATATTGTTGGGGCGATTGGGGAGGACAATAACAAACCAGTACCTTTAATTTTTAGGTCTATTACTTATAAACCCTGCTCAAGTGTAATATAAAAAAAAAAAAATCTAGTATTAAAATTCCTTTTTAAAAGCAAATACTACATTAAATTCAATTTTTTATTTTTATTACAAAATAAGATTTAATGAACCTCTTGTTAAATTTTCAAGCATTTTTTTTTTAAGTCTAATAATTTTACTACAGAGTACTTACCAAACAAAAATTATATACCAAACTCGCAAAATTAAAATGTCTATAAATATCTCAAAAATGGCTTAAATTTGTTGAAAATTTTACCGTGTCTAGAAAAGACAAATTTAAGTTTTCTAATTAGTTTTCCTAACCTATATATAGGCATATAATATATCAAGGTGCAATTATAATTTGAATAATTTGAGTAATATGATTATACAGATAAATATAAATTTAGGTTCGGATTTTGATATCTAAAATATATCACACTTACACTTTATTATTTTAAAACTAAAAATCATAATCATATGTTTTTATCGAGTCAAATTTTTTGATTAATCCGATTTAGAAAAATACAAATATTTTAAAAGTATAATAATGATTAATATTATAAAAAGTAATCTTAATTAATAATCAAGTAAAGTACATAATTATTAGTTTTAGCATGCCAAAAACATAAATACATCTAGTTAAAAAGATAAAATACAATCCACATATAAATTATGAAACATCACTTCTATCAATTATTCAAATTGTTAAATCATTTTAATGGTTATATTAAGAGCTAAATAATTATTGTACAGTTAAAAAAATGTATTATTTTATGTATGTATATATTTGTTATTATTATTTTATGACCATGTTAAATTAAAAATTATTTTACAAATATCACCAAAAAAATAAAAATAATAAACTAAATTATTAACTAAAAATAACCTTAATACTACATGATATAATTCTAAACCATTTACCTAAATATATATTTAGATGGTCCTTAACCTATAGGTTTTGAAAATAAAAGTCAAATATTTGAATTTTGTTAAGTACATTGTAAAAATAATTTTTGTAAATTTTAGATATGATTAGTCAACCCCTTCAAGTCCAATGGGATTGAAGTTAGTAAAAAAGTTCTAGTTCTTATGTTAATTTTTTTTTGAATTTTGAACATACAAAAAATGTATCAAAAACATTATTGTAATAAAAAATATTTCTTACAAAATAGCTCTCTTTAACATTTCAGTGAAACTTTATTTTGAAACCATTATATGGGAAAAATTTAAAAGTTGGTAGATTTGTAATAGAAAATTCAAGATTATCTAAAATTTACAAAAATTATTTTTACAATGTAACTAACAGAATTTTGAGCCTGCGTCACAAAATTATTTCAAAAATAAGCACCACCCTAATATATATTGATATATATATATATATATATATATCAATAATATCAACAAATTGTTGTAAAAATAATGAAAATAATTATTGAAAAGGTAGGCATACTTACACACTTGTTGACAATAAATTTAGAAATTTCTCCTTTACACATTGACTTTATAATAATTTCCCAGACTTCCAATTTGAATTTCTTTCCTAAAACTATTTCCATGTGCTTGGGCCATAAGTAACTATTGTCTACCACAACATTGTTACTGGCAATACGGGTTATAAAATGAAATGATACCTACAAAAAATTAATAATTACATAGTATAGATACTTCATAGAACTCGAATCAGGAAAAGGATTTCTTTTCTATTTTGACTTACTTTTGATCCACTGGAGAAAGTAGGCTGACCACCAATACCAGGTGTCACAAGTATCTTCTGTATTTTATCGTTGTTAATACTTTCCATACTAGTTTTACCACGTAAGAAAATTAGTCGATCATGAGGTCATTACTATGAAACCTTGACCTTAGAATACAATAACCTTTCACATACTATCTGGCTGATCCGGGAATTTAATATTTTGGCCAAAACACTATCATATAAATTCTATATCACTAATTCGATATCATTTACTACTATTAACCACGATAGTGATATTAACTAAGATACCACGTCAACGTTTGGTTATCGGTAATAGTGATTAAGGAACAACTTAACGATTACAGTTAGATCATTGTTACTAACTTCCAACAACATAAAAGCAGCAATTAAACACCGGGATTTTTAATCTGTAATCTGTTCCTGTGTGTTAATTGTGAACATATTTTGCATGATAAGTATTATTTTAACCTACCTAGTAATTGATTATTATTTTTTTAAAGAATCTAATGGTTATACTATAATTATTTTTTTCCTCTGCGTGTCAAATGTCAATCCAAATGATTATTCTAAAAGAAAAATATTATTTATTCTATTATTTTTGCTAATTTATAAATATACATCAACAAATTTATTCAACTATTAAGAGAATATTCTACCTCCCGCATTTAAAGAGTTGCTTATAAATATTCTCAAAATTGTCAAGATGAAAAATATTCAAATACAGACTGAATTGATCAATCAAATTTTAACCATAAAAGTATTAGAATTTGCACTGTGTATTGTTAGGTTGTTGTTTAATATCATTACTATTAAATATGTAATTCAAATTAAACTTTAAATTAACAGTCTTTAGAACAAACTACATTTTTTTATTATTTACAGAAAAAACCAAATCAATAATACACAGTGATCTCATAAGTTCTATTTTTATGATGAAGATTTGGTTTCTAAACTAAGAAGTTAAATAGTCTTTGCTCAAGTATAACAATTTTTTCATTAGAATTACAAGTGGTACCACGCCCTCTTAAATAAATTTTCTTTTCTTTTATAAATTTTCAATTTTATTCAGTTGTTTAAATCAGCATTTTACTCACCTATTTTGGCGAATTTGTTTTAATCCTTAGGTAGACCGACAGTAACCAAAAGCCAATTTGTTTAACAAATCTGACATCCATTATATTATGTGTCCATCAAGTGTTGGCATCATCAAAATTATACTTTAAATCCAATCTATATATTATGTATGAGATGTATCATATAAATCTTTGTTGTATGTTTAATTTATAATTTATGTATTTTATTATATCAAGTATGTATAGTAATAACTATTGAATTATATTTTGAGTTTAGTAATAAAATTGGTTTATCCTGTTTTAACAAACAAACATTTAAATTGAAGTTAATTTGTACATTATAATGGTTACTATAGTACTTTTAATATTCATTAAACTAAGTAAGTTTACTTTAATGTTTTTTTTATATTAAACAAATTAAAAAAATAAATATGCATATTTTTTTTACTATATTCAAGTAATCACTTTATATGATTGGGTATAATAGGATCTTTTGTTTTAATATATATAATTACAAAATTATAACAAAATTTATTCAAGCATAGTAATAATTGTTTATAATCATGGTAACAAAATTGATTATTTTTCATGCATATTTTTGTTTCTAAAATAAATAATACATTAAACATAAGTTGAATAATAAATTGTTTGATAGTTTTACATAATATTTAATAATTATAGTTCAAAGCATACTTTTTGAATAGTGCAAACAGCTTTTTATAAATATTAAATTAATATTTTAGTTGTTATCGGTGCTTCTTAAATTGATGACAAATGATTTAATTTGATTTTTACTATGGGAATAATAGTAATTATTATTTTAAATCATTTAGTTAAATATATATATATATATATTTCTGTATATATATATATATATATATCTCATTTACACAATTTTAAATAAATTTGACTGCTAACACAATATAAACTTATACTATACAAACAGTCCATAAATAAATAACAATATAACTATAATACACAATTAACATATATAATAATAATAATGGAAAATGCATAATTGCATTACATAAAGCGTTTTAATCAAGATTACCTGTATAACTGAGCTTTGTGAGTTGTTTAATTACAAATATTTATTATACCATAAAGAAGTAGAGTCATTGGTATAGCCATGTTATAATACTGTTAAAGTGTTTCTTAAAATATAGATTCTGCTGATCTAGATAAATGAATAGGGTGTGAAGGACTCCGAGCTAAACGTTTCCGTGGCAACCGTTCAAGAGTTTTTAGCATTTGAGCAAAATCTGGTCTTTTTTCAGGATTGAATGACCAACATGTCATTAATATATCCTAAAAACAGTTAATCAATTAATAATAGCAATTTAGTTATCTAAATCCAAACCATTTTTCTTACTTTAACATCTCCAGATGCTTCTAAATTAGCTAATCTTTGCTTCATACCACGTCCAATATTCCAAATAATAACTTCTGGGCTAGCTGATTTGAATGGCCATTCACCGCATAACAATTCATACCAAACAGTTCTGTACAATAAACATATTAAATTAAAATCAATGTTGGTATATTATCATAAAAATAATTTGTATTTTTTAAAACGCATATTTACCAATAAAATATTTTATTTTTATACAGATAATAGTTTATTAAGTATTAATAATCTAAAACAACTATTTTAATTTAATTTTAATCATTTAAATAAAAGCATATATTTAATTTATAGAAAAAAAGACGTCTTAGGATAATGGGAACGGAAGCAGCCACTGTTATAGATAATTTTATGTATACCTGTAAGTAACGATAAACCATAGCTTATGAAAAAAACGATTCTGAGCAGAGTTAATAGTGATGCTTTGTCAACAATATGTATGTCATTTTATAGTAAAATAATTAAATAAGCTTTATATATTTTCTTTAATAATATTTGTTTAACATTGTACTGATTTTCCCGATTTTCCTAAGTTTTTCCTGGCTTCCCATGTTTTATCCCGGTTTTCACATTTGCTGGGAATACTCCTGAAAAAATCGAAGAATGACCTCTCTAAAGTACCTCCCTAGTAAAATTTTGTTTTAGGAACATTGCTATCATTAAAAGTTGCAGTCAAATTGCTGGTAGAAAAGTTATTCGCAGGAACAAAAATAATAATATTTTAGTAATATTATAGTTCGTATATTTTTCCGTTTTTCAAATTTTATGAGAAAACTCTGGAGAAAATAGAAAAATGACCTCCTTAAAGTACCTCTTCATACCGATTTTCTATCAGAAAAGTTGCTAGATTTAGAAATCCAAGCAAGTCTTTGATAGAAAAGTTGTTCATATATAGATGAAAAAAAAAAAACTATCATCTTTGTAAAATCATAATCTTCTTTACTCTACTCAAAATCTAAAATAGACAGAAAGATGGATTATCATAAGAGATTTCCTAGTTAGAGCTTACAAAATATCACAAGACAACTAAATAAAATCAATTTTTAATCATCTCTAACACCAAGGTAATACATTATAAAAAGAAAACAAACTATAAATTTCAACTAAAAATTTTTAAAATTCGTACAATGATTGGATCACGGTTGTGGGTGAGAAGTTGGGAAGATAAGTATAGATGGGAATTTAATGTATATCTGTACACAATGATTAATCTTTGCTAATGAAAAACGATTCTAAGTGTTGTTTGGTTATACATGATTTTAAAAGGCCACAATATTTACGATTTGATAATACATTTCATATATTTTCTTTTGTTTTTTTCTCATTTATTATGAAAATCAAAAAAAGTACTACACTTGAAAATCTGAGCAAAGTTTCTGATAGAAAAGTGGACATAGAAAAAAATAAAAAAATTAACATCATTAAAAAACCAATACAGAAAATACTAACTATATCTCCTATTGAATGTTCAAGCAAAATCAAATTTTGAGCAAAATGAGGAATGTATTGGTTTTACAATGATGTTTCTTTTTTCTTCTTTTATACTGTGTACAAAAATTCTATCAGAAATTTTGTTCAAATGTTCAAATATAGCACACTCTCTGAAGAGAAACTTTTCTGTGGTATTATATGAGGAGGTTATATTTTTATTTTCTAAGCAGTTTCCCAAATAATTGGGAAAAAATATAAAAATAATGTTATTATTATATTTTTTTTTTGGTTGTAATTCAGTTTTAAATGTTTGTAGATAATTTAAATTTGGACAGAAAACTTTAATTTGCCTTTAATAGATATAATCAAATTTTTAAAACATTTGAGATATTTTTTTTAGCTATTTATAGATATTTTAATTTTGTAAGTTTTTTTTATAAATATTTATTTGGTAGTAACTACTCTGTGAAGAAAATTGTTAAACCAAACCGAAATTCTTACAAATTTAACATGAGGTTCATTAAACTTGTACTTAGAGGTCAACAAAAAATTGTTTAATTCAATGTAATATTATTATTTTTTATACAAATTTTGACAAAAATCTTAAAAATGATGGTTGTTTAAAAAATGTATATAACTGAACTCTATTCACAATTGTTTTTCGTTAACAATGATTTATCATCGCATACAAAAATGATATTAAATTTCCCTCTATATCCTACCTTCCTAACTTCTCACCTACAACAGTGATTTATCTATCACGCAAAATATGGCAGTTTTTTTTTTATGATTTTTGTTTTATAACTAAAAATCGATAATTAAAAAAAATTTGTTTCAAATAAAAATTGATAACATTAAAAAACATAAAGAAGTCAACCTTAAGAGCATTCATCTTGGCCTTTAGTGTTTACCAGGAATATTTTCAAAACTATTAAAAATGGAAAAAAAAGGTTGATAGTATTGGTTTTTGGAAAGATTACTTTGAATGTAATAATGAGTATTTAGAATACTATATTTATAGTGTTGTTTTTTAAAAATCAGGGTATTTTTTATCACATATTATAAATTACCCAAAAGCATAAACATCTGATGCTTTACTGAATGGTAAATCTTCTTCTTCAGGTCTTTGGTGAACACGCAAATTACGAACTAGTTCTGGTGCCAAATAACATAACCAGCCTGGTGGCACAATAAGACCATCCTGGGTTCTATAATAATTCAAAAAATGATTTTAATGGAACGATTATTTTACATCTTAATAAATTCATAATTACCGGTTACGAAAACATAATCTAGTAACACTGAATAAACCAAAATCAGTAATTATGACTTTTCCATTTTCTAAAAATATATTTTTACTTCTAAGATCTTTATGTATAATACCTTTTGCATGTAAATATCCCATACCCTATACAAATAATAATTTTTATTTAAATTCAAATAAAATGAAATCGGCCATATAAAAATAACTTGCCTGTGATATTTGTTGAGCAACCATTGTGGTGCGGCTCATATTAAATTTATCTTTAAGCACATGTATATGTCTATACAATGTCATACCATTTGCAAGACTTGTTACAATTGCTAATCTTGGAAGCTTCATACAGGCACCCATAAACAAAATTAAATTTTCATGACGAGTTTTACGAAAAGTAGCTACCTAAAAATTAAAAATAATTTAATGCTTTAAAGTTATTTTTAATAATTATTACTTACTTCAGCTTTGAATGCTTCTAATGTTTTTTCATAATCTAAGTAGTCCATATTTATTACTTTAATAGCAACTGGCCCATGCCAATTCCCACTATATACAGTACCAAAGTGACCTTCTCCTAATTTGTCACACATATTTAATTCGTCCCAAGGTATGTCCCATTCTTGAAGGGATAGCTTTAAAATTTTTTAATAAATTAAAAATTAATTGTACTCAAAAATGTACCAAGAGTAAGGGATTTAAAATACATGTTTAATGAATATATTATTACTTATTAGTATAGTTAAAGATGTTATCAGCAATAAGCTTAATTTACTATGATCTTAACAAATACATTTAACAGAAATACTTTAAAATTTTGTTATTATTTTTTCCTGCTATACTACATCTAGCCACTAACCATCTACCCATTTGCACACATTTTTTTAGCGCAACATTTTTGTTATACAAAAACTAATGCAAGAAATATGGGACCTAATAAAGTAAAGAAGTATAGGAAATTGAAAGGATTCCGACAGAATGGAACCTGTCGATAACATGTCCCATATATAAGAAAGGGGACTCCATGGATGTATAAAATTATAGGGGAATATCTTTACTTAATACCGCATACAATATTCTACCAAATACTCTACTAAACCGAATAAGACCATATTCCAATAACATCAAAGGAGAATATCAGAGTGGTTTCATGTCAGGCAGATCAACAATAGACTATATATTCACATTTAAACAAGTTATAGAAAAGTACTAAGAGTTCAATAGGCTTCTATACTTAATTTTTATACATTTTAAGCAGGCATACGACTCGGTACAAAGAGCAGAAATATGGAGATACTCAAAGCTGCTGGGGTTCCCCTTAAAACTAATATCGATAAGAGTATATACAGAAGGATGAGATACACGAGATGCACAGTTAAATTTAAATATGAAAATCAAAAGAATTCCAAACAACACCAGGATTAAAACTAGGTAATGCACTGTCATCATTACATTGTACTAGAGATGGTAGTAAGAGAAGTACAAGAAGAATATCAAGGAATTAACTGTGGACGAAACATTCTGCTACTAACATATGCTGATGACATTGTAATATTAGGCAAAAGTGAGCAAGAAATCAAAAAGCAACAAAATTGCTGATAAGAAGTGCAAAAAAACAGGGACTCAACATTAACGAAACTAAAACAAAATATTTACGAATCAGTAGAAACAGAGATCAGATGCAAAATGCAGCAGGACTACAGGTCGAAGGGTATATGTGTGAGGAGGTGGATGATTTAAATACCTAGGCACAAACTTAAGTAGCAAAAGACGACAACTATGAAGAAATAAAAAAACTTATTACATCAAAGAACAAATGTTTTTATGTTCTTTCGGGGTTATTGAGGTTGAAACTACTGTCAAAAAATCAAAAGAATGACTTTACATAGCACTAGCTAGACCAGTGATTCAAATGAACATCTTTCATCTAGTTAGTGTATTGGAAGGTAGTTTGCTTAATAATTAGAAAAAAGGTAGACACCCAGAAAAATTTAGAGTAAAAATGATTTCATTATTTTCGACATTGGTTGTTTGTTGTAAAAATATATATCTGTATTTGTATCTTAGATAACAAATATTGTGTTACTTAAAGTATCTAAGATATTTTTTAAGATATAATTCTTACTTTTTTGGTTCAACAAAAAACTGAAACAAAAACTCAAATTCTAAAATCTAATTTTGTTTAAATAAAAATATCAACAATTTATTGTGATATTATGTATTATTTTCTGATTTCTGATACTTTCAAAAAAAATTAATCTATATCTGTATCTAGAAACTAATTTAAAGTATCTTATTACAGCACTGAATGTATCTTGCTTTTCAAACATATTATTTATAACAGAGAACAACAGTATCGCTATCGCCAGCAGAATATGTAACAAAATTTCCTATATTTTAAGAATATGAAATTTCAAATTTTATGATTAAAACTAAAACTTACAAAATATTAAAATCAACAAAATTTAAAATAATTATATTTTCACATTGATGAATGAGTAACTTACACTATTTTGTCTTGGCCACCCTCTAGATTCCATTTCATCAGTATCCCAATGGTTAGCTTCTGAAGAATCTATTCTAATAGAAGTTTGTTCTGAATCTGTGCTACCACACCTAGATTCAATAAATTTAAATGGATTTTTCTAAAAAAAAAAAAAAATAACAATAATAGTTTATCATTATAATCATAAACAAAATGAAAATATTGTAATAGATCAACAAATACCTGTAGGTCTTGAGTATAAATTGTGTTTTCAGAATAGTTAAATTGTTCATGTATAATAGCTGGTGTAGGTAAGGAAGAAACATGGGTTTGTCTGGTATTGACTAGAGCAGGACTTGAAGGTGTTGAACTATTTGTACTAGATGGAGCAGAACTAGATTCAGCTCCGCCACTTTTAGACTTATAAAAATAAAAATATCATGCACAGGTAAAAATATTTATAAATTAATTATATATTAGAAAATACATTTTTACTTACTGAAACTGGTATAGAATTGATAGATGGTATTCGGGTTTGTCTCCTTGACAATAATGAAGAAGAAGTTTTGTGTGAATTAGGGCGACTAAAACTAGGAGAATGATTAGCCGATAAACTTATTAGTTCTGTAAAAAATGTATAAAATTATCAAAATTTAAAAAAAAAAATTTGTCGGATAAAATCTATCTAAATATAAATTACCATGTTCATTTATAATTGGGCCAAGTGAAGAGTCATTATCATCAGTTGCAGTACTTTTTGATGGAACTTTTGATAAACATCCCTTATGATATCGAAATTTACAAATTTTACATTTTACTCCTATAAAATAAATTCATATTTAGAATAATACAAAACATAAAAATAGTTAATAAATAAGAGTAGAAATGGATTTTATAAAACATACCTACAAATACTCGTACAGAACATTGTTCACAATAACCAAGCATAGGGAGTAAATTTGAAAATTTGTGACCAGTTTTAACACAAATATCAGGAACTAAAGGTTTTGGAGAATGGGGAATTGTTAATCCATTAGTTGCTGATCGAATATCTCTATTTGGGCTCATTGAATTTGCTAAAATAGAAGTATCTAATGGCTCTTTAGGTAAACAATGTGTGACCATTCCATTTTGACTAAATTAATAATTACATAAATGTATTTATTAGAATACAATAAAAATTTAATATATTATTTACCGAATTTCATCAGCATGATTATCCGAGTTAGTTTGTGAAGTAACAACAGTAAAAACCTCTTCAGGATTTAAATTTCGTTGACTTTTTGGTGATGTTAATTTTGAAATAGGACTATCATTGTTTTCTAAAAGTAAATTATGATAAATTATAATATTAATAAATTTATGAACTGAACTAATAGATGTTTTTGAATGACAAGTATATACAGGGTAATCAATATATCGTAACACTAGTTATCTGAGAGTATAAACTTTTTTCGAAATTTGTTTTACAGAACATTTAAGAAACAAACAGCTTTATAATTTTACATTTATATATATAAATTTTTTTTTTTTTGGGGGGGGGGGGGAAACATTAATTATTTTTCAAATAATAGCAACCTTTATTCAAAATTACATAAATAGATGGAGAATTAATTAAAACAATTATTTAGTGGTTTTACCCCCAAAAATAAGGGTGACAAAAAATGTTAAATATTATACATTTATTAATTAAAGTAATTAATTAATTAATTAATTTTAGATTTGTGTTCAATTATCTTATAACTACAATACTATTTAATAGATTCCTAATTATTATTATTATAGTGCCCAGAAAATAAAGTAGTAATTAAGTATACAAATAAAAATGCAACCATTAATAAATTCACTAATTTAATAATAATGGTGAATTTATATAGATTAAAGGTAGTATATACATTTTAATTTTTTATACCTTGGCAATTTTGAGTAATTGACAGTATATGTGGGAGTTATATAGCTTTTAAATTCCTGTATTTGTCAACATTGTTGCATAATTCATAAAATAGACAATTTTTCTGTTGACTCTGTGAAATCAAGAATTCCACAAATTTGGTAACATATATGCAACCCTAAATTTATGTGTATATAATGCATACTAGGCTGGTTTATTTATTACCATAATTAAGATAGCTTAAACACACTTTTCTTAATAAATATAGTTTAATATTTTAAAATGAATTGGTTAATATTTGTTATTAAACCACATGCAAGAATATATCAATACTTTATTTTGATATTGTCCATTTTTGTATACATCAAGATGGTTGATACTTTATGCTAAATATCAACTTATTGATGTAATTTATATTTAACATTTTAACAGTATTAATGTGTAAAAATGTGCAATGTAAAATAAAACAAAAATAACTATTATTAAAATGACAAATTAAGGAAACCTATTCTGTCAATACCACACAGAATAACGACATAGCAGGAGGATAACTCATGATCGAATGTTCAATATTACAACTAAATTTTGATCGTTTTTAAAAATTATTTTCCCCGAATCTAACAACAATGCACAGTGTAACTTACCTGACCCTACCTAACCTACCCAATTGTTTTTGGTTGTGAGTAAATTATAATATTATTTAGAGAGATTTATTTTATATTTATATCGAGAACATTGTTGACAATATATTGTGGTATTAGATATTAGGTCTACAACAGTGTTTCTTAACCTGGAGTCACCAATTAGCTATTTAGGGCTGCCAAAAATATAAAATATTGGGTCACTGTGAATAAAATATATATTTAGGGATGACTAAAAAGTTGAATAATTATTTAGAGGATCGTGATGGTAAAAAGGTTAAGAAACACTGGTCTCAATATATCAAAATTTCAATTTATCAAAACTCATCATCAAAGTTTTTGCCATACCTAATAACATTTAAATAATTTCTAATAACAAAATAGTAGTTAGATATGGAATAATAATATTGATTACTTACTATGATTATGGATAAATAAGGTAGGGGTTATAGGTGGAGTACAATGATTTAAATGAGCACTTCTCAGACGGCAAGATGATGATGGAGAATGACCTTGGACAGATGATGGAGAATGTCCAGCTTGTTCACAACGAACTTCATATTGTCGATACCATGAATCCCAATATAATGTCATCTTACATTTTTCCCGAGTTCTATTTCCAACTCTTATAGTTTCTAAAAAGTAATTTAACATAAAACTATTTTATTTGATTGAAACATAATAAGTATATAAGTTATAACCAAATAGATACAATTAAATAATCAGTGATCAAACACAAAACTAAATTTCAAGACAATATAAAAATAAATTGATTTTATTTTTCATTTTTATGTCTCAAACACTAAGCACACTGTTCCAATGAAAAGCCCCTAATTCCATATCAATATAATAATTTTACTACTGACAAAGAAAGCAGTTTGTAAAGAAACAAATTAGATACATCAGTTAAATGAATAAAAATTCAGTAAAAAATTATGTTTGTTATAATATAATAGTAAATTATACAAACTTTAGTATTAAAATGTATCAAAAATATTTCATAATTCAAAAATGAAGCTTGTTATTTTCTTCATATATAGTGTAACTGTTTATTCGTATTAAAAAGCTGCAGAAGCAAATATTAAATAAATAAAATTCTCAAAAGAAACTACAAACTTTTTATTAAATCATAACTAGATCATTCAAAATAACTATTTTATCGAAGATAAATAAATTAGATTTATAATAATTGTAGATTGGCATATGTGTATATACAATTATAAGGGTTTAAAATATAGGTATTTCAAATTAATCTGATAACATATTGCATAATTCATTAAAAAATACAAAAAAATTATAATTTCTGGTTAAAAATAGGTTATACCTCTTCAAAATAAAAGTTGAGTTCATTCGCAAAATAAATTGATACAAATAGTCTATTATTTGAAGACATATAATATATAATATGTTTATTAGTTGACCAAAAAAAAAAACTGAAGAGAATAAGTACACCCCACTTTTGTCGTTTCTTTCCCTCGAAACACTTGAACAACGCCATTTACGATTAAATTTATACTTTGCGAATATGCTGTCCAACATTGATTGTCCTGAGTTCTTAAGTCGTTTCTCCTTCCATACCACTATTCGTAACACTCGGTCAATAAATACATTTTATCTTAAAACTGAAGTAACCAATTATACTAGCAATAACCCCCTCAATAGAATTATGAAAACTATTAATAAATTAAAAATCTATCTGTTCATATCATCAGATTTTAACTCATTTAAATATATTGTAATTGAATTCTTGTTAATTCTTAGCTATGCATATTATATTAATTGTATTGTAAATTATTGTAACATACGACTGTTATTATTATAATATATATAATTGGGTTTAAAATTTAAGCAAATTTAGTCAGCTCATAGTTACAGAGTGTTTTCACTTATTGTAATCAAACTGTATTTGTATAAATAAATGATTTTTAAACTAAACTTTTTCTAAATTATTTAACATAATTGACAACAAAATACAATTAAAAAAATATTCTATGGTTAAATTAAATATTATTTAACCCAGAAGTCATCAGGGACAAGTGTTTGATGGAGAATCTCATCCTCAATAATTTCTTTGTATTAGTCCAGTTTTATCATTTACTTGGCCCAAAATTATACAAAATATAAATACAATTAATTAAAAAGAAGTTTGATTTTGTGAAGCCCATCAAATTCAACTCAGTAACTTATCAAGTCTATCCAAGCTTGCCTGTAGCTATTAATTATTATACAATATTTGTGAAAATGTATAAAGGTTAATATTGATAATAACCTAGTATAAAATATTATATCATAAAAAACTTATTAATTTATAAAAAATAAGTTTATGCAAAATAGTATTGCTCCGAAAATTAGAAGAAAACAGCATTTACATCTACATTTAACAAAATATATTAATAATAAAAGAAGGCATCTCTCTAATTATTAACTAATTTAATATTAAAAATAATAAATTGAAAATAACTAGTATTATTATTTAATAGTATATTTTTTTTTTAATAGACCCAATATTGTGTAATTTATAATCATTTTAATCACTAGTTTTATGTCACATTATATTAACAGCTTTTAAATCATAGAAATAGTTAAATTAATAATAAATCAAAATTACAAAAACTTCTTGGAAAAGTATTATCGTCTAGATTTAAGACTATATTATTGTTAAAGTGAATACCTACCACTATATTTTTTCAAATTATAAGATGCTCTTGTCAAACGTCTAAGTTCTTCATCTTTAAGTGAATATTCTGGAAGAATAGATTTCAATTCATTCTCAGACTTCAACAAAAGTGCTTCTATAGAGTTGATATTTTCACATATTCTCTGAAAAATAGAAATATTGTAAATATATGTACACAATTATTAATTTTAAGTTTTGAACATACTTGTACAGACAGCGTACTAAGTCCTACAACTTCTAGCCATTGTTTCAAAGAAGGTGTATTTCTTAATTTAGAAGAATCAAACCGTCCTGGATTTTTCTGTCTATTATTTAATTGGACTGAAAATAACTTGACAAGTTTACCCTAGAGTAACATTGATATTCAATTTACAGACATAATATTATCAGTAAATAAGGTTTGTATATTACTTCTAAAGTTCTAATTTCATGTTGAGTGAGTTCAGCGCGAGTTTCGCATTGATTCCTTAAACTGATCAACATTTGTGATGAAATGTCAATAAGTGATTGTACCACTTCAGGTTCATCGCACATCAACTGCCTGTCAAATTCCTCTTCCGCCATTCCATCATATGGTTATTGCACAATATACATCCTGGGTTCTTTGTGAATTTCCCTCACTAAGTATTTAAACGTAATTTATTAGAAACAAAAAAATTTACCAAATAGGAGAGCAGGATCGCTATCACGAAAACAGGTCAGAAAAGTCAGATAAAATATTTATTTTTTTTTTTTTTTTTTGGTATCTTCATCATATTCAAGGACATTTCACTATTTAGGTTACCACGGTTATGACAATAAACCAAACTTCATTCTGTTTGGAGAAAAAATGTGTTAACTATTAAATGTATCTGCTGCTATAAAATTAATAATATTATTTTATCGTAACATTGAAAACAAAATAATAATATTTGTCCATAATATATTAGGTATTAAGTATATAGTGGTATTGTATGTTCTTAAAAAAGAAATTATATCGAGTATCCATGATCAATGGTAGGTAAGTATGATACAGATAGTATAGATACCAAGTAAAACCAAGTAAGATACCAAGTAAGTTGGGTACTTATCCAACTACCTAGGCACTAAGTAGTAAGTATTATATAAATTGTTAAATATAAAAAAAATTGTTTTTACATTATTTTATTATGTAATATATTATAAAATTAAAATGGAATATAAAAGCTGCTATAGGATAAAATATGTGATACCTACAAATTGTGAATTTTTAAATTTAGGTTACCTGGTAGATAGGTACCTATTGAAAATTATTTTTCCTATTATTTATAACCTTTAATTTCCTTAACAACATAACTTAGGATTACTTATTTCAAGTATATTTTTCAATAAACCGTATTCAAAATTATATTATAAACAAAAAACGAGCTAATTTTTTAAAAATTTTTTTTTGCTTCTAATCAGTGATTATGGCAGCTTGACAATTATGTATGAGTGAAACAAAATTAAAACAAAGAAAAAGAAACAACAAAAACAATTATTAAATAACGAAATCAACTTCCAATACTAAATTAATTATCTTATTGATGACCACCTCGGATTTAATATTGAGCATAGAAAAGAGTTTGAGGGTATATAAAACGACTTCAAGAGATTGGGAAAAATTAAAAGTTTGGACCATAATGAGGGACAGTCAAAGAGAAGATGAAAGTTCGCAGATGCTTCAGTTAGGTTTAGAGTGCAGAGAGGAGAATCATTTAAGCCCAGGTTATAAACGTGAACAGGTAAAAACGAATCATCCACGTGGAGACGAATGAAGCGGACTATGATGGATCTGAGTAAGTATAAGCTGTTAAACCAAGTTTTAGTAATGGAGATATTGGGAACAATAAGTTTGAATTTGGTTGCAAAGCCGGCCGGTGGGTTATTCCAATAGTTAGACCAAAGATTGCTTATGTGCAATATAAGATTGGAGAAAAATTGGTCCATGGTAATAGAGAAAAGGAAGGAAGAATAGATTTAGCCAACTGTCAGCTACTTCTTTACCATGAATGCCCATGTGGCTGGGAACCCACATAAAATGAACTAAGCAATAAGACTAATTAAGGTAATTTAAATATGCTTTAATTTGAAAGACGAGAGAAGACAATTTATTTTTTAAGGAGGTTGGATGCTAAGGCTTATAAAGAACACATAGAATTGGAGACTATTAAATAATTATTGGAACCTAAATTTTAGATAAATACAAGGACTTCGAGTATACCATAACATTGCGGTAAATGAAAAAGCTTAGGGGGCCAGTTTTTAGAAAAAGAAACTTGCAGTTCAACAATGTAGAAATATATTTATCCAGTTGATAAAGGTGAGACTGAACCGTTGTTGGTATAGATGGTTAAGAAATTGGGAAAATTCAGCTTAAGGTAATTAGAAAAAAAGATATTGACCATAGGGAGTGACATTAATTTAAGTTTGTTAGAAGACATATGTGAAAACTGATTATCGGTTTGAACGAAGGGGCATTTAAGAGGAAATCGTATGATTGTTCGTAAAGATGAAGTTTGCTAGATTTAATGACGTATAGGTGAAAATAGTGAGTGAGCTGTAATTGATAGGACAAGAATTGATTTAGGAGTATAGCGCCAAGTGAGAAAAAGAGAATAATAAGTATCGAATCTATCATGATTTGGTTGAACTAAAGATTTTAAAATTAATTTACCCGCAAGCCTCCGGCATCTGATGTTAAATGGGAGACAAGATGCCTCGTCTTCGATAGTCGGACCAGGTGGATTTAACGTACCCCATTATGCATCTGAGATATGCTGTTTGAAATTTATTAACTGTTTTCTAATTATAATAGGAGATTACGCCGAAAAGAAAGTAATCATAGTCCAATTTAGATCGTATGATTAAGCTGTATTATGGATAATAGGCTGGAAGGATGTGACTCCCACCAAGTGTTGAACACGGTCTTGAGGAAATTTGAACATCGAGAGGTAGCTGCAGAAAGTGATGTGATGTGAGGTAACCAACGAAGTTTAGGGTCAAGGGTGATGCCTAGGTACATGGCGTTGAGAACAAAGGGAATGAATAAAGAGTCTAAATAAATTTTAGGGTGATCTGTATATCTACGCGGGGTAAAGATGACTGACTTGGGTTTTTTGGAAGTGATTTCCAGAGATAAATCTTATAGAATCATTTTTAGATCGATGAGACCTAAATTGAAGTGTTCTATGGCAAAACTGAGATTTTTATTTGATGGAAAAATGACCATATCGTCAACTTAAGATCAGGCATTTGTGACCCGACCTCAAATATACATATAGCACACTATCTAACCAACTAATTATTATTTTAAATTTCCTATTTTTTGTATTACTACAACTTTAAAAACTCAATTTCTGCCTCTAATATCAAGCTTGTTAATCAATTAAAAAATGTATGTATAATTTTTCCACCTAAATTAAATTTTTCTCTTCATACTAAAATGATCAAGAATAAAGCTTTTCGCAATTTAGGGTTTCTTATTCCCTTAAAAATCCTCTCCTGCTCTCTTGCCCGTTCTAATCTAGAGTACTGTCCTCTTATCTGGATAAATACTACGTCGAAACTAAATCTTATGCTTGAATTTATTTAAAATAACTTTCTACGTTTAATCTCTTTTAAATTCAACATCAATAGACCTCTCCATGCCACATATAATAATATTTTAAATTTTCTTAATAATTTCAACTCTCTGATTGCCGTACACTTTTACTCTCGTAATTTGTGCGAAAACTGATTTTAGGTGTAATTGTTTGTCCTAAAATTCTTTCTTTAATCTGTTTTAAAATTAATAGCCTTAATACTAGAGATCCAGAGCCTTTTTATTCACTTTTTCAATTAAAAATTATATCTTGAACTCTCCTGCTAACCTTCTTATTTCTGCAGGTAATACCTATGTCTTCGATTATATTTGAAAATTGTTTAACTATATTTGTTTTATATTTACTTTAAAGTCTTCTTATTATTCAATCTATAATTAAGTACAAATTATAATCTATTTTATTATATTTGTTATTTCACACACACAATGTTTTTAATATTATGTTTTAGCACTCACGTCCGTTTATATTAAGTAAATAAATATATACTTATATTATATTTTATTGTAACTTTTAATTAAATGTATGAGTATAGATCTCGATGAAAATAATAAATTATTGATGATTATGGCCTATGTGTAACCTTAAATAATGTCAATTGTTATTAACAAAATATGTTTCAACTGAATAACAAAAAGAGTGTTCCTAAACTCTATCAATCTACTGAGCAATCCACTGGATTAGCAGATTGAATTAGGAACACATGGGTAGTAACCAGTACATAAAATAAGCTTTACTTATCTGACTGAGTGTTGGAGATTGTTTGTTGTAAGTTTTCCACTTACACTCGAGAGTATTTGCATCAACTGTCATTTTTGTAATTTTCAAGTTTACTTAAAGCCAATATTTTGGAATACTTAGGTTTTTCCCAATATTTAAGGAACATCCTGTGGAGATAATAACTTTGATTTTTCAAATAAGAACCTATATTAAAAATCCCATAAATAGACGGAGTATTACTTTAAATAAATTTTGCTGTCAACATTTTCAATTTCTGTCAACTCGTTTATAAGATATTTAACTCTTAAGTTTAGGTAGGGGGAGAGTAGTCAGGCATGGATCCTGAATAAAGATCTGAGGAAGCAACAATTTTTTTACAACAGAAATACAATTTAAATATAATATAATACATTATGTATATTATTTTGTCATATATACATCAGTGGTTGGAATATAGTAATATCAGGATCTATAGAATTATAAAAAAAAAAAAATGTCTAGGGGAGGCCCCCTTAGATCTGTTCCTGAGAGTACTAGAGTATCATATGTATGACGGTGATTGACGTTTTATTAGTGCTCAACTACTCTCCTCCTACCTAAAATTAAAAGTGGAATAATGGTTTGATGGAAATCAAAAATCTTCATTTTCATCATTGTTATCAGTACCACCAATTGCAGTCCTATGAGAATTAACTATTCGATGAAGATCTAAATTTGTGTATTTATTTGAAAAAAGACTGACTTTCGACCGAGTTTTTTCACTGCTCCATATTTTATTCATAAGAGAGTTCTTTCAACTAGAGCGTTACTGCTTGGCAAACACAAAATATATTCTACAATTGTAGAAAAATTGACGTGTGAGAAATCATTAGCATTGAGGTGTGTAAATACTTCCACCCAACGATTTTCAGTAGCTATATATTCCCGGTGTTTCAGTCGTATATTTTTTGAGCTGTTATATAATTAGAAATTAGTGAAAACTCGTCAAACATTCCCGTGTCTTGATTGCTACTAATCAATTTCTCTTCAATAAGTAAGTCCATTACTTTTTGTACTTCTTCCCACGAGGGAACCTTTCTCAGATTAGCCCATTCAAACATTTTTACTTCCTCGTTGAACTGACACCACTGTTCCAAATACTCTTTGCTTGTTTTATAAAAAACAGCCGCTGCAGTTTTTACGTTTTCTTCATTGACAACACCAGTTTTTTGTAATTTTACCATTATATAACGGGTGGCGTGGGGAAGATAACATGAATTTTGTTTTTGATTTAAATTATTTTAGAGTTAATTAATTTCATTTGCGGCATCTATTACAGATACGTTTTGGCCTTCGATCTTTAAAACAGCTTGATACAAAGTAGCCGATTGTGCGTGCCTAAAATATAACCATAATTCAGAGCTGGGATTTTCAAAAAATTCTTTCAATATATTAGGTCATTTTTCAATGGCTGAAACTTTTTCAAAACTCTTCTCCAGGCATCAACGCAAGTCATCTAGTTTTACTATAGCCCAGAAGTTTTTATATTCTGTGATAGCTGTATTACAAAATTCTTTAAGAGCTTCGACACGAACGCTATAAATGTGAAAAAATGAATATATTTTTACAATTATGCATTCAAAATCAACAGGTACATACTTTACATCGTATTATTCAAGTTCAATTATACGATTTTAGGAGTCGTCATAAATGAAAAAAAAAATAGTGAGTCACCATTCGTAAAAGGTTGAAAACCACTGGATTAAATAACCTACTTCGGGTAGAACTATTTTTTTTTAGTACCTAGCCAAAAATTCATTCCAAGAATATCGATACTTTCAGTTGATATATCGATAACAGGTTGTCATCAAAGTATCGTAATCGACGGAAGAACTTGAAATATCGATAATTCGAAGCAATGATTATTTTTGCCATCTCTAGAGGAAAATGAGAAGGGATGAAACCTGTGTAAATAATAGTTTGCTCCATATGCATGTCAATTAAACCAGTGTCGTTAATTTTAACATCGGTTACTCCAAAAATTTTCTCAAATTCCCACCAGATCGATTTTCAAGGGGAAATTTACACAGATCTGTACAAACAAATTTCATTTAAATATACTGCATACAAAAAATATTAAATTAGTGGCAAATATAAAATAAAAATATGAAAACTTAAATTTTTAAGTCATGAATTACAAATAGGTAACATAATATTATATTGGTCTGAAATATATATTTACCTACACACTAATTATTATCGAAGATAACCTTTATATAGGTAGTAAATTGCAAATTGTTAATCTACAACTCTGTCAAAAGTGGCATAAACAGTTCCTAAATTGGGATGGTTGATACAAATATTTGCTAAAAATATACATTAATTTAATATAGTATATTATACCCATATTAGACAATTTTATTAGCACTAGGTAGATATCGTCAATAATGAACGGACATATATTGAAAATGCTACCAATATGCTTCACACTTAACATTTTAGGTATCTATGTATAACAAGTTATAGCTACTAAAAAAGAAACAGAAATGGTCTAAGTCCTAGACGTCCTTAAAAGGTGATACATCACTCAAACCACCCGCTATGAGAATGCCATTGCTATATAGGCACTGTATTACTGTTCCATTCTAATATATTATAAAATAAATAGATAATATTCATAAAAAGAGCTAAAGTTAAAAATCAAGTCTTCAGAAAACACAAAATATATTAAATTAAATTTGTTTTAATGAATGTAATTCATATTAATTTGATTTTATAAAATCAGTATTAATATGATTAATGCATTATTTCATTATATAAAATTACTTACGACCATTATAATATAGATGATGATTATTATATAAATTGTGTCTGTGGAAAGACAAAGTCTTGTGTAATTACACATGAAAAAATACATTTTATTGAAAGGAAGAGCACAATACATGAACTATTACAAAATATAATATTAAATATATTTCAATTTGAAAGCATTCCTTAGAAAACTATTAAAGACGAAGGGGAAATTAGTCATTAAAACTCATTAAACAAGAAACTGTGCTGAAAAACAAACACAAGTTCAAAAACAAGATGATGAATTTCAAAATGTAACTCATAAAAATCCATGTATTATTTTTATTTATAATTGGTAAACAAATCTACATCAAAAAATGTACCTCCATAGTTATTTAAGCTGTTTTCTCTGTAAAAATAGAGTATGAATATGATTAAAAATGTATTTAAGTTGGATATAATTTAAAATTTCTAAGTCTAGAGTCGGAAAATGTTTCGCGAGCGGCGCCGGTGCGAGGAGAGCGAGCGGAGCAGCCTAGACGTCGAGTCGAGCGGAGCTGTGGCCGATGACTATTGAACGCCGACGACCGCCGCGAGTGACGCGCAGCGGGAAGCAGAAATGTGGCGCGAAACCCGCCACATCACACCCCCCCGGGGAAAAAGAAACGAACCCGGTTTCGCGAGATGCGGTCGCGTCGGACGTCAGAATTCGCAGCGTAGATGTGGTCTTCCAGTGTGTCCTATCGGAGAATGAAAGCCGGTTTGAGACGATCCACCGAAACCCATCCGGTTCGATTCGAGAACTGGAGCTTGAAGTCCTTGGGACGTCGATCCACCACGGTAGACGGCCCCGCGGTGCGCAGAGAAACGTGTGAGACGGTGTCGAGTTGTGACGGCATGAAAACTCGACGAGCAGCGCCGTGACCAGACCCCTTTGTTGGTCGCAGGAGGGCCACAGCATGCAGAGCGGGAAAACTGGCCGCTCTGACGCGGTGGATGAACACGAGGAGTGTCGCGCTGGCATGCAGAGCGGGCTAGGCGGACGTGCCTGTGAGCGCTCGGACGGACGAGGCGACGAAGGATTCGGTCGACATGACGCGTTTCTCGAGAGCATTCAAACGACATCGGCGGTCGGGGGAAGAGGTAGTGTCGCATGCGAACGCGGTGTCGATCCGTGACGAACAGGCCTCTAAAACCCGGTCAGATCGTAACGCGAGCATAACGGGCGGACTATCGGGACCCGCGATGACCGCGTGGACGTTCGCCGGAAGCTTCTGGAGCCAGAGATCAGTGAGCTGGCGAGTGTTTCCAGAACGCTGGAACACGGACATTCGCAATGGCGGAGGTATTGCCATCGATGATGGAAGGGCCGGTAGATTGAGCCATTGCGACGAAGGCGGATGCGATCGGATAAAAACGTCGAGGTCACCAATTTGGAGGGTTACACCAAAACACGAGGTTTAATGATAAAGTAATAAAGAAACGTTTATTTACGACCTAACAACATTAAACAAGTGCTCACTAGTTGACTGCTTGTGGCACGAGAACAGGCAAACACGCAATTATTAGAACAACATTAGTGGTAAAAATTAATTATACATAATGATGGTTCAGAGTCGGAAAACAACACTTCGCGAGCGGCGCCGGTGGGAAGAGGGCGAATGAAGCGGTCGTGACGTCGAATAGAGCAGAGCTGTGGCCGATGACTATTGAACGCCGACGGCGAGGGAAGTGTCCGACGGCCGCTGCGAGTGACGCGTAGCGGGAAGCAGAAATGTGGCGCGAAACCCGACAAACTACTATAATTTGTAGGTTAGACGTGATTATACTTTTTTGAGGGCACAACGATTTGATGATAACGTCTTATCAATGTTTTTAAATTGGAATAATTATAACACCATTTATTGTTTGGATACATAATTTAAAATTTCTAAATCCTAGAATATATGTAGAATACACTTTGTATAAATTACATTATGTAATAATATAGAGAAAAAAAACCAAAAATAAATAATCTATTTAAAATTCAATGTAGTTACATTGTGACAATAGTCAAAGTTATTAAACAATAATTTGATGGTATGATTTAATAAATAAATCGCAAACTTTTATTTGTCATGCACGTTTAAAGTTAAAAAGTTCATCATTCAGAATTTATATGTTTAGAATAAAATTGTAAAAAAAAAATTAGGGAAAATTTATTTACATTCTAAGTACAGTATAATTATAATAAGCCCATGTTTTGCTGCGTTAAACCCATACAAAGGAAAAGATTATGCGGAAATAACCTTCGGTGGTTTATAAAGTAAAATATAAACTAGGTACACTACAGTATTTACAAACAAAACTTAAGCTATNAGTATTTACAAACTAAACTTAAGCTATTTATTATTTTTCTCTGGACCATACATTATATAACAATTAAAGTTTCTTAGAAGTAATCTTAAATCTTTGGTCATACTCAAAAAAAGATGAAGATTACTTCTTTTAATCAAACTCTCAGTCTTTTCTTGAGTACGTCCAACTATTTAATAGTTCAATCCTTCTATGCCAAAGAGTAATTCGNTTCTGAAACATACCTTATAACATTTAAGGTTTCCTTGAAGTATTCTTAAATCTTTGGTCATACTCAAAAAAAGATGAAGATTACTTCTTTTAATCAAACTCTCCATCTTTTCTTGAGTATGTCCAACCATTTAACGGGCCAATCTTTCTACCCTGAAGAGAAAATATTACAAAATTTATAAATAATATTTAAACTAATTTACAGAAAAATTTCGAGTATAAATTCACCATATTTACCTTATGATATAAATTATGGTAATTAAACAACTAGATGTTAGTATCATTTAATAATTTAATCAAAAATTATAATTTGTGATGCAGAGTAAAAAATATACATAAAATCTCTCAGAAGAGAAAATATTACAAAATTTATAAATAATATTATTAACTAATTTACAGAAAAATTTCGAGTATAAATTCAATATATTTACCTTATGATATAAATTAAGATAATTAAACAATCAGATGTTAGTGTCATTAATAATTTAATCAAATAATATTATTTGTAATGCAGAGTAAAAAATACACATTACTTCTCTCAGTATTTTTTTCTATTAAATATATTTAAAAAAATAAAAATTGAAAGCTTGAATTTATTTACATTCTAAGTATAGTGTAATTTTAATAAGCCCCCGTTTTGCTGCGCATAACCCTTAAACCAGAAAAGACTATGCGGAAATAATCTTAGGTGGTTTATTAGTAAANTGTCATTTAATAACTTAATCAAAAAATATTATTTGTGATTCAGAGTAAAGAATATACATTAAATATCTCAGTATTTTTTTCTATTAAATATAATTAAAAAAATAAAAATTAAAAGCATAAATTTATTTACATTCTTAGTATAGTGTAATTTTGATAAGCCCCCGTTTTGCTGCGCATAACCCTTAAACCAGAAAAGACTATGCGGAAATAATCTTAGGTGGTTTATTAGTAAATCATAAACTACATTCTATTGAACTTAGTAACTATAGTTAAGCTATTAATTCTTTTTTTCTGAAACATACCTTATAACATTTAAGGTTTCCTTGAAGTATTCTTAAATCTTTGGTCATACTCAAAAAAAGATGAAGATTACTTCTTTTAATCAAACTCTCCATCTTTTCTTGAGTATGTCCAACCATTTAACGGGCCAATCTTTCTACCCTGAAGAGAAAATATTACAAAATTTATAAATAATATTATTAACTAATTTACAGAAAAATTTCGAGTATAAATTCAATATATTTACCTTATGATATAAATTATGGTAATTAAACAAACAGATGTTAGTGTCATTTAATAATTTAATCAAAAAATATTATTTGTGATGCAGAGTAAAAAATACACATTAAATCTCTCAGTATTTTTTTCTATTAAATATATTTAAAAAAATAAAAATTAAAAGCGTAAATTTATTTACATTCTAAGTATAGTGTAATTTTGATAAGCCCCCATTTGCTGCGCATAACCCTTAAACCAGAAAAGACTATGCGGAAATAATCTTAGGTGGTTTATTAGTAAATCATAAACTACATTCTATTGAACTTAGTAACTATAGTTAAGCTATTAATTCTTTTTTTCTGAAACATACCTTATAACATTTAAGGTTTCCTTGAAGTATTCTTAAATCTTTGGTCATACTCAAAAAAAGATGAAGATTACTTCTTTTAATCAAACTCTCCATCTTTTCTTGAGTATGTCCAACCATTTAACGGGCCAATCTTTCTACCCTGAAGAGAAAATATTACAAAATTTATAAATAATATTTAAACTAATTTACAGAAAAATTTCGAGTATAAATTCACCATATTTACCTTATGATATAAATTATGGTAATTAAACAACTAGATGTTAGTATCATTTAATAATTTAATCAAAAAATATTATATGTGATTCAGAGTAAAGAATATACAGTAAATCTCTCAGTATTTTTTTCTATTAAATATATTTAAAAAAATAAAAATTAAAAGCGTGAATTTATTTACATTCTAAGTATAGTGTAATTTTGATAAGCCCCCGTTTTGATGCGCATAACCCTTAAACCAGAAAAGACTATGCGGAAATAATCTTAGGTGGTTTATTAGTAAATCATAGTTAAGCTATTAATTCTTTTTTTCTGAAACATACCTTATAACATTTAAGGTTTCCTTGAAGTATTCTTAAATCTTTGGTCATACTCAAAAAAAGATGAAGATTACTTCTTCTAATCAAACTCTTCATCTTTTCTTGAGTATGTCCAACTATTTAATGGGCCAATCTTTCTTCACCGAATAAAAATTAATATAAAATTTATAAATTATATTATAAACTAATTTACAGAAAACAAAACCAGAATTAAATAATCTAGTATAAATTAAATATAGTTACCATTTAATAGTCGAATCCTTCTACGCCGAAGAGTAATTCGTCCGAGGAACACTTTTCACAAGTCCCTTCTGCAAAACGTCACGAGTTCAAAAACAAGATGATGAATTTCAAAACGTACCTCTGTAAGCTTCATGTATTTTTTTAATTTAGAGCTGGGTAGTATTCTTCATACTCAATTGTACATTATTCCGTATGTGCATTTATTATCACAAGAAAATAAATTTCACATTTGATTTATATAAAAAAGCGCGACATTAAATAACAAAATATAATAATAATACGTAATATAATGTGAAAAATCTTAAACAGAACAGTAAATCATTGGTAACACAAATGATAGTCGTCACGATTATAAAGAAAGAATTTCTTTTTTTTCCATAGTACTATAATTTGTAGGTTAGACGTGATTATACTTTTTTGAGGGCACGATTTGATGATAACGTCTTATCAATGTTTTTAAATTGGAATAATTATAACACTATTTATTGTTTGGATACATAATTTAAAATTTCTAAATCCTAATATATATGTAGAGTACACTTTGTATAAATTATATTATGAAATAAAAAAGAGAAAAAAAAAACCAAAAAATAAATTATCTATTTAAAATTCAATGGAGTTACATTGTGACAATAGTCAAAGTTATTAAACAATCATTTGATGGTATGATTTAATAAATCAATCGCAAACATTTATTTGTCATGCACGTTTAAAGTTAAAAAGTTCATCATTCAGAATTTATATGTTTAGTATAAATTTGTAAAAAAATATTTAGGGAAAATTTATTTACATTCTAAGTATAGTCTAATTATAATAAGCCCATGTTTTGCTGCGTTAAACCCATACAAAAGAAAAGATTATGCAGAAATAACCTTCGGTGGTTTATAAGTGACATATAAACTAGGTACACTACAGTATTTACAAATAAAACTTAAGCTATTAATTATTTTTCTCTGGACCATACATTATATAACATTTAAGGTTTCCTTGAAGTATTCTTAAATCTTTGGTCATACTCAAAAAAAGATGAAGATTACTTCTTTTAATC